AGCGACCTCCATGACTAAGCCAATGCGGCGCTCAGCAACCCCATTCTGCTGCGGAGAGGCCGGAAGCGTGAAAGTCTGGCGAATGCCCTCCCCACGACAAAAGTCCCGCAAGAGGTCGGAGGAAAACTCACCACCTCTCTCAGAGTGCAGACGCAGACGGGAAGGTCCGTCTCGAACCGCTCGCGGAGCTGGAGACGAACAGCGCGGATCCAAGGGATCAAAACATCAGAGACCTCCCCCTTGGTGCGCAAGGGGAAGACCCTTGTGTAACGCGTGTAGTCGTCGACAACCAGCAGAAAGTAGCGCTCGCGGCCCTGTCCACGGACGCGGTCTGGGCCCCACACGTCCATGTGGAGAGTCTGCAGGGGAGCAGTCGTCGGGGGAAACTCGGAGGAGTGAGGAGCGGCGCGCTGCCGCCCCTCGACACAGGGAAGACAGGGAGGAGCTGGCGAGGGTGGGAGGGGAGGGAGAGTCCTGGGAAGACCAGAGACAAGAAGACGGGAGTGCATGCCACGAAGGCGTGCCACGGAGGGGTGACCAAGGCGGTGGTGCCAAAGGAGCGTCTGGTGCGACAGGGCGCGACACGAGCAGGGGGCCGACAGCTGACCTGACGTAGACGCAGACGCAGCTACCTGAGGAGGCGCAGTAGTCAGTGTGTACATACTCGACCCAGGCCGACGGGTGAACGTGGCCAGGTGCCGGCCAGTCCGGGAGCACGTACAGATTGCCACACGCTGTCCTCCAGGGGTGAAGGTATCAACCCACTCATCCTGAAGGACAGCGTTGCTCACCAAGTTCGTAGAGAACGAGGGGAGGTGAAGACCTAACAGTGAGCCAGACGGAACCGCCGGACACGGGAGAACAGTGGAGGAACGTGCAAGGACTGGGCCCCCAGAGGGGTCAGCCAGAGAGACAGCAACAGGTGCAGAGAGCGGTGTGACTGTGGTACTGTCGCGAAAGAAACAGCGGGAAGCACCTGAGTCAAGCGTGAAGGTGTGCAAGGCCGCAGCAGGCGCAGTACCAGAGAGAGCAGACTCACCAGCACCTAGAGCAGCAGACTCACAAGCACCTAGAGCAGCAGCCTCTATACCTGGGTCGGGCGGCACACACAGGTAACAATCACCCTCAGCACTAACAGGCAATGCATACATGGCAGTGAGGATAGCATCATAGTCAAGAGAAAAGATATCCACTCTCTGCCTAAGCAGCTCCACTCAGCTGGGGAGCTCAGCCTCGTCACCATACTCTGTATGCCAGGCGTCACACAGACCGGCGAAGCAGCGGGACTGTGTGTGACCAATTGTCCCGCAAGTCTGACCAGCCCGATCACCTGTGCGAATGACGTACGGGCAGCGAGCAGTACTCCGAGACCCTCTACTGTGAGCGTACCACTCACGTAGCTGTTGTGGCGTAAGGGTCTCGCGCGGACGCCGCTGCAGCTGCATCTGGCCACTGCCAGAAACTCCCGACCGACCAGCTCCAGGGCGACTGCCACTACGGCCGCCGCCACAACCCTAACTAGCGTACCACTCACGAAGCTGCTGGGGCGTGAGGGACTCGCGCGGACGTCGCTGGAGCTATATCTGGCCACCGCCAGAAACTCCCCACCGAACAGCTCCACCGGGATTGCGACTACGGCCGCCACCACTCCCACTGCTGCCACCACCGCCGTCACCACTCCCACCGCTACTACGAAGTGAAGTTATAGCGGGCAAGCAAGGAGGCGCGCGACGAGTAGGTCAGTACGGAGGGAAGGCAGTAGCACGAGTAGCAGCAGCAGCAGTAAGAGCAGCAGAGCGGCTCGGTGAGACTAGGCTGCAGCACCTCCAGCACTCCTAGCAGCACCTCCACCAGCAGCAGCAGTAGCACGAGCAGCAGGGCGGATCGGGTTGGGCATGGCGGCTCGGGCTGGGCGGCGCGGCTCAGCCTGGGCGGCGCGGGCAGCAGGGCGTGTGCTGTGCAGGGCAGCAGGGCGCGACGCGCGGGCTGCAGCAGGGCGCGATGCGCGGGGCAGCAGGGCGCGACGAGCGGGCTGCAGCAGGGCGCGACGCGCGGGGCAGCAGGGCGCGGCGCGCGGGCTGCAGCAGAGCGCGACACGCGGGGCAGCAGAGCGCGACGCGCGGGCTGCCGTAGGGCGCGACGCGCAGGGCAGCAGGGCGCGACGCACGGGCTGCAGCAGCGCGACGCGCGGGGCAGCAGAGCGCGACGCGCGGGCTGCCGTAGGGCGCGACGCGCAGGGCAGCAGGGCGCGACGTGCGGGCTGCCGCAGAGTGCGACGCGCGGGGCAGCAGAGCGCGACGCGCGGGCTGCCGTAGGGTGCGACGCGCAGGGCAGCAGGGCGCGACTTGCGGGCTGCAGCAGGGCGCGACGTGCGGGCTGCAGCAGGGCGCGACGCACGGGCTGCAGCAGGACGCGGGGCAGGGCGTGCGCGGGGCTGCGCGACGCGGGGCAGGGCAGGGCGTGCGCGGGGCAGCGCGACACGGGGAAGGGCAGGGCGTGCGCGGGGCAGCGCGACACAAGGCAGGGCAGGGCAGGGCAGGGCGCGCGCTGACGGCGCAGCGCAGGGCAGGGCATGGGGTAACGCGGTAACCGCAGTCGGTCACTAGGTAATGGTGGGCCTGAAAAAAAGGTCCTACGGACCTACTCCTCTGATACCATGTCAGAAACTAACGAGCAGGAATGAATGAACTAGCAGCAAGATGGGTACAAGTAGGAAACCCTAATTGGGTTGTACCCCATATGGTCTACCCCACTATAGCCTACACAATAAGCAGCATATCAGTTTGACACGAACGTGTGAGGCCACCAGACAAATCCAGAGGTCCGATCCATGTTGCCATGGATGTTACAGGCTTGGATCGAAACCTTGTCAGTATGGCATAACGGTTAGGACAAAGTGGTGTCCCTGAAAAAGAGGTATCATAAATATATGACGTACCTATATTTATGTGCTATACTTATTCTTCCTCACACCGAATAGGATACAATCGATATTATTAACGGTTTGATTAATTCCGCGGCCCATGCAAGCAGGTTGTCGCATGTATATGCTCAACAGTTTCAATTGTTTTCATATGGGGTCATTTGTCGAAAGATTTAAAAAAAAAAAAAAACAATTTCAGTTGTGACGAAACACGCGATGAGATTCTAAACGAGGAATAATTATCGGTGGAATATTTATACGCACCATTTTGAGCGAGTTCCATAGTTTAGAACCAACTAGTGTTTCTTTCCCAATTCCCATCCGCCGAAAAAAAAAAAGAAGAGAATTCCATTACTTAGTAAACTCAAGTAACCTATGATCCATTTATGTTGCATAATATATGTCGTATGCTATAATATGAGAGAGTCAACGAAGTGCATTATAGAAAGGAGCCTTTCCAGCTCTAGTACTTCCCAACTGTAGCCGGAGGTGGGAGGACAAACACAAACAGGGGGCCCTTCGGGGCACGTGGGCCGGCTGGGCGGGACGAGGGACTGGGGTGCAGAGGGGATGGCAGGAGGAGCAGTCCGATCGGGGAGGGGAGGGGGGACAGCAAGGGTAGCAGCAGCAGGAGGGACAGCAAGGACAGGGGGGCTGGCACAGGGAGAAGGATGGACAGCAGGGACCGCAGGCGCGTGGAGATCCGCTTTCGGGCTCTGGCTTGGGGGCAGACAAATGGCAAGGTCCATGCGGAGGAGAGGGGATATGAGTGAATGGTCAGAGGATGAGCGAGTAGTGGTGGAGATGGCAGGAGAGGTCGGGGGGTTGGGGGAGGGGAGAGGGGGAGAGGGGAGAGGGCCGGTGGTTGGAGAATACGATAGAGGGCACTGAAGGACCAGGACCGGCAGAAACTAGATTAGCAGCAGAGGCCAGACAGACGCACATGCCGCGTAGGGGCGCCCTTCCGCATTCCAGACCTCACTTGTTGTGACGCATGGCATGATTTAATGGTGCTTGTGGATCCGCAATGAGAGGGTTTGTGGATCCGCAACGAGAGGGTTTGTGGATCCGCAACGAGAGGGTTTGTGGATCCTAAACCGCACAAATGCGTGTAAACAGCTAATTAAGAATAAGCTGCGTGACTGGGGGCCATGACTAGAGGGGTTTCAGCCACCGCCACAGTTCTTGCGTGCGTGCCGGAGACGTTTGAGTTGCTGAACGACCCGCTGCAGTAAGTTTTTTATTTTCCTAATAAGCTGTTTCTCGAAATAACAGCCTTAGTAGCACAGTGGTAGTGCGTTCGCTTCGTAAGCGAAAGGTCCTGAGTTCAATCCTCAGCTGGGGCATGTTCTTTGGGATGTTACTATCTTTTTTTTTAGTCTGCCTGTCGTCTCCATCACGCTTCCTCCAAGTATCGAACAAATCCCGATGTTCGCCGTTCTGTGAATGCGGTTTGGTTGGATTCACTCACGAGCCGATTATTTCCCACTGACGAGTTTCGTTCATTGTTCTTACTAGGTTCTTCGTGTCTCTTTTTAGCCTAGCTTACGTCCTTACGTTGATGTCAGAACCCCTTTAGTAAAGGGTAGCGTAGAGTAGTTATCTGCACGGAATGTCGATGTTTACGGTAGGGAGAGTGAATGATTTGTAGGGACGGACTGGAATGAATATATGTCAGGAGTGCCAGATGTACTGGCGTGAAATAGTTCCGTCCGTTCGTTGTGGATTTCTTCGTACATAGTTCTGACACGAGGTGTGACTCATATCCATTGACCCGCGTAGAACGTGTCAGTAGTAGGTTTCTCTGTATAAGTCTGACACGAGGGGTAACTTTTACGATCCACGAGGGGTAACTGAGAACCATCGACACATAGAGGTTCCTTCATTCGTCGCTGCACGTTGTTCTGACATGACGTCGAATCGCGACTTTGCGACCAATGGGGTGTATATGGACTCTTATCGAAGCCCTAACACCGGAATCGACAGTGATCGGCAACCTGACGCTGGAATTGACACCTATCAACGCCCTCAGGCTGTTTTTGGAAGCGATTCGGTTTCAGAGCAACGGATACGAGCCATGCAGATCGCGGATCTTAAGGACTTCCTTCTTTCACGCGGTGTGTCTCTCTCTCCTCGCGATCACCACCGTCGGTATTACCTTCAGATTGCACTGGATTTGCTAAGGACGAATCGTGGTGATCGAGATGTTGGTTACGATCCGACGGCGCCGGGTCCATCTGTTGCTGTCGGTGAATCAGGGAGATGGTTTCAGGAGGAGCAGCAGCGGCAGCAGCAAAGCGAGCAACCGCAGCATCGGCAGCAGCAGCAGCAGCAGCAGCAGCAGCAGCAGCAGAATGAGCAGCAGCATCGTCGGCACGTGCGGGAGCAGGAGCTAAGAGCCATGAGCACGACTCAGCTGAAGCAGTGGCTTCTCGAGCAAGGCGTGGATCTCTCCCCTCGAGAGCACAAGCGAGCCTACTACCTCCGGATGGCTCTTCCGCTGCTCGCTTCCCTCGGCGCTCCCATCTCCTTCGCCTCTCCGCAGCTCGCGTCACTGAACACGCTCTTCTCGCCTCCCATGGGCTCGCCTGACACGCGCGCGCCATTGAACACGCCCTTCACGCCTCCCTCGGGACCTGCTTATGCTGATAAGTTCGCTTCTGCTCCCTCGGGCGAGCCTCGGTACGCGGAGGGCACGGAGCGTCGTCCAAAGCAACAGGTCAAGGGGAAGTCGACCCCTCCCACAGCAGAGAGCGCGTGTGTTACAGCAGGGCATAAGAGAGCGGCTGAAGCAGCAGCAGTAGCAGAAGCAGCAGCAGGAGCAACGGGAGGAGCAACACGAGGGGCTACAGTGGTGCCAACGCCTGGCGAAACGGCTGCGGAATCCTGGGAAACACCTGAGGAAACACCTGAAGGATGGGGAGTGAAGAGGGACCAGGAGAAGCGCAGCAGCCACAGATGGTGGTGGTGGTGGGGCAGCTCGTTTATGCAAGGGCGTCGGGGGAGGGAGGAAGAAGCAGGCGCTGGTCATGATAGGGAGGAGCACATGCGTCAGCCTGGGCAACAGCAGCAAGAGCAGCAGCCGCAGCAGGGAAACCAGCAGCAGCAGTGGCATCATAATCGGCAACAGCAGCAGCAGCAGCAGCAGCAGCAGCAGCAGTGGCATCAGCATCATCATCAGCAGCAGCAGCAGCAGGGAGAGGAGGAATCAGACACCAGCTCCTTCGTCTCAGCTTCCGATTTCCTCCATCTCCCTTCTTATGAACGCAGCAGGGGTATCCATCCAGAGGCGGGGCAGCACAGGCGTCATGTGCGTGGATCAGCATGGGCAGGGAGTGATGACGGAAGCGATGGTGGAGAGGCAAGTGCAGGTGGGGGTGCAGGTGCAGGTGGAGCTGGCTATGACGAGAGAGCTGGCAATGAAGAGACTCAGAATGGTACCTGGAGTCGGATGCAAGGCCATGGAGTGGCAGGCGTGATCTCAGCGAGTATATTTTTCCCCTGGCTCCTGCTTTCCTCCTTCCTTTCCTTCCTGATTTCACTCTTCCTTGCCTTCTTCCGGAGACTGAAAGGCTCGGCGAGTCGCCGCTCGTCATGGACAGGAACGCCGTCCACCCGCACGTCGACATCATCATCAGCAGCACCGTCTTCAGCCTCGCCGTCAGCATCATTGTCAGCAGCAACAGCAGGAGCATCGATGGCACCTGCTGCTTCTACTGGAAATGCTGCTGCTGTGGGTATGTCAGGCGTCCCTCCCTCTCTTGGAAACGTTGCTGCTCCTCGCGCCTCACCCATCCTACCGCGCCAGCTCCACTTTTGGGCGTCCCACCCTGCTCCCACTCCAGCTCCATCACCTCCCCTGCCTGCTTCTCAACCAGATTTCGCACAGAAGCTTGTCGATGCACGAGAACCGTCATCAGCACGAGGAGCAGCAGCATCGTCAGCAGCAGGTCGGGAAAGAAGGGGTGTCCAAGGCTGGTTCAGCTGGTCAGAGCACCCAACTCGGGCAGGCAGGAAAGGGGAGGAGAGCAGACGGGCAAGGAACGCAAAGCAAAGGCGTGGTGCATGGTCTTGGTCCGTGCAAATGCTGCTGCTGCAGGCAGTGCAGCTGGTGGCAATGGTGGGCGTGGCAGCAGGCGTGTACTCCTCCGCCTGGACGCTCATTCAGTCCCTGGAGCACCGATTGCTCCCCTTCTGCGACACCCATGGCAACCGCCACCTGAAAATAACATCTGAGAAGCCTGATTCTCTGTCAGCATCGCCGTCGGTACTGCCGCAGCAACACGAGCCACTGTTTCTTTCCACGCTCGCGCGTCCACCCGCCAGGTCTCCTCCTCGTCATTCTCCCCTGGATACTCTTTTCCCGTCCTCTCCTCCTGCTGCATCAGCCTCTGCTGTTCGCTGTCGTCCGTGCCCGGACCATGCAGAATGCTCCAAGGGAGTTGCCAAGTGCCGTCCCAGCTACAGCCCTGCGTCAGGCTACAACCGTCCCCGTTACAGCCGTGCTTCAGATCGCAGCGGACTGGGTGCCACGTTCGGGAAAACGAGCGGTAGTAGCGGCAGCAGTAGCAGTGGCAGCAGTAGTGGTAGCAGGAGTGGCAGCAGCAGTGACATCAGCAGTAGCAGTACCACCAGGGGGCTAGAGGACAGTAACAGTGGTGGAAAGATCACCTGGTGGTATGCCCTTGTTTCCTCCTCCCCTGCGTGCGTCCCCGACCCAATCGTGGACCGACAAGTGGCAGCTTTAGAGAGGGACGTGGTTGGCTGGGCGTGTCAGAAACGTGCCTGGCAAATGTGTGCGGGTGCACCTGCCAGCCTGGCGGTTGGGATCAGGAGGGCAACACAATCTGTACTCCAGATGATTCTGCACAGTATGGGGGCTGTTTACAGAGGTGAAGGTGGTGGGATTTGCAGTGCTGGGGATGAGAAGGCATGCTGGTGGGTGAATATGGAAGGGGACTCGTTCCCGGGAAAAAGTGGGAGTGGGTATGTGAGCGAGTGGGAGGTGAGAGAGGCTCTTGATCTTCCCATGGCCCCTGCCTCTGCCTTTCCCGTTCAGTCGTCCGCCTCGGGCAGTGCATCACCCGCTGTTCCTGTCCCACCACTGGTGGAAGCTGCAGCATCACCAGCAGGTTCGATACTGGCTGGTTGGCAGCAGGAGCAGCAGCAGGAGCAGCAGGATCAGCAACAACAGCAGCAGCAGGAGGGGGTGTCTCAGGAGGCAGAGTCAGGTTTGATCAAGCAGGAGAGGGATTTTCTCGTTGCACTGGTCGCCGACAGGGCCTTTGCCAGGGTTCATTCAGGTGACACTTTACTCCGTCCAGGCAGGAGGGAGAAAACTTTCACCTGCCCGGATGACCTGGCACAAGAGCTGGTATCCAACAGCTGCTGGGCATGGCATGTGGCGGCTTCTCATTGGCTGGACCTCCTCCTGGCTCTGCCCTGTGGGATTCTGTTTGCTGTTGCTGGCTTGATGATCAAGAGGAGGAGGGAGTGGGAAGAGGCGGTCAGAACGACGTACACTCACGTCTGTGTGCTGCTGCAGAATGCTGCAGAAGATGCCGAGTCCTGCCGGACGCAGACAGGATACGCCGGCCAGTCCTGGGTTATGGAGGAGGCGCTTCGAGTGCACCTGTTTCCGCCTCCTGTTGGTGTTCACCCATCCTTTGATTCACACTCTACAGTATTTGGTACAGTGCAAGTGGCGATTGTACAGCGGAGTGAAAGGAGACGCCTGCGTGCGGTGGAGAGTCTGTGGAGGGAAGTGCAGCAGTGGGTTGAAGGAAATAGCAGAATTCTGGTTTATCCAAGGGTCGTGGCCGATGCGACAAAGGTTGTGTGGGAGTGGCAGGGTAAGTTTGGGATGCAAGTGCCAGTGTAAGGGATTTGTGGCATTGAAATGGCCGAGGAATCGGTTATGCTGGTGTGAATGGCTGTATCTGTTCATGTCTTCACCCATTTCTCTCATCCTGCTGGTGGTCGCTTGGCAAGTCGGTAACAGATTCACTAATTTCTCCCCTTCTTACCTTCTCTTCTCTCCCCTGTTGATTCTTGGCAGTAGATGGAAGTATCTCAACACCCTCAGAAAAGATTGCATAGCGCCCAGAGGCATGTACAGGTTGGCAAATGTTGGACACGCATATTCACTGCCGAGGTTGTTAGGTATTCGTGCTGTTTTGGATATGATCGTTTTGTTTTGTAAGAGGTCTGTGATGGAATTTTAAGAGGTGTAGGGACAGAGTTTTTGCGCACCATTGAGCCATAATCATGATTGAGCTGCGGTGTACTCTGCCTTGACCCAACATTCATGTGATGTGATGAAGCGCGCCGCCAGACCAGCAGTCGTTGTCAGCCGAGGGACGCCAGCGCACCTCGAACCTGCCCAATCAAATCAGGGGAGGCGAGGTGCGGAAATGGGCGGGCGGGACATATCAGAACTGGAATCACAGGCTCGCTGCTGGTCAGGCAAACAAGAAGGACGGCTTGGTTGGGGTGGGGTTTGATTTTAGGACCGCCGCGTGGCTGGGTGGCTGCAAAACCTCCGCCCTTCAACGGTTTGGGCCTTGTTCGAGAGAACAAGAGGAAGAGGAGTACCAGATCCAGAGGATGAATAGTACTAGGCTTGAAAGTCCAAAAATCGCGTGCGACCCCCATGCGACCAATTTCGTGACCAAACCTCGAGGTTTGGAAACATCAACCTCTTCTTCTCCTCTGCAGCGGCTCGAGATTCCGAGCCGCTACCCCTACAGTCCATTGATTGCACAGTAATCACAGGCAAAAGTGTCCTCACTTTCTCCTCTCCATTCTCTGGCGAGGAGAAAGTGAGGATCAGAGGACTTGAAAATTTGTTGGGCATCTGGGTTTCTACTTCATGTTTACCCAGGGCGGACATGTACGGACATGACCATTCGAGAAAGCCCTAACACATTCCCTTTGAGTTGTATTGTTTTGTGGTTCATTTTCTTGTTGCAAGGGTTGTTAAGTTTTGGAAAATATGGTTTGGGATGGAGAGGAAATGGGAAGTTGAGAGAGCACCAGAGATGGTAGCTGCGATTTGGCATCTTGACCCCGGGCGTGCGGTTGTTGTCGTTTTTGCTCAAATTGGGGCGTTGACTATGCACACCCCTGTCATTTTCTCCAGCTGGCGAATCTGATTGTCTAGCTGTCGACACTGTACAATCTTGCAAGTGGTGTGTTGTCGTTTTTCTACAGAGGCTCGGTACCAGGCCTGTCGATTGACGGGCATATGCCCTTAATGCCCTGAACATTAAGGGCTAGTTTCGCTCCAGCTCCAATGCGTCAAGTTTTTGTTTCGCACCCCACCCGTGCCACTAAGTGCTTCATTCGACCCTTGCCCGGATGCGTTAAGGGACGAAACCAGGCCTTCCCCTTTATCTAAGTTTTGGTTTCATATCGTAGGACCCCCCCCCCCCCCCCCTCCCCCCCCCTCTTTCTCCTTAGCCTGCACTAGAGCGCGCCAAGGGGATTTTTCCCTTAGCGTTTTGTAGCCAATCCCGTATGTGTAGCGTGTCTCTTAGTCAGCCTAGGAGCACCCGCACATTCCCTTAGCGTCCAATACGAGCTGGCCGCAGTGTACAGCTGTGACATATGGGATTATCTTGGGTAAATCTGGCTAAGTTGTTTGGCCACAGAGACATCTAAGACACTAAACCACAGCACGTCAAAGGAACTGAAGCACTCCAGCGCAGCAGCTCCCTCCCTCACCACCTTCGTTCGTGCGAGCCACGATTCCTCTCCACCACCATGCAATCCATCCACCACCACATCCCACCCATGTTTTCTCTTCCGCACCGTCCCACCACCTCCACAGTATCATCCACCCAAGCCCTCAGCTCTCCCCTCCCCTCTCGTACGTGCCATGCTATGGCACTTCTCCTCCACCCAACCACTCTGCCGAGTAAACCTCGCGTCGCCTAGCTCACGCACGCGATGTTTATAGTATGGGTAGCTAACCCGTTCGCTTCGTCAGCCACATTCTCCCACAATGGATCCTAGCGAGGGTGAAACCCCTCCTCCAGTTTTGCCCATGTCGAACGTTAGTCATTCTCATACTACGACCGAGACCGAGCCTTACGTACCCTCGGATGCTGAAGACATGCTAGACGTAGCAATCTCAGTGTTGGACCCGCGCCTCGCCCAGCAAGCATCATCGTCACAGACTACACCTCTGTCAGCAGCCCGCTACCGTCAGGTTCACCTTAGCTTCGCAAGTCCGCCACCAGATTCGCGAAAGCGCGCACGAAGCGTACCGCCTGAAACCTGCAAAAGCCGAGATCGAGCTCCACGAGGACATCATCGACCCTGAAAACCCGGGGGGGGGATGCGACTTGGAGGCCTGCGTGGACCTGGCGCGGCGTTTCGCTCAGCGCCTGATTAAGGCGCTGGGGAAGAGGATGGCGGACCTGCGCCATTTCGATGGTGTTGGGTTTTTCACCCCTGATAAGTATCCCTTCCGTGCAGGAGAGCAGGACACATGGCTGCAGCACCATCTCACCGAGCTCCTGGACATGTTCAAGAACCAGCTACCTGGTAAGCCTAGATTAGTATGAAAGGAACCCACGTATGTTCTAACTTTGTACGTATTATGCTCACACAATGACGTAATCTAACTTTGTATATGTCCTTGGCAGGAGTCGCTCTTGCTGACATAGAGCCGCAGATGCGCCTCTTCACAGCCACCATGGAGAAGAAGTTCAAGAAGCAGAGCTTCCATCAGGCTCTCACCAACATGCTGCGCACTGCAGACTGGAAGGATGACTATCCCACCATAGTCTCTCTCTGGCGTGCGGTCTCTGTGTTGCCCCTCAGCACTGTTGAGTGTGAGAGGGGCTTCTCCCACCAAAACATTATTAAGTCGTGGGATCGTGTTGCTCTTACTGATGTTAGGCTGGGGGAGCTGATGACGGTGAAGATGCTAGACTACCCGGTGGACTGGGCAGCGGCCTATGCCTTGTTTGAGGATAAGGGGAGGAAGCCTGCCAACTAGGCTCGCATTGGATGTCGGGTTAGAGTAGAGTAGCTGAGCTCTGCATGCCATATCTGTAGTTAGTGTAGAGAATAAGAACTTTGCAGGCTAGGTAGGTTTTATGACTATTTAAGACATGTGTAGTGTTAGGTGTCTTTGACTTCTAATTTAAGTACATAACAGCACTTATCATAGTAAAATGAAGTGTAAGTGCAAACTTCAAACATGCCCTGATTTCAAGTTCTGACTTTGGGGTGCGCCCGTGACCCTTAAGGGCGCCAAAACGCTCACCTACCCCCAACCAAGGGTCAGATTGGGAGGAGCTGGGGAGCGCAAGTACGAGCCCCAGGAACTTCGACAGGCCTGCTCGGTACAGAGCAGCATCCTCATCCTCTGGTTTGAGGGGCTCCCGAACAGGGCCCAAATTCTGCAGGATTTCGTGCCTTGAAATGAGCGGAGTTCCGTGCCTGGATGGATTTCTTCTTGCCTCCATTTCAGCATAGTTTGTTGTGCCTGGCTGCTCTGGGCTGGAAATGTGACGTGACACTTCTGCAGACTTACAGACCCCCTCCACTTCAATTTCCAGCTTCATTGCAGCTCACACTGCTATGAGGCCATCATACCAGAGCGCACAGCCAATGCTCTCTGTTTTGGGGTTGAGACCTGGCATCGTTTTTTAGTGTTAGTGCGTTACGTGTACTAGCGGAGTCATCTATCGTTCAAAAGTATCACTTAGTTTTCGTTTCGTACTAATATTACTTCAAAGGTCACCTTCACGGTGATGCGTGCCATCGCCGTGTTTTACTGCCAGCTTATATACCACACAGGTCGTTTAGCTCGTGCGTTATGTCACGTTGATTCGTTAGTACACCACCAACCAACGTCACTGTTCTGCACTGAGCTATTTGACCCAGTTTTTTAACCACAAGTAACTACTAAGTTAATTCAGAGTTTCAAAGTCTATTATACTCACACGTCATTGTTTAGCAGGATAAACCTTCCCGGACATTGAAATCACCTCGAATGTCCATGAAAATCTGGAAGAAGTGGGTTGGCACCAAACAGTGGATGCAGCAAATGTTGTTGTCCTGGACATATATCCCAGAGTAGATCAATGACGGAAGTACTATTGACTGGACAGGGATCGCACAAGTGTTTTTTTCTACACAAAAGTGGACCCCAACATGAGTTCCAAGCATCCATTGGAATCGTTCTGCTCACTTCACCATTCAAGTTCATCAGGGGACAGATATGGACACAAGCTTCCCATGTTGTGTGCGCTGCTGAACTACATGGTGTGACCTCAATCTGGGACTTTTCTATGGGTCAGGCAGGAAACAACATGTTTTATTGCAGGACTAAATTGGCAACAGATATCGCTGATTACAACAATCTACAACTCAAGTCCCGCTTACAGCTTCTGCCAACACCCTGGTTCTTTATGTCATGCACTTCTTGTGCCTACCCTACTACCAGGTAAACCAGCAGAGTCCTTGTAACACAATAAGCACACACAACTAGCTGTTGTGCTAGTGTAAGAGCTAGGACATTCCCACCCCAACCTAGCTTGTGTCATGCACAGGCATCATGCTATTCAATGAAACAGGTGGCAGAATCTTGCCAGTCCGTGCAGGACGTGGTGCTGCATGAACCTCTTGTGCTGAAATCCACTTAACACCCCCCTCCTCAGTGAATTTCCGCAGATCAAGCCGCCCATCTCCCAATACACCTGAAGGTGTTACTGGGGACGGCATGCCTGTGGCATCCACTGGACCCTCACTGACCTGCCGTTTAAGAGCAAGATGATCAAGAGGTTCGCCCTTGACCCCCACCTCTCCCAACCACCATTTATTCCGCGGTCCTTCTCCTGCCTTCATATGTTCACTTTTTCCCAGGATGTAATGAGGGTCATTCGGCAACTCTTTCACCCTCTCAAGCGCCTCTCCTGGGTTAGTTGACAGCACGAGAGGCGAACTCTGTACACGAAGAATCGGCGAAGCTTGTGGACGCCGAAGGGGTGTGGCCGGACCCATTTCTGCTGCACAATTTATTAAAGAGTGTGATGCTTTTAAAGAGGATGGATGCTGCTGCACCGCGTGGGGTTTGAGAGGAGACGGCGTTGTTTGGTTACTGAAGTATCGAGCTCTCCAAGCCTCAAAGGCCTGCCAGCCGTACAGAGGCGATGACTGCTGCAACACTTCAGCTCCAACATCCGCTGCCTGCTCTTTTGTGTACCCCAGAAGTCCCTGCTGCAACACTTCAGCAGCACCTTCTGCTTCTCCATTCCCTGCACGCCCCTGCTTCAGGAGACACGCATCACTGCTGGTACCTGTTGCTGGCTTCACAGGAGAAAACGATTTCCCCTGCCGTGCCGCAACTGGCCCTAGCATTGACTGGGAAGCCTCTTCCCACTGCAATGCACCACCAGCACTAGCTTCTGCAACTCTCCTCCTGTCCGTAAAGTCTATGACGGCACCGATTTCTTCTGCAGAATCGCTCCCCCTACTAGCCACACAGTTGCTCTCACCAGCTGTGATCCCTCGACCTCCTCCAACCGTGAACCCTATCATTCCCCCTCCTGCTGCTGCTGCTGCACTGTCACTTCCAGCTGCACTGCCACTGGGAACGCCTCTAGATGCTTCAGCTAAACGACTGCCAGTGTGTCGTTGCACAGTTCCTCTCAACATATCTACACACGCAACCCTAGAACCGTCTTCTTTTTCTCCAATACCAACACCTGCTTCCACATGACCTTCTGATTCTGAACTCTTTCCCAGGTTCTCACGGTCTTGAGCACTAGCTGGACAGTGGCTCGCTGAAAGCCCATTGGTTGATAAGCTTAGAGAGAGAAATGTACCTCCATCCTCTCTCCGTCCATCAAATACTCCTCCAGAATTGCTTACATCCATGCGACCTTCAACCCCGTCCCTCCTGCAGCAGACGACCACCCTCCCCTCTGGCCGCACAGTATCCTCACTCCTCTGCGACAAATCATCCCCACTCTCCAGCTTTCTCTTTCTGCTTCGCTTCCTACACTCTTTCTCACGGCCACTCTCCACCTCCCACACGTGCGGCCTATGGCTGGTTTTACATTCTTTGTTATCCGCTTCATGATCCACTGGTGCCGTACTACTTGCCGAAGCACTCCTACCCGCACGCACAACCCTCACCTCCTCTCCTTCACTCTCACGAACCACCCTCTCACCCTTCACCTCCCTGCCGCCGCTGCCATGCCGTAACTCCTCACGCTTCTCCAGGCCTTGCACCAAGGCCAGCTGGCAAGACTCATCCATGTCATCCCGGGCTGCTACAAGATAATTCCTGTGACCAGCTGGACTAACCACAGCATTCGAGATTGTTTCAGGCGGCCTCTTGAGTGAAGGTTCAGCTGCACCACCAGTTGAAAAGGCCTCTCCAGCTCCCCAACCCTCCCACACGTTCCCACCACTCTTCGTCTCTTGCCTTTGTCCCTCCCCTTCCACCAGATTCAGCTGGAAAAACTCCTCAACATTGCTTTTAGGACCAACTCCGAAATCAGCAGGACCGGCTGCAGCATCTGAGGTTGTTCCAACAGTCCTCTTGACCAAATGCTCAGCTGCATCATTAGCTGAAAAAACATTTCTAGATCCCAACCCCTCACAGCCATTCCCAACACTCCTTGCCATTTCTTGATTCCCCCCACCTTCCCCCAATCTCAGCTGGGAAGTCCTCTCAACTCCCGAACCTCCCAAAAAACTGGCTTTGCGCTCGGCTGAATCAAGCACATCAACCGAAGTGTCAAGGGGTAAATGCTTGAGTGAATGTTCAGATGAATCGCCAGACGCACCTGCAGCTGCTGCTGCCTTAGATCCATAGGTCACTGCTGTCCCAGCCACAGCTGCTGCTGTTATCCTAGCTGCTGCAGTAGCTCCTGCATCAGCTGCGACAGTTGATGCTGCTGCATGCTGTGTCCAATCACAAGCAACAAATCCCTTAGCCGGCGTGGAAGAAAGCCCCGAGTACTTCTGAGATGTCTCGAAAGCAGCGCCACATGATCCTGCTCGTTGCTCAATCTGATCGCAACGCACCAACCCCTTAGCAGGTGCGGAAGAAAGCCCCAGGTACTTGTGAGACGTCTCGAAAGCAGCGCCACGTGATTCTGCTCGTTGCTCAGTCCGATCACATCGCACCAACCCCTTAGCAGGTGCGGAAGAAAGCCCCAGGTACTTGTGAGACGTCTCGAAAGCAGCGCCACGTGATTCTGCTCGTTGCTCAGTCCGATCACATCGCACCAACCCCTTAGCAGGTGCGGAAGAAAGCTCGAGGTGCTTGTGAGACGTCTCAAAACCAGCGCCACTTGATTCTACTCGTTGCTCAGTCCGATCACATCGCACCAACCCCATAGCAGGTGCGGAGGAAAGCTCGACGTACTTGTGAGACGTCTCAAAACCAGCGCCACTTGATTCTACTCGTTGCTCAGTCCGATCACGTCGCACCAACCCCATAGCAGGTGCGGAGGAAAGCTCGACGTACTTGTGAGACGTCTCGAAACCAGCGCCACTTGACTCTGCTCGTTGCTCTGTCCGATCACAAGCCAAGGATCCCTTAGCAGGCGTGGAAGAAAGCCCCAGGGAGAGTTCTCCCTGCTGCCAGGCGCACCAGGAGCTCAGCGCCGTGTCACAACGAGGCAACGGAGGCACAGCGCCGTTCTCACTTCCAGAGGACGTCACAGCTGTCGGCGCAGCCGCCTCATCCGATGCTCGCACTGCATCGTTCACGACCCCTGCAGCCCCACCACACGATGCCTGCAGCAGCGGTTCGTGTTGAGGCGAATCGGATGAGGAGGCTTGACGGGATACTGGTTGTAGTACGCCTTGGGAAGGCCCAACGATACACAGCTCTTGCTGTGTCCCCTGACGCGGCCCCAGCTGCAAACCCTGCTGCGACCCTTGCTGCGACTCCCACTCTGTCCCCTGCTGCGTCCCCTGCTGCGTCTCCCGCTGCGTCTCCTGCTGCGTCCCCTGCTGTGCCCCCTGCTGCGTCTCCCGCTGCGTCTCCTGCTGCGTCTCCTGCTGTGTCTCCTGGTGTAATCCCTGCTGCGTTTCTTGCAGTGAGACGCGTCTTCTGCGGCGGTGGATGGCGGGAGGGGGGTGGTTGTGTGCGGCCTCGTAGGTGACCTTGGTGCTGCGAGCGCGCGAGGAGAACTGCTGGTGAGCGTCAAAGTCAATGTGCTTGCGCGCTGGGCAGGGAGGCGAGTCGGCGTGGCTGTAGCAGGGAAGACTGGATATGCAGCGGTAGTATGCCCTGGGGGAAGCAGGTAAGGTGGGAGGGTGTGGGGAGTGGGGCAGGGTGGGGGGGAAAGAGGGAAAAACTTGGGACGTGAATAGGGAGAGAGGTAGGGGAAAGGAGGGACGCTCCACCTGCGGCGGTGGATGGGGGGGGGGGGGGTGGTTGTGTGCGGACTCGTAGGTGACCTTGGTGCTGCGAGCGCGCGAGGAGAACTGCTGGTGAGCGTCAAAGTCAATGTGCTTGCGCGCTGGGCAGGGTGGCGAGTCGGACTGGCTGTAGCAGGGAAGGCTGGATATGCAGCAGTAATATGCCCTGATGCAGAGGAGAGGGGAGAGAAGGAAATAAAGGGATCGGGGGTGGGATGCATCTATGAGCGTGAAATACTTGCAAACCGGACTGGGAGTGGTTGTAGCATGGAAGGCTGATATGCAGCGATATGCCCTGCGAGGAGGAGAGGAAGGGGGACTAGAACGGGGGACGAAAGATTTGGGATGTGGATGGAAAGACAGGTAGGGGCATGGGGGGGCATGGGTAGGGAAAGATATTTTAGTAAAAATGAAGTAAGTGATACTTGCTTTCGGCCTTAGTCACATTAGTAAAAATGAAGTAAGTGATGGGAAGAGACAAGAGAGATCGAAGGAGAGGGGCGTGAACGACAACTGAGAGAAAGAACGGTTGAAGAGAGGGGAGGAGGGAGGAAGGCAGAGATGGAGGGAGGGAGGAGGGGAGGGGGAGGGAGGGGGAGGGAGGGAGGAAGCGAGGGAGGGGGAGATGGAGGGAGGTAGGTAGGTAGGTAGGTAGGTAGGTAGGTAGGTAGGTAGGGAGGTAGGTAGGTAGGTAGGTAGGTAGGTAGGTAGGTAGGTAGGTAGGTAGGTAGGTAGGTAGGTAGGTAGGTAGGCAGGCAGGCAGGCAGGCAGGTAGGTAGGTAGGTGGGTAGGTAGGTAGGTGGGTAGGTGGGTAGGTAGGTAGGTAGGTAGGTAGGTGGGTAGCTAGGTAGGTAGGTAGGGAGAGAGATTGGAGGGGAGAGAGTAAGAAAGGCAGGGAGGGAGGGAGAAATGTTGGAGGAAAAGAGTAATGGAGGAAGGTGGGACGGGAGGGAGGGAGGGAAGGAGGGAGGGAGGGAGGGAGGGAGGGAGGGAGGGAGGGAGGGAGGGGGGAGGGAGGGAGGGGGGGGGGGAGGGAGGGAGGGGAGGGAGGAGGAAGGGAGGGAAACAGGGAGAGCGGGAAGGAAGCAGGGAGCGAGGGAGAAGAGCAGGGAGGGTGGTAGATAGGTAGGCAGGAAGGCAGGGAGGGAAGGAGGGAGGGACGCAAGGAGGTAAGCACGGAGGAAAGCAGGGAGGTAGGGAGGGAGGGAGGGAGGGAGGGAGGGAGGGAGGGAGGGAGGGAGGGAGGGAGGGAGGGAGGGAGGGAGGGAGGGAGGGAGGGAGCGAGGGAGCGAGGGAGGGAGGGAGGGAGGGAGGGAGGGAGGGAGGGAGGGAGGGAGGGAGGGAGGGAGGGAGGGAGGGAGGGAGGCAGGGAGGCAGGGAGGGAGGGAGGGAGGGAGGGAGGGAGGGAGGGAGGGAGGGAGGGAGGGAGGGAGGGAGGGGGGAAGGGAGGGAGGGAGGGAGGGAGGGAGGGAGGGAGGGAGGGAGGGAGGGAAAGAGGGAGGGAGGGAGGGAGGGAGGGAAAGAGGGAAAGAGGGAATGAGGGAACGAGGGAACAAGGGAACGAGGGAACGAGGGAAAGAAGGAGGGAGGGAGTGAGTGAGTGAGTGAGTGAGTGAGGGAGGGAGGGAGGGAGGGGGGAAGGGAGGGAGGGAGGGAGCTAGAGAGAGGGGGAGGTAGGGAGGTGGGGAGGTAGAGAGGGAGGGAGGTGGAGAGGGAGGGAGGAAACGAGAGAGGGAACGAGGGAGGGAGGAAACGAGGGAGGGAAAGAGGGAAAGAGGGAGGGAGAGAAAGAGGGGAGGAAAGAGAGAAAGAGGGAGGGAAAGAGGGAACGAGGGAACGAGGGAACGAGGGAACGAGGGAAAGAAGGAGGGAGGGAGGGAGGGAGGGGGGAAGGGAGGGAGGGAGCTAGAGAGAGGGGGAGGTAGGGAGGTGGGGAGGTAGAGAGGGAGGGAGGTGGAGAGGGAGGGAGGTAGAGAGGTAGAGAGAGAGGGAGGGTGGGTAAGAGGGAGAGTGGAAGAGAGGGAGAGTGGGAGAGAGGGAGAGTGGGAGAGAGAGAGAGAGAAGACAACAATGAAAATATAATAAAGGGAAGCGCGCAATAGACTAAAACGAAAGACCAATCAACAATTATATGATAGCGATACATTGGATTGTTGAGTGATTTGTTAGTTTGGAAAATAAGACTAGACATGTGGCTGCGTGAATAAAATTTGCTTATATATATACATGTATAAAAATAAGCATAAAATATGTACAAAAAAGGTTATACATACATTTATGGAGGGGAGGAGGGAGGGAGGGAGGGAGAAGGGGAGGGGAGGGAGGGGAAGAGGGAAGGGAAGAGGGAGTGGAAGAGGGAGGGGAAAAGGGAAGGGGGGAGGGGAAGAGGGCAGGGAAGAGGGAGGGGAAGAGGGTGGGGAGCGGGGGAGGGAGGGAGGGGGGAGGCGGGGCGGGGAGGGAGGGAGGGGAAGAGGGAGGATGGGGAGGGAGGGGGGAGGCGGGGAGGGGAGGGAGGGAGGGGAAGAGGGAGGATGGGGAGGGAGGGGGGAGGCGGGGAGGGGAGGGAGGGAGGGGAAGAGGGAGGATGGGGGGGGAGGGGGGAGGCGGGGAGGGGAGGGAGGGAGGGGAAGAGGGAGGATGGGGAGGGAGGGGAAGAGGGAGGAGGGAGAGGGAGGTGGGGAGGGAAAGCATCAGGGAGATGGAGATCTTAAGCGTGTAGGGGGAGGGAGAGGCAAGAAGGGGAGAGGGATGGAGATATTTGTGCCCGAATAAGGACAGCAGTACAACTCAGCCTACTACGGAAAGTACGCCTGTTCAACTCTGATCCTCTATTTGATTTCTGGTCCGCTGATATCTAACACTTGAAAAAGGCTGCAGATGTGCAGAGAACGCTAGATGATTGTTTGGAACGAGAAAAGAGGCGAGAAAGGGAAAGGGAACTTCTGTCTGCTGGAAACCGACCTTCTGTGTCCCGCACTTTTTAAAAGCTTGGAGCCATACTTCAGCCACTGAAATCCATCAGAAATTGCAAATTTCGAGATGCTGTTCAGCTCGAGAGGAAGATCTTTGAACCAAATGTTGTCCGACATGTTACAGTTGCAATTTTTTAACAAAATATGTGAGTCCAGATCCAACTGTTTTTCTTCCGCAGGCGTCATGCACACGGTGTCATGCTTGGTAGACGACGTCCTGAGTATGTAGTAGTATAATTAGTATTCATTATTTTGCCAACTTCACAGTCCGTAGTTTAGGAGGCTCCTTGGCCTAGTGCTCGCGCCGGTGCAAATGGGGTTTGTGTCATCACCAGCTGGTGGTGAACCCGTTCTCAGGACCCAAAACAAGGACTGTCTGATTAGGGCGGAACAGGACCAGAAGCATTTGCAGGCTTGCACGAAAAGGATGGATGGAGTGACCAACGAAACCCTCAATATGGCGTGGCGTGATAATCGCCTCGTCAACAGATCCCTTCGTACGCCATGATGGTACAGTACAGATGATGCTCAACCCCTGCGCGCGAATTTGCCCGGCACGCGCCAGAAAGTCTGCACGCGTGTATTTGGGGTCAGCCACCTTGATCAAGTTGCAGTGATAATGAACCAAACGTAATGAATACTGACCGACGTCAACTGTCAATGAAATTTTGGTGAACCAATGGTAACGAAGAGACTGACGTCAACTGTCAACGTGTAACATTTTAGAAAGTTATAAGCACTTTTTTGCTAGCTGCGACGTTGACGAAGCTTGCGAAATGTACAAAACCACTTAAAAGCCCCCTTCACAAGGCAACCTTGGGTTAGTCAAACGAGCATCATTTGTACAGAAATAGGTGCGGACGTAAACCCTTTATGTCGTCCTTGATTCTGCCCATCATGGAATTGTGGCTGGACCTGGGTACTTGAGGGGTGTTCTGTTTGTTTTTCATAGTCAAGGCACCCTTCGTGCTTTTGCCTCTCTACTTCCGTGACGGGCAGAGATACAATCACCGTCACCCTCAACCAGGTGGATTTTGACATCAGAAGGACAACGTACAGTGCCATACCAAGTTTCCCTCCGGATTGGTGGGTACAACGTTCCAGAACCACCTGAACTTGAGACATGGAAAAAACAAGAAAATGGCCAAAGCCAGTCTTCTGTTGATGCAGGTGACCTCACAACTGGAGTGATGTGATGATTATTTCTCCCCACCTTTGCGGTGGGAAGGAGGACTCCGCTGAGTTTTCCCTCCCTCCACCACCAACCCATCTCGTGCAAGATTGCTGCCATTGGGGGCAACTGAATGCAGGGGAACAGAACCGTGCTTCTCGGGCTTGGATGGATGGATCTCCGCCGCACAGTTGGGTGCTCTGAATGCACAACAAGAATGGATCGAGAGGCTGTGCTCACTCGCCAAGGCGGTGGCAGATTGCTACCTCCAATACAGTGGAGATGCGTTTGTGTGATTCTGGAAGGTTGTTTTCGGCCATTTTCAGGTGCATGCAACTTAGTCTAGGAACTGTATTCAAGTGCATGCCATGTTATTCGGCAGGTGTGTACACTTTGCGCAGCTTAGAAACGTGTCATTTTTAAAATTACGCGCTTGCCAAGATTCGTTTCAAATTAGCACAAACAGTCGAGAATAGATGCGATTTCGGATTACGCAAAGCGAAATCGGAATGGTTGGCTCTCGATTTTGCATTTTTTGACGTCACCAGAAGCAATCATTGCATGTTTGCCCAAATTCAACGCGAATTTCTGCTTTGCCCCAACTCTTCTTGAACAAATTTAAATCATAGATCAGCTGTACTATTGACACAGGTGACGAGTGCTGCGCATGGCAAATCAACATTTTTTTCTTGGGCGTGCAGAAATTTGGAAAGGGTAATCCCAATTATGAGAAGTCTGCCCAACTGTTTGTAAAGTTTGCCCCTACAAAAAATAATGTTCATACGGTACATGTATATTCTAATTGTTGGGATACCTTAGCTTTCATTACCTACCATTTATAATTCTTGTTGCGTATTTATTTATAGCGGTAAAGGAAACTCTATTAGGACTCGGGCAGATTTTTCACTCTTCGGATCATCATTTCTTAATTTCTGCACGCCCAAGAAAAAATTGTTGATTTGCCCTGCGCAGCGTCCGTCACCCGCGTCAACAGTACAACTGATCTAGCATTTAAGTTCGTTCAAGAAGAGTTGGGGCAAAGCAGAAATTCGCTTCGAAATTGGGCAAACAAGCAATGATTGCTTCTGGTGACGTCAGAAAATGTAGCATCGAGAGCCAACCATTCCCGATTTCGCTTTGCGTAATCCGAAATCGCATCTATTCTCGACTGTTTGTGCTAATTCGAAACGAATCTTGGGAAGCGCATAATTTTACGATAACAAATTTCTAAGCTGCGTAAACTGTACACACCTGCCGAATAACATGGCATGCACTTGAATACATTTCCTAGACTAAGTTGAATGCACCTGAAAATGGCCGGGTTGTTTTCCCCAGGTTGCACGTCATGCACTGTTGTGTGTGTACTCTTGTTTCCGTCCTTCTTCACCCTGGAAAACAAATGGTACACGTTTTTAGACAGCGTAAAAGTTTTGAGTCTGAATGAGCGCCATCAAACCCTGACGCAACTACGACGAACATCCCAGCGCAATTCGGTCGTCGGAACCGATCTGCCTGGGTCGTCGGAGCCGGGGCTGACGAGGCGGGCAACTGACGCGCGTGCGGGCCCGCCAGCCTGGCCCAGGGCGGGGCCGAGCGCACGACCGCCGCCCCGCAACCCCCCCGCGTAATCGAACAGGGACCCACGTTACCGGGTGGGGGCGGCGAGCTGGCGACCCCTCGCGCGAGGGAAAGTAACCCCAGCGCGAAGGCAGCCCACTCGTCCCTCCTGCCCGCGACGTCCTTGTAACCCATCGCGGCCTGCCCGGACGGGCAGGCGAGGCCCATGCGAAATTCGGGTGCTCCCCTCGGGACGCTCGACAATTTCGCGACCCGTTGCGGTGACGCCACGTGTCCTCCCGTGAATTCGCATCGTGCGCATGCGAAATTTCGGACGATGCGAAATTGAATTCCTCGCATCGCGGCGCACAATTTTCGCGATCCGCTGCGAAATCGACACGTGTCGGACGAAACGACGCAGCGGGCGCATGCGAAATTGCGTCCCATGGCCGACCGAGGCCGGGGGACGTGACGTCGACCTGCTGGCTCGACGGCGAAGGAGCACATGTGCCACTTGTGCATGCAGCCCGCCAAACCCTGCCGAGCTAGGCACCACGAGCCCTGCGCGTTGCCACCAAACCCTGCCGAGCCAGGCACCACGAACCCTGGGCGATGCCTCCCTTTTCTTGGTGGAAAGAGGCATCGCTCCTCATTTTCAGCATTTCGTTTCTCGTTCAGCATTTTGCCCACCTCTGCGCCTCAATCCCACGTTCTCGTCCCTTAGCCTGTAGTCACTACCCTTCCCCGCCATGGCGGCCGACGCGAAAGCCGGCGAAGCGGCGCCGAATTCGCAGGACTTCCCTCTGTATCTCGACCTGGGTTGTGGGCTCACTTCCGAGCTCGACGAACACGACTACGCCGTCCTCGCAGACCATAGGCTAGAGTTCAACGCCCCTTTCTTGGGATTCGGCCTCAAGTGAGTCTCCGTATGGGGATGTCGGCGTCGTCCTATGGATACCTTGCTAGTCGACGCAGCGTCGGTGTTAGGGTTGTCCCACGTATAGGCTTCTCGTTGACGCCGACTTTAGGTGTCAGGGATATGTAGATCTCCGAATCCACCAGTACGTCGGAGTCGGCACCTGGTTGTGCCCGCATCGGTCGGCTCCATTGACTACACCGTCGTTAGGGTGGTGCACCGTCATTTTATTGCCATCCCCGTCTGTTGGCGCTTCCTGAACCGACGTATCCACCGTCGTGTCATGAACCCCCTCACTCACCCCTAATACCCATGCGTGCGTGCAGGCGATCATGGACTGTCGCGACGGAGGCCAAGATGCGATTGTGGTCGATAGGAACCGGGGTTCTTCGGGCGGCGATGGGTAAGGTCGACCACACATGCTTCGCGACGGTTTTCGACGCCGACGTAGCGGTTATCCCCCTGCATTCAGGGTGAGTTGGTTTAACAAGTCGTCATGGTGTGCCATGCATCTTATGTCGGTGCTCTGGTCTGAACGACGTCGTCGTGCCTTGCCTGTGCAGCATCGCACCGCTTCCCGGAGCACATTGCAGCATCGTTGTCATCATGTACCCCGGCGACTTGTTGAAGGCCGGGGGGGAGAAGATCAGGACCTCGATCCGGCACCTGGACCCGCAGACAGCGAAGAAGTGGCACCGCGACGAGGCGATCCGCGTGCTGAAGTGAGCTCGATAGTGTAGTCGACGACGCATGCAATTTCGCCGCGCAGCGTACATCACGCTTACCGACTATCTGTGCCATGTTGCTTCAGGTTTTTCCGGGCGGCGGTCCTGGCCGAGATGGGCCGCGATGGTAGGAAGTGGGAGTGGCCGAAGCCTTCTGATGAAGAGGTCATCGACAGGCTCGCCGACTGCGATTCACCCCTTCGAGATGTGAGTTCCGAACGACTTACCGTCCTACAGTGTGTCCTTCTTGCGCGATGCGATTGCGCGGTGCTCATCCTTTCTCTCTGCATTGTTGTATGCAGAAAGTGCCCGACGTCGTCCGGGACGGGGACGCGGGCTCCGGCCTGCTAGCAATGAGCGCGTTGTGCTAGGTGGTGAGGAGGTTGGAACTTCTGACCGGCGCCCTCCGTCGCAGTGAGACCAGCATGGACAAGGTCAACGTTTCGGGGTTGAAGGCGATGCGGAATGGGATGATAACGTTCGTCAAGGAGCACATCGCTCAGAAACGGGCGGGCCATGTCGGAATTGCGGTCGACGCCTGTGACGACGACGGCGAGGATCCCCCTGTCGCCCACACCGTCGATGATGCGCGTGGGACTTCGCTCGGAGAGCCCGGAGGCGGCGTCGACAAGGCAGCTGAGGAGGCAGGAAGGGCGGTGACTGGGACCGCGGAGGAGCACCAGGACGGTAACGGGGATCAGGAAGAGGAGGATGATAACGAGTATCAGGAAGAGGAGGACCATGGGAATCGTGAGGAGCAGGAGGAGAAGCAGGAGGAGGAGGAGGAGGAGGAGGAGGAGGAGGAGGAGGAGGAGGAGGAGGAGGAGGAGGAGGAGGAGGAGGGGGGGGGGCTCGGCGGAGGAGGAGGAGGCGGATGTCGGGGAGGCGGAGAAGCAGCAAGAGGGGGAGCAGGAGGTAGAGGTGGAGTGGGAGATAATGGAGGAGGTGGTGGAGTACGAAGACGGAGCGGCGAAAGTCGGCGTGGAGGCGGATGTTGTGAATGGGGGAGGGGATGATGCCGACGAGGAGAAAGTCGGCGTGGAGGCGGCTCCCGGGGGGAGTGAGAAGGTCGTGGTCGGCGATATGGTTGGCGACCAGAAGGAAGTTGTCGACTTCGAGGCCGGTGAAGAAGGGGATACCGCAGCGGCCACGAAGCAGACGGGCGTGGAAGGGCCTACCGAGGCCACCGTGGGGAAGGCCGTGGGGGAGGGGTCAAGGAAGAAGAAGGCGGCGCGTGGTCATCCCGGTTCCTCCGCGTCCAGTCGGCAGGCACCTCTGGACGTCGTCGAGCAGCTGCGAGCGGAGAACATGAGGTTGAGGGCCGACAACGCACGCCTGCAAAAGTCGCTCGGTGACCAGACGGGACGGGTCGACATCTTGGCGAAGGCGGTAGCTGGACTCCTCGACAAGCTCACCGCGTTGACCGCTCAGGTCGCCGCCACCGATCTGAATGCGGCAAAACGTATCGAAGTCGCCACTTCGGCCATGTCGACCACTATTGCCGACATCATCACCGACAACATCTCTGATGCCATCGACGCTACGAAGTCGGTCTCCCGAAAGGTAGTGGACTGGCTGAAGGATATTGACGGTCCCCAAGGAACGATGGCATTCGAACGCGCAAATGCGGTAACGTGTGTGGTCGAGCACCAGGACGCTGTGTGGAAAGGCTTGGAGGAGACCATCATCAGCCACATCGGCGCCGCGCAAACCAACATTGCCGCCGCGGTTTCACGCAACATCGTCCTGCCGCCGCCGCCACCTCCTCCTCCCGCCCCAACTCAAGCCATCTCGGAAGAGTTCCTTAAGGCGTTCAAGGCGGACGTGCTGAAAGCGGTGACGGAGGTCACACAGCAGTCGTTTGTTGCGTCCGGGCTAAAGGTAATAACCGAGATGATCGGCAATGTGGCGCCTGGTCGACGTCGGTCGTCGCCGTCGGCCAACGACGCCGGCCAAGCGCAACGACAGGATGCTCAGAAACAGGGTCAGAAGAGGGGGGCCGGAGGCGGCGGGGGAGACGGAGGCGATTCAACGAGTGCTAAGCGGAGTAAGGGAGTCGATGGGAGCCGCGGCGTCGGCGCGGTGGGTCCTGGCGGCTCGTGGACTCAAGGTCAGAGCGTTGTCGACCATCTCAAGAAGAACGGGGCCGAGGTGATAAGGTCGCACCGCAAGGGCGATGGAATCTGCAGTGCAGATGGGGGCCCTGCCGACGAGGTTGCCGCTCAAGACGCTGGACCAACAGCCCCGCCCTTGGTCGCCGACAATGAGATCCCAACCGCTCTAACGGCGGTAGATGGCGGCGCCATAACCGTCAAGGGACCGTCTCTCGGGGTGGCAGGGACCACGTCGATTCCCCGTAACCCCCCTGCGGCCAGCAGCGCGCCGGTCGGCCAGTCAGCCGCCAACAACGATGGGCCGGCCCTTGCGGCTACTCCAGCTCCAGCAGGCCCGTCTGCCGCCAAGGACGCTGCGGCTAACCGCGATGGTCCGTCCGCCAAAGCGGTGCCCGCAGCGGCGAACTCGCTCAGGGAAATGCTCCACCGCATGGAGACCCATCGCAAGGACGTGCAGAAGCCTCCCTTGGTCGATGCCGCCCCTGCCGAAACAGCACGTCGCTCGGTCACTTCGCAGGTCGCCGACACAACGCCCAACGCCCCACCTACCGCGCCTCTGGTCGCCGCCCGTCCTCCCGCGGACCCGAAGTCCGCATTGCTTCGCGCCCGGTTAGGCACACGTACTGCGGCAGTGCCAACACGGACTCAGCCGGAAGCCGGCTCAAGCGCGACGCCGACAACGGTAAACGTTGCTGCTCCCACACCCGGTGCAGCTGTTGTCGATGCGGCGGCTGAGAAGGGCGTGAGTGCAGCGCTAGCCACCGGCGGCGTAGCCGTTGACCCTGCTAAGGCGGCGAAAGCCCACAACGACGCCGACCTCGCTGCCATCCAGGACCTGTTGGAAGCGGTACATCGCCCCGGGCCCCCCCCTGCTCTGGCCATCGCGGACACGGCGCATGTGGAGCCCTCGGCGAGTCACCCGGGTGGTTCAGCGGAGCCAAGGCCAGCGACCACTGAGACTGTCGGCAACGGAAAGGCGAAGTGAAAGGGGAAGGCCGACACAGGGAAAGGGAGGGCGAGCTCTCAGAGGAAAACACGGGCGAAGTTGGCGGCGGAGGAGAATCTGGAAGAGAAGTCGGTCGGCGAGGGTACGTCAGCGAAGAAAGGGAAGGAGAAGGCGGCGGAGAAGGAGAAGGAGAAGGAGAAGGAGGAGAAGAAGGAGGAGGAGGAGGAGAAGGAGAAGGAGAAAGGACGACGGAAGGGTCATGGCATCCGCCACGACAGCTCGGGCGACGGGCAAAGGTGGGTGGGCGAGATTAAGGTGCTCAATTTGAATCGATACATCGGCAAGTCGCGCGACTTCATGGAGCTGGCGTACCTGCACTCGATTGCGTACATCGTGTACGACGGTTATGTCAGCAAGGTCCTCATGGACGAGCTCACCGGCTTGAAGGATACCGAGTTGGAGGAGTGGAGGAAGGTGTGGGAGGAGGTCAAGATACTGCCGACAGGGATGTGGACGGTGATATGGGCACGGGGCGCGTACCTTCCAAAAACACGGTAAGTCGGCTACCCTTAGGTCGAGTGTTGATGACGATGTTGGAGTCCCTAATGGTATCCCGGTTTCATGTGATTGCGTGACAGGTTCGATGATATCCTCGGCAAGTATCGAGCGTACACGGGCTCAGGCGATGAGCACCACGACGCGCTCTTGCCGGCGATCTGGTTCCCCGTCGATGCCGACACGAAGGAAGGCCAGGAGAAGTCGGATGCTATGATTTCGGCCATGATAGGTCGCATGTCCATGTGCGCGGCGTATGGGAAGGTCGCTGCGAGCGCGGCGAAGAAGGAGAGAGACACGGCGGAGAAGACGGAGATGGCGGCACAAGCGTGGTCGGCATCGGCTTGCGCCTTGTGGTGCTTAGTCGAGAACGATGGTGCCCAGGTGGTCGATGCTGTGGGCGAAGGGAAGGCGGCGGCGATGGTGGTCGGTGCGAGCGAGAAGACCGCAAGTGTCTTCAAGGATGTCATGCAGGCGGTGCTGGAGGTCGAGATCGACAGGGAGCAACCCCTCGGGGAGGTCGCGCACAACGTCGCGCCGGCGCTGCAGAGTACCGCTCTGCAAAGGGTCTATCCGGGGAGGGATGCTGATGTCGAAGCCGTCGTCATCGCTAGAGCTATGGTGGAGACCATGGCGTTCTGGGGAATGTGCCCCGTCGCCGAGCCGAAACTCGAAGGGATCGGCATCGCGGTGCCGTGTGACGCGCAGATGGAGCACGATTTTAAAGAAAGGGGGAGGAAGGGGCAGAGGGGCAAGCAGGGCAAGGACATCACGGGGAAGAAGGGGAAGAAGGGCAGGAAGGGCAAGGACAGCACGGCGGCGTAGTCCGGGCGCGGAGGGTGCGCTAGGTGGTCTGATTGCTAGGGTGTAGTCTGGGTGGCGCCGATTGCGTAGTTGCATGTAACTTTTTGTTGTGGTTGTAACTTTTTGGTAGTGCACGTAACATTTTGGGAGCATGTAACTAGAACCCCAGCAGGCGATGTCGACCTGACCTAAACCCACAGAATTTCACTCACATGCTACTCGGCGATGAACATTGTCGGCATATATGACGGAGTCCGACAACCCGTGCCATAGATGGTTCGGATGTATGCAAGTATATCCGGGTAGTTTGTTGGTCACCGACCGACTGCAGTTACAATTGTTGGATCATCTAGGTTCGTGTTGTTGTTTCACCAACTTCCAGACACATATTAAGCAGTACGGTTTGTTAAAGTCGACCACAATTACAGCATCATATATCTACGCAAACACATATGCACCGGGGGTCTTCATGCCGCCTTCTTGCGCTTTGTCGGAGGACGCTGCGCAGGGGCGGTCTGCTTGGCCAAGTCGGCCACGGTCTTCGGCATCTGCTCCTCCCAGGTGTCTGGAAACAGGTGGGCGACCCAAGTCCTCGGCTTCAGCTTGAGATGGACCAGCGCACAGGCGAGACGCAGCTTCGAGACCACCTTGGGGCCCAGCCCCTTGACGCCCATGCCAGGCTCCTTGGAGTTCGTCGGTGCCGTTTCCGGTTTGAGCACCGTGAGGGCATCGCAGTAGGTCCCAATGCCCAGTGCCAAGATCCTGTTCAGTGCAGCGACGACGGCTTCGGTGTCGGCATCGCCGTCGCTCGAGCGAAGAAGGCGCACTGCATCCATGGCCTTCAGCATGCGGCGCACCTTCATGTTGTGTGCACCCTGCGTCGCGCCTTTGAGGAGGGTGTGACGGTCGACGAATCCCGGCTCGGCGAACCTGTCGCAAAGACGACGGGTGTCATCGGCGGTGGCGGAGTTCCACAGGCGCCAAGCGACCTTCACGATCTTTGCCTCGCGCCAGGGTTTCACCACGTTGAGCTCGTAACCAGCCTCGTCGACCGTCTGTGGGGGTTTCGGGGGTTCAAGGTCGTTGGCTCCGGCCCCCGTATTGGCCGAATCCGCCGAGCCACCCTCGCTCGGCGCTTGCTCGTTCGCCGACGGCGGCGCCGCCGGCATCCTCCGTGCGTCTGACACACGGAGTGCCTCGGTGAGATGCACAAGCTCGGCGGTCAGCGACGCGATGGTATCGTCGCGCTTCTCGATCTCCTCCTGAAGGTCGATCTTCTCTACCGCGGAGCGCTCCATCTCGTACTTCAGCGTCTCCTTGAGGGACATGTTATGATACTGGGTGTCCATGAGGACGGAAATTTCCTGCAGTGGTAGGCGGAAAGGCGAAATGAGTTTAGAATTCACAGTAAGCAGGTCGACGCCGACCTCATCGTCATCTCACGTCTGGCTGAATCATGGTCGGGTCCCGGCGCTTCTTGATCGTCTCGGTTTCGACTGCCTCGACCCTTTTCGCCCAGTTCTGGAAGAGGGCAATCCGGCAGAGCTTGGAACCTTGGACGTACGGGTGCCACGGTGTGCGGACGAGCTTAACCGCGAGGTCCTCGGCGACGATGCGTCGGAACATCAGGAGGGTACGCAAGAAGTGCACGGCGGCTTTGTCGGCGTCGCTCCCATTGACAGCACGCGTTTCCGCCTGCAAGTCGGCAAGTGATGTGGGTTAGTAGGGTGTTGGGCAGCCAACGAAGACATGGCGACGTAATGACATTGTCGGCGTCGCTTAACATAGCATCCACGCCGGGGAAGATGTGCTCGGCGAGGATGCCCAGGAGTTTGGCGGAGGGCTCGACCCTGCTGCGACCCAAGAATAGTCTTGCTTGAAACCCGAGTAGCCGGCCTTCCTCATCACCACCCCAACGGGAATGGCTGTGATGTAAGCACGCGTCATCTTGTCGAGAGCCCAGTGTCCCAGCTCGGCGATCTCGGCACGAGGCGTCCCGTCCATGGCTAGCTCCTGTGCACGTCCGGCGCGTGCGGCGTGCACGTTCCGATTGCAGAACACCTTGTTTGTCGTCCACATCTGCCGAGTCCAACGTTGGTGGCTGGCAGCGGGGAGCTCGTCTTGCTCCTTGTCGTTCTTGGCGAAGAAGAGGTGCTTCTTGTACCAGCGTTCACGTTCAGTGGTGTCAAGCGGCGGAAGGAAGTCGACGCCGGAGAACTGACCGATTTGGTCGAGGATGAAGTGCAACCACAGGCCGGTCTCGCCGACGGCGCACAACTCTGCTTCCAGGTGTCGCGCCGCGTAGCTCTGCTGAAGACGGGCATCCTTGGAAGTCTTCGAGTTACGCGCGGCGATCACCATGACGAGAGGCTGGTTCTCAGGGTTCACCGACGAGGTGCTCTCCAGTCGGTACAAGAAGACGTCGGGTAGCGTGATCTCGCGGATGCTGGCGCCGCGCAGGAGAGAGTGGTGGGAGAGTAGCGTGAGCACCTTGACGAGCAAGAATCTCCACAGCGTCTGCGAAGGAGTGGTTGCACGCGGATTCCACGCCGCCGCCGCCCATGTCGGCAGCACCTTCATCATGATCTGGCGGAACTGTTCGGCGGTGTAGGTATCGCCAATGGTGCCGCGTCGACGGTCGGCGCAATTCCTGTACACATATCGCGGGGTAGAGTAATTAAACGGCGTCGACTTCACTGTGATGAAGACTGAGCTTTGAGGTGTCGACCAACTCACTTGATGTCCCTCTCGTTCATAGAGCGGACGTTGAACCGCACCTCCGATCTGACCACCGAGATCTCCCTCATGATGCCCAGCTCCTTCTCCCGGTACAGCGTTGCCTCCACCCTCGCCGCCATCTGGCATGCCTTAATGCGCCCGAGGATCGTGTGCACCGTTGTCGATTGCACAGGCGCGGTTCGCGTGGCATTGTTCCCCTCCTCGGTCGGCGCGGCAGTGAGGTTACACTCACGGCTCATGCACTTCACGTAGGCGCGCAGCCGGGTTTCGGTGACCCTAGGGCCGTGCAGCCAGATGTACTCCCGGCGTACATCGACCTCGTTGTCCCATTTACTTTTCTGGTTGTCGCGGATGTAGTGGCCGATCTCGTCGACGTGCCTAAGTCGGTGCTCATGGGGAAGCTTGTCGCGTATTTGCTTCAGCATCTTCGCCGCCCACCTCTTGTAGTGGTAGATGAACGCGGTGTACAGCCTGAGCGTGCTCTTTTTCTCCAAGGTTTGTAGGTGGCGTACGTCGTCCATGACGAGCACGTCGATGCAGGCATACACCATGTCGTCCACTACGAAGTCTGTCGCCTTCCACTGTTCGCGTGGCACCGCCATGTTCTGCTCGTATTCCTTCTCGTCCTGTTCGAGCATGTCATCTATGTATTCAAACTATCGCCTAAGGCGTTCTTCCAAGGTGTGCGGATTCGTGCTACGCGGAGGACGCTCGTCGTTTTCGTCGTCGCTCTCTTCGTCATCGTCGTCGTCAACACCCTGGTTTTCAGGGCCGGCCGGCACCGACGAAGGTCCAGGCTGCCCATCTGGCGTCGGGGTCGACTTATTTGCTGCCTTCGTAAACTCCCCTATCGGCGGTTGGGGGATGTCCTTGGTGAACACCCCTTCGGGAATCTGAGTCAGTGCGTCTAGATCGTATAGCAATTTCAGCGTCTCTTCGGGGGTAGAGGACGGATTGTGGTCGGTGGGGGGACCTACGTCGGACATGTCGACGTCGGCCATGTGGCCGCTCGTTTGTTGCTCTACGGTCGGCCGTGTACGAGGTACAGGTTGGACCACCAGAGACGGTACTAAGTCACGGGTGCGGTGTACGCCCTAAGCGTCGCGCGGGCGTCTTCTTCGAATTCCCTCTCAAGTGCTTCTAACTCAGCGGCGAGCTCGGGTCGTTCCAGCTGCGCTTTGATGTCGGCATCTACAGAGTCGGCAGGGGGTGGGATGGGTTGCGGCTGTTGGGCACTAGGCCGTCCTCTGTGTGAAGAATAGAAAATGAGAATGAACAGCAGAAGAAGGGGTTTCACTAGCAAGCAGTTGAGTACATATAGCAAACCCTAGCAGGGCTGTACTCACTATAGAGTACCCCACTGCAGACTAGAGAAATATAACATTCTGACACACCCCCATAGTCAAAGTGGGGTATAATCAGCACAACAAGCAGTCACAAAATAGTTCACAAGCACAAGTAAAGCTAGAGGCAGTCGCAGAGGGCAAGTGAGGAGGAGGAGTGACTGTGAGAGGAGAGGAGATGGGAGGCGACGGCTGAAGCTGCAGACACACGGGCAACAGGAGCGGCTGGCTCAGTGGCTACCGGAGATTGTAGCCTCCGGACTACAGGAGTAACTGGCTCCGCGGCTACGCCGAGCGGCTGGAGCAACTGACCCACGGGCGACTGGCGCTGCAGGCTCGCTAGGCTACCGGAGATTGTAGCCTCCAGACTACTGGCGCTGCTGGCGACACGACGGCTCAACCTCCGCTCAACCTCCCCCAACTGTCCCACCCCCCTTTCACACACCCCTTGCTGCACCCCTAGCTCCACTCCCACGTCACCCCCTTAGCACCACTCCTTCGGCTCCCACACACCCACCCCCCTCAGCGGCAGCTGCAGCAGTGGGAGACGGAGGAGGAGGAGGAGCAGGGGACGGCTCACACACCCGCCACCCCCACACCCCAAACGCAGGCGGCGTGGGGCAGAAACGCGGACAGCAGTTGCGGCGGCGTGCGAGCAGAAGCGGGGCAGCGCGCGGGCCCCCGGGGCGCCGCGATGGGCGACGAGAGGGGGCGACGCGCGGGCCCCCAGGGCGCCGCGACGGGCGACGGGAGGGAGGGCGTGCGCGGGTCCCCCAGGGCGCCACGACGAGCGACGGAATGGCGGAGGGGGGCGCGCGCGGGTCCCCCAGGGCGCCGCGACGGGCGACGGGAAGGCGAAGGGGGGCGTGCGCGGGTCCCCCAAGGCGCCGCGACGGGCGGCGGGATGGCAGAGGGGGCGCGCGCGGGTCCCCCAGGGCGCCGCGACGATTAGGGCACCGTCGCACGCCTCGGGGCGCGCGACGGGAAGAAAAAACACCGCACGCCACGAGCGCGCGGCAGGCAGAAAACGTCGCGCGCCCGGGGCGCGCGACAGGCAGTACAGCAGCGGAAGCTTTAGGTGGGCCCATCCACAGGATCGACCAGCGAGGGTCGACCTGCTCTGATACCATGTGAAGAATAGAAAACGAGAATGAACAGCAGAAGAAGGGGTTTCACTAGCAAGCAGTTGAGTACATATAGCAAACCCTAACAGGGCTATACTCACTATAGAGTACCCCACTGCAGACAAATTTAAAATTCTGACACTCTGACCATGCGTCGTCGATTCAGTAAGGTGGTGTTGGGCTGTCTTGGTCGGTCGGTAGAACTATTCGAACCCTACGTCGATGTCGACGACTGGTCGTCGAGTTCAACAACGTCCTGATTCGTCTCTGCCAGGTCGGCGCGATCTGTGCCGACGAGACTGTGATGTCGGCGCTCGAGTAACCTAGACACGTGAAGATAGTGAGGGTGGGGAGAATTCTAAGTGCCAGAGAGCGCAACGCAATACGAGGGACAGACAGGCAGAATGAGGACCTTGCGCATGGTCAAGGAGGGGTATGGTTGCACGCGACCTCGTAGAGGGCCGCGCTCCACGCAGCTCCCTTTGCGTGCGCCGCTATGCATATGTCTGACGTGCCAACGTCAATGTATGTCTAGTGTCATGCCGCTCTGCACTCAAAGAGCCCCCCACCGGGGCCATTCCACGGTGGATTCCGCGTGTGCCACGTGGTCTACACCAATCAGTTGTTAAACTCTCTAAAAATCTCGAAGCGGGCGGCTTTCCCGCGCAACCGTTATCGACATGTGCAGTCCCGCGTGTCATCTCGTTGGTCGACGCCGACATTCCCAGGGTGTTGGATTCGCCTCACCTAGCCATCTAAGGGACCGATCAGATTACGCCGCGTGGATCGTGAAGGTGCGGTTGGATCTGTGGGCGACACCGACGTTTCTACGCGCGGCGGGAAATTGCTTCCCGCGATCTCTGGCTCCCTAGGTGCTCGACACCTGTACATGCACTAGCTAGTCGTTATTCGCCGCGTGGACGTCGCCGACGTTTTTTTATCGGCGGGAGGTGTTCCCGCGCAAAATAAGTTGACCCGTGGTGCGACGCGTGGCCACGTCGTGGCTGTCGTGGCACCCCGCGATTAAAAGGTACGAACGCGATCGTCGCTGCTAGGCCGCGTGGCACAAATCGCGGCTCGACGTGTCGAGCTGCGATTTTTTTGTCCGCTGAGATGTCCTTCTCAGGTTTCTCTCAGCGAAACCCGAGGTCGTCAGATTGTCGACAATCCCGAGGCCTCCTTCGGCCAAGAGGGCTGCCAGCTCGCCCCAGTTTGCCACTCGGAGGTCGTCGGGGGTTCGTCACGCCCGAGGGGGTCCGTTGTCCTATCGCAACCGCGAAATTGGGCGGCGTTTTCCGTCGGCTGAGGTATACCATCCCGAATCGCGTATGCGAGCCCCAACCTTCAACCAGGGCCGGATGGACAAACCATCACACCAGCAGCAGTTTTCCCCACCCCAGAACCAAAGCACAACATGATTCTTTCTCTAAACACCCATGCGTTCAGTCATCACGAGACTTTGAATAATACCGCTAACTTTTGAGAGTGGCGAAACTACCCAGTAACACAATTTGTGCTGAATATTTACGGCAGCGATTTTGTGTGCTTCCGAAAGACAACTTGAAAACATATTGCACCCAGTAGTGGTCAGGTCCGTATTTCACTGAAGTGTTACCCGTGGACTGTACAGAGCTGTTCTGCTCGTGACGGAGTGCAGACTCCAGATTCTTTGTGAGCGTCTTTCGGACTGCACTCATTGCGCGTGTTCATAGGCTGGCATTGGTTTGGCGCCACACCGACAAGAAGCTCAAGTGGCAGTGGGCGGGGAACTGTACAAAACTGTACACCCTGTTTCGCGCCACACTGACATTCGCTGTATTGACATGCCGCTTATTCTGACATCAACCAGGGCCCAAATTATCAGGGTAAAATACCCTGTTTGCCCTGATGAGCGGCCGTTTTTTCCCAGTTACCCTTGCCAAATCAGCCTATGGAAATTTTTACCCTAGTGAAAAAGGGTAAGGTTTTGAATACACTGATAACGATTTCGGTTACACTGCCGGTATCAGGGTGCGCTGCACAGTACACTGATACCGAATCCTCTGTAGGGAGGATTTTCCGTGCGAAGCCGTAAAATATTATCATCCCCGCCAGGATTCGAACATGTGATCTTTCGAAACCTAGTCAATCATCTAGCCATGAGACATATGGCGCTGCCACTATAATGCAAGTCATATTTATGGCAACGTATGAACATTTTTACACAACAAACAGTGTATCAACAATTTTACCCTGACACAAACAGTGTATCTAAAATTTTAGGCTGCTCCCATCAGTGTACGGAAAATATTACCCTAGGGGTCAGGGATTGGGGGGCCTGGAACCCTGATTTGCAAGAGTGACCCAAAACCAATTTTGGCCCCTGACATCAACGCGTCCAAAACGGTCGCATATAAGCACAATTCGCCGCAATCAACCGTACACGATAGCATTGTTTCTTTCATAAACCGTTGTGTATCGTTCTCCTGGACTGCATTTGCCCGCCACCTACCTGGGGTTCGGTTGCAAGCACCAGCCCGCACAATCCAAGCACACGTTCGGGGCTCCCGATTGTCCGAAAGTTGAGAAACAGGGTGTACTCCTTGGGGAATGGAAATGGGGATGGGGGCGAATGAAGCAGACTGCCTACAGTGCATGAAGCAATTTGAGTTCTGTACATATGGTTTTTGCATCGCCTACAAGCAAGAACCCTGTCAAATCTTAGGAAAATGGATAGCTTCCTGTCCTGTCTTGACAAGATACCCTTCGTGAACTACTATACCTATCTTGCTGCGCTTCGTTAAAAGCCGACTATTTTTTTTCTGTCGTTGTATCGAGTTGCTGTACCGAGGCCCAGACGGGCGCTACTAGTTACAACTCCAGACGCTTTCATCTGGTGTTACGCTTTCATTCAGTGACGTCAGTTCATCCTGACTTCCTCAGCCACTCCAGCTCTTTTCCTTTTTACGTTTCGTCAAGGGGGTTTCATCCCTTGTGGTCGTCTTCGCTCTGCTAGTACCTCATTTAGGCGCGCGTTATTTCAACGAGCTATGCGTTTCCTTCGATTTAGACGTGGAGCACCGGAGAACAGCTATATCAAGCAAGTACGGACGTTCACTGTACCGGCTTGCGAACTTTCCCTAGCCAACTTTCCACACCTTCGCCCTCTTTCCTCTCCCCCGCTCCCCACTCTCCCCCTCCCCCCCGTTCCCCTCCCCCTCGCCGATCCCCCCCTTCCCTTCCCACTTTCACCCCCGCTTAACTCCGAACATTAGTCCATCCAAATTCAGGATATCATTTCTCTTCCCGTTCCGTGTCGCTTCTGTAACGTCAAATTTTCGTCTCAAATTCCATTACCTCTTGTTTCACCCTTCCGTGTGTTCCTTTCCTCTTTTTTTTTGGTTTTGGTTTTGGTTTTTTTTTTTTTTTCAGTCTTCTTTATACATTTGTTTCTTCCGTTTCTTTTCTCATTTCCTCTCCTTTCACGCATCCATTCCCTTGCCTGTCCACCCGCTCCACATGCTTTTCAGGAAAGCGAGTTGATGGCCAGCAAAATAAGGGAGTCGGCTCAGTTGCGTTCCCAACATAAAATTGAAGATGGCAATGCCACGTCAGCGTCCCCTCCTTCATCTACCAATCTTGAAAATTCCGTGGATGTGCTCCCGGACATTCTCAGCCATCGATTGCCTCTAGCGAGCCGATCAGAACCGTTGATGGACGTCAGGCCCTCGCCTGGTGGATCTGGAGATGCAGCGAGCAATGATAGAGATGGAGACGATGGTAGGTTCGCACACGTCAGCAGATCAGCGTCAGGTGGATCTGCACACGTCACCAGATCGGCTGCAGATGGATCCGCATACGTCAGCAGGGCGTCCAGGGGATTGCCGGGTGCATTGGAGGGGGCGGTGGGGCATGTTCCACAGACAAGCCTCGGCAGGGGCAAGTGAGTGCGATGCAGACAGTTGAAGTGCGATCAAGTGCGGTTAATGGGACTTTGAGTACTCCCTGTTTGTTCCAGGAGAGGCTTGGATGGGGGGAATGTTAATACTGACAGTGTTTCTCAAGAAATGTAAATAAAAATAAAAAGCATGTACCTGGTGATAGGATGCTCGGGAAACACAGCGCGTCCCGTCACCAGGCAGGTACATGCACTTTTTGACATCTCACCGTTCCATCTGCTCTGATTTCCCATTCGCCTTCCTCTCACATCTCGTAATCACCTGCTTCTGCTCGCTTTTCCCCTTTTCCCCCCTTTTTCGCCCTTTCTCCTGATTTCCCCTGCTTCCTCGCCCTCTGTCTGCCGCTTCCTATGTTCTTTTCCCTTCTCATTCTTATCCCCCTTTCTCCTTCTGTCTCACACTTTCTTCTGTCTTCTGCTGCCTTCTCATGCGTCGCCCTCCTTCCTCTTGCCTTCACCTGCATTCTTCCCGTTTCCTCCTGTTTTCTCCTCCTTTCTCCTGTTTTTATCCTGCTTTCTCCTGCTTGCCCTTGCTTTCTCCTGCTTCGTCCTCCTTACTCCTGCTTTCTCCTGTTTTCACCTCCCTTCTCCTGCTGTCTTCTCCTTTCTCCTCACATCTCATCCTTCCCCATGATTCCTCCTGCTTATTCGTGCTTGCCTTTCTGTTGTGACGTGTGCGTGCCCTGCCTGCCACCCCCACACGCTTGTGCCCTCCACACGCCACCCTAGGTACCAGATATCATTCGATAACGAGCACACGCCTGCTCCCTCCACAGCCAATGAGAGGCGGCCACGTGGACCGGACAAGGCAACAGCAGAGGGCATGGCGCAGGCTCTCCGCATGGGTGTGTGTCAGTGGGCGGGAGGGTGGGTGGGAGGATGGGGTGCATGGGGGGTGGGAGAGTGGGAGAGTGGGAGGGTGGAAGGGCGGGAGGGAGTGAAACCTAGTTATGCTCGTAAGCTTGTATCTCCTCCAATACCCTTCCCTACCCTGTTCTCTCTCCCCTTCCCCGTTCCCACTTCCATCGTCGTCCCGCCTTCTCGTTGTGTTTCCCTGCATGACAGCCTATTTTTTCGGCGCCTTAGAAATAGCATTCCAGAAGAAAGTCGGCTTCCTCCCCTTCCCCCCCCAAACACCTTCTTCCCTCTTTCTCCTGGGATGTTACTTACTGTGATGGATTAGTGACCAATCGTTTGCAAGTGCGTTCTCCTCCCTCCGTCCCGTGCTCTCCTTCCATGGGAGCAGTGACCAAGTCGTTTGCAATAGCCACGGTGGTAGTGGCAGGGGGGGGGGGGGCAGCTGTGGCCATGGCCCATGGCAGCATCCAACTAGCTTGCAAATGCTTTATCCTCCCCGTCCTCCTTGCATTCTCCTGCGTGGCCGAGCAGTGAGCAAGTCGTTTGCAATAGCCACGGTGATAGTGGCAGGGGGAGCAGCTGTGGCCGTGGCAGCTACGTTTCGAGCCTTGGATGTGCAAACGGTACGCAATGCGGTGCTGCTGTTGGTGTGGGGTGTGTGTGCCCTGATGTGCTGCTGCTGCTGGTGTGGTGCTTGCATGCCGTGATGTGGTGGTGCTGCTGTGTGAGTGTCCTTCTCCCCCTCCTCCCCTCCTCCCCCTCCCCCCCCCCCCCCCCCCCCCCCCCCTTCCCCCTCATTTTCTCCATCTTCATCCTCATTTTCATCCTCGCAGCCATCCATGATTCTTCCCAAACATTTTTGCTTGCTCATGCATGCAATTCCACTTTGTTCACTCCTTTCACCCCTCCACTCTTTTCACTAGCTTGAGGACCTTCCAGTGAAGGGGAAAGCCGCCATCCAACCACGAATCGATGCCATCGCTCAGTGGCTCTCCCCTCTCAATCACCAGGTAATGAACGGCTTTTATGCCATGAGTAAGGCATTGTTCCTTCATCAGACTCTTCCTTCTTCTGGTTCTCAACTCACCCATTTTCAGGTTCCAGATATCCTCTGTTGCCATATCAATCTGCATAGCAACTTTCAGAATTTGGTGATTTATGTCCTGGCATATGCCCTAGCTCAGCAGCCGCTCTTTTCGTTAACTCTTGCATGCTGCTGTTGGTGCAGCAACCATTAGCAGCAGAGGGGCACATGATTGCGGATGAACATGTAGGTGGCTTAGCAGTCTTCCTTAAGAAATCTCCTAAAGCGAAATAATTAATATGTTTTTTCTATATCGCCCCCTGCCTGCTGCTGGCAGGTGCAGCAAGTAGCAGCAGAGTGGCAGATGAAGGAGGGTGAGCAATCCGCCCTGGGGTCACGAATTGCCGAGGCGATTGGAGCGAGGAGAGAGCAAACAGACGGGCCTGCTGACTTAAAGGAAGCAGATGGGAATGGCTGAGCTGAGAGAGAGAGAGGCATGGCTGTTGCCTAAAGGATGAATGAAGTGCCTTACCTCACACAAGTGCCTTGAAAATGGGAGTAAAAGAGCGGAGGAGATCGGAGGAGGGGGGGGGGGGGAAGGAGGATGAAGCAGAGGACAGAAAACGGAGCGGAAGGGATGGATATGCTGCAGGGTCAGGTATCATGAGTCATGCCAGGATTCACAAGCAACTCATGATTTGCTGGAATGCTCTGAGCAAGTCAAGTCGTCTTGTGGTGCCGTGCAATGAGGAGAGAAGTTACAAAGGATGGTTGTGGAGAAGAGATTGGAAGGATGGGACACGGTGCAGGGTGGCACAGGCAGCAAGGACCTTGCCGAGTTGCAGGAGAACAGACTTCAGGTGATGCCGTGGCAGAATTTGAATATCTGGACGAAACTGAATTGGCAGGAGGAGAGCATGAAGCATATGGGAAGCCATCTCCGAGCCACGATTCCACATCAGCCAGCTAACAGCCACGTCCTGCTGTGTTGGCCTTATCCCTGCGCACCCATTGCATAGCTGGTGCAATTTATGATGCTATCCCATTTGATCAGTGTTGTTGCAAATTCAGTGGTAGCACAAAACATAATGTTGTTCGAAGTGGTGGCAAGTTGGCACCCCTCTAGCTCTCCGCCTCACAGACATGCCGAACACCTGTTCTGAAAGCACCGCATCCCACTAGTGAAAAAATCTTTCTTGTTCCTAGTGTCAATGCACATTACTCCTCTCCCTCCCGACGTTCAGCTTCCTTGTGGCCCCTACTCCATCTGGCGACAAAAAATGCAGTGCATTAGCTTTCAAGCACATTTATCTCAGATTCAGGGCAGTTCTTTGTTCCTAGTGCTTGAAAGAGTCTTGTTCCTGAAGCAGCTTAACACGGAAATGGGTCGTTCAGCTCCTAAGTTCCTAGTGCTCTTTGGCAGCACTCTCTGCTCCAATAGACGACCCTCCACCCCATCAATTGCGTGTGAAGGTCACGCATTAGAGCACACCCGTTTTCCAGAAACCTTCCTAGTCCTGTTGCCTCAGCGGCAGCACTCTCCCCTCCGGGATTCGACTCTCGATTCTGCCTATTCTGTGGGGGGGCACACGATGCAGCGCGGCCCGTTTCCCGCACCTTGCACCCACATTCCAGGAACCTTCCTAATGTTGTTGCCTCAACGGCAGCACTCTCCCCTCAGGCAATCGACTCTCCACTCCGCCTATTCTGTGGGGAGGCCACACGATGCAGCGCACCTTACCCTCCAACAGCGCCAGTGGCACCTGACAGATGGTAAGGTGCGGGGTGCAGGAGGAGAGGGAGAAGAAGAGAGTTCAGAATTCTGTGGGGAGGCCACACGATGGAGAACACCCGGCCCTCCAGCAGCGCGAGTTGCAGGGGGGGATGCCGAGCGGGGGAGAGGCGATTCGGAATGGACAAAGAGTGAGATGCTCCTGACTGAATACACCACAAGCAGGCAAGCCTTGCCACGCCGCTTGCTAGTACACCCAATCACACCCACAGCCACGGCCATACCCAGAGCCACAATCCCACCCACCACCCACACCCACGCTCGTACCGGGCCAAAGTGCTTAGAATCCTCGCTGACATCAGCATTGTCCCCTTCCACCCAGCAGTGGCCCTTAGGAATCCGCCTGATGACGTCATCACCCCTGCTGGCGCCACTGCCGCTGGTGCTGGCGTCATCGCTGCCGCCCGGCACTGTTACCCAGTCGTCCTGTAGTGCGATGAGACGCTTTATTAGGCACACGTCGGGATCAGTGGGCGACCTGCACTGTTACACGGGGGACGGTCAGGGGAAAAGGGAGATGAGGAGGAGAGGAACACACGAAGAGAAATCGTCTTATGAAAAATAAAAATAATCAAATGGATAAAAACGACGAAAGCAGACGGAGAGTGGAGTAGAGAGGTGCGCAGAAGAAAGTAATATGAGTCGTGAGAGAAACTGGTCGGGAAGTAGGGGACATGCACTGCTGCAAAGGGAGGGAGTGGAGGGGAAGAGGGCGAGGAGGACCTGGAACGCTCAAACCTGGAAAGGGCGAAAGGGCCTGCACTGTCTATGTTCATCACCCTTCGCTCACCCTCCCCTCTCCCCTTAACACCCTTTTCCCTTGATCATCACCTTAGCAACACGGCATCAATACTTCGCAATAACTGGACCACAGCCTCTCTCCTCCTCCTGATCTCTCTCCCCTCCCCACATTTCCCTTCCCTCCTCTCGATCCTCTCCCTTCCCCCAATCCTCCCCCTCGTCTCTCTCCTCTTTCGTCCCACCTCCTCCCCTAACTCCCCCATTTCCCCTCGATATAATCACCTGAGCACCACCACGTCCCCGCGCTGGTACTGCATGTAACGCGCTGACAGCCTGTCTAAAAGCACGCGATCGCTCAGGGCGGCACGGAATAGCAGGCCGGTTTTGTCGCGTAGCGGATTGAAGGTGGGCGACATGGAGTGGCCGTCCACGCCGCACATGCTGACGACGTTGTCGTGAACCGTCAGGACGACCGGTACGGCGACAGATAACTGACGGACGAGCTGTGGCAAAGGGCATTAATTTGTTTGTGAGTATACGGCGAATGAGGCTGGCTGCTACAGAATGGAAAGATGAGTGTTCTTATACATCCATCAGGGAGTGCCGGCAATTGGATGGAGTGATGAAGAAGATAAGGGAATTTCGAAAAGGAGAAAAAAGGCATGCAGGATATTCCTTGGGTGCTAGCAGGGGAGATAGCACGGAATGACGCTTACCTGCCAGATAGCGAAGCGCATCGTCATGACTCCAATAATGCCTTCGAAAATAGACGAAATCTGTTGAAGGGGATCGACTTCCAAACAACGCGACACGGAAGTGGTCCTAACGATTGATGGTGTCAGGAAACACCAGTGACTCTCTGAACCTGCTATCCCAGTGATGCAAATGCCAATGATGCGAATGCCAATGATGCTGGTGATCGCGACGACTATGTGACTTAGCTACGAACCTAGTAACCGCAGGACCATCATTTTGCGACTCGACACTCGCATCATCGCTATAGGTGCCGCAACGAGCCGCTGAAAACTGCGGTTCAAATAGATCGCCTGAGACTTCTAATGAGGATCTGGTTCTAGGAGGGTATGGCGTTTGGTGTCAGTGGAATTTTCTTTTGTCGTTGCGGGGTTATCCTTCTATATAACGTTGCGTGGAAAAATAATCCCAAACTCCTCGATGAAATAAAAACGAGATAATTCTGAAACGAAATCTCCTCGATGTTGGGAACCTGGAAGTAGGTTGGTAGGTAACGCGGGCGTCGAGCGAGTGGAGTGGAGTGTGTTGGGCGGGAAAACAAAAGGACGAGTTCAACGGTCACTTGACGTACCCGTTAGTGTAATGATCCGGTTTTCAGTGCTCAGTCAGAGAGTTTAGTAGAAATTAGGGAATGGTCATTGAGCAAGGACCACAAAAACGTGGAGTGCAACAAGACAAGGCATCTTGTCAGGTGGGATTTCAAAGTTGGCATATACATAAGGTGGTGGTAGGGCAGAATTCGTTTGTCTCGGTGAGTGTACAGCACGCGCAGTGCTGCCGCCCGCTCTGGTGTATGCAGCAAACAACACCTGGTCGGTGTCAGTGGTGACTTTCAGCTGCTTCTGCTGCCCTGATCCAGGGATGGGCTGTCAGGGGGAAGCACGAGAGGTGGAAGATGACAGAGGATGGAGAGGACAAATGTTCAGGATACCTTGTGAGTGAAGAAAGGAGCAAGTGGGAAAACTCAGCTTGATATATCAACAGCGCTGGAGAAGGATCAGAGGAAGAAAGAGGATAACAGCACACGTAAGGAAAAATCAGCTTGATAAATCAACAGCGCTGTTATCCACCACTCACCAAAAATCTCCAGCGCAGTTATCCTCTTCCTCGGATCCTTCTCCAGCATCCTCAGAATCAAATCCTTGGCGCCGTCTGAGATCGCCGCCCATCTCGGGTGCCGGAAATCCACGTGCGCCGTCCGGATCTTGCGCTCCAGGTCAGCGTCAGTCGCCACCCAAAAAGGCGGGAAACCACAGAGCAGAATGTACAGCACCACTCCGGCGCTCCAGATGTCTGCTTCGGGCCCGTAGGCTCCGTCCAAAACCTCTGGTGCGGTATACTCCACTGTCCCCGCCCGGTCTGTTCTCAAGGTACCTGGAGAGGTGACAGAGAGGGCACAGGAGGTAAGGAGAGTTGATGGTTGGAGCCGCAGAGCAGAATGTACAGCACCACTCCGGCGCTCCAGATGTCTGCTTCGGGGCCATAGGCTCGGTCCAGCACCTCAGGAGCAGTATACTCCACTGTCCCCGCCTGGTCCGTTCTCAAGGTACCTGGAGAGGTAGTGATTGGGAAGGGGGATGAAAGGAGGGTGGACGTGAGTGCTTTGGTGGGTGACTTGGTGGGTGGCGTGATGTGCATTGAAGACCATAGGCTCGGTCCAGCACCTCTGGTGCAGTATGCTCCACTGTACCCGCTCAGTCTGTTCTTAGGTTGCCTGGAGAGGTAGTGATAGGGAAGGGGGGATGAAAGGAGGGTACACGTGAGGAGGAGTTGATGCGCATTGATGGGCACAGACTCGGTCCAGCACCTCTGGTGCAGTGTGCCCCACTGTCCTGGCTCGGTCCGTTCCCACTGTGTCCCAACTCCCACCTGCTGCATGCTTCCCCCCCTCACCTGCTGCATGCTTCCCCCCCTCACCTGCTGCATGCTTCCCCCCCTCACCTGCTGCATGCTTCCCCCCCTCACCTGCTGCATGCTTCCCCCCCTCACCTGCTGCATGCTTCCCCCCCTCACCTGCTGCATGCTTCCCCCCCTCACCTGCTGCATGCTTCCCCCCCTCACCTGCTGCATGCTTCCCCCCCTCACCTGCTGCATGCATCCCCCCCTCACCTGCTGCATGCTTCCCCCCCTCACCTGCTGCATGCTTCCCCCCCTCACCTGCTGCATGCTTCCCCCCCTCACCTGCTGCATGCTTCCCCCCCTCACCTGCTGCATGCTTCCCCCCCTCACCTGCTGCATGCTTCCCCCCCTCACCTGCTGCATGCTTCCCCCCCTCACCTGCTGCATGCTTCCCCCCCTCACCTGCTGCATGCTTCCCCCCCTCACCTGCTGCATGCTTCCCCCCCTCACCTGCTGCATGCTTCCCCCCCTCACCTGGCGTGTGCAGGGCCGCTACACCGAAGTCGATGAGTTTGATGCGCGTGTGGCATTCTTTGGACCGTAGCAGAATGTTCTCCCGCTTCACGTCGCGGTGCAGCACCCCCTGCCGCCCGCACTGCAGCAACGCCTCTGAGAGCCCAAAGTAACACCACCCCCCCCTGTTGCCTGCCTGCCTCCCAACGTCTACCACTTCACCCCTCACAGTCACCTGCCGCATCAACCACTGGGCTTCCTCCCTCCCACCTTTCTGTGTGCCTCCCCCCCTCTCACCTGGTGTGTGCAGGGTAGCGACACCGAAGTCAATCAGCTTAATCCGCGTGTGGCATTCTTTGGACCGTAGCAGGATGTTTTCCGGCTTCACGTCGCGGTGCAGCACCCCTCGCCGCCCGCACTGCAGCAGCGCCTCTGCCAGGCCAAAGTCACACCACCCCCTCTGCCTGCCTGCCTGCCTGCCTGCCTGCCTGCCTGCCTGCCTGCCTGCCTGCCTGCCTGCCTGCCTGACAGCGTCTACCACTTCACCTCTCACAGTCACCTGCCGCATCAACCACTGTACGTGCCCCCTCTTACCTGGTGTGTGCAGGGCAGCGACCCCAAAGTCAATCAACTTGATCCGCGTGTGGCATTCCTTGGACCGTAGCAGAATGTTCTCCGGCTTCACATCGCGGTGCAGCACGCCCCGCCGCCCGCACTGCAGCAGCGCCTCTGCCAGCCCGCGGCACAGCAAGGCGGCGTCCCTCTCTGGGAACTGCCCGCGCTGCTTGATGCGGTCGAATAGGTCTCCCCCTTCACACAGTTCCATGATTAGGTGCACGTACTGGTGTAGGGAGGACACAGGGGGGGAGAGAAGAGGTTATGAGGGGCTCAAAGGGGTGAAATCGGATGTTGAGAGTATCGTGCAGGTTGATGAAGCATGGGTGGTCCTGGAGCCGGTAACACCCTGCCATGTGCTCCCATGCTCACATACTCTCACATGCCACACCACGCACCTTGCCATCTTCAAAAGAAGCATCGTGCAGGTTGATGATGCATGGGTGGTCCCGGAGCAGGGGGCATGCTGTGTGTCAGGCTCAGATGGTGCTCACATTCCCACAAGTCACAAGACAATGAGAAGCAACACACCTTGTCATCCTCGAATGCATCATGCAGGTTGATAATGCATGGGTGGTCCCGGAGCAGACCCAGAATGATCACCTCTGTGCGCACGTCCTCCACGTCCTCCTTGCACTGGTGTGTGGAAGTAGGGAAGGAGGGGGAAAAATGCTCAGGAATGGGGGTCGAGGGGTGTGGTGTGTTGCATGGCAGCAACCCCAGAACGATCACCTCTGTGCGCACGTCCTCCACGTCCTCCTTGCACTGGTGTGTGGAAGTAGGGAAGGAGGGGGAAAAATGCTCAGGAATGGGGGCCGAGGGGTGTGGTGTGTTGCATGGCAGCAACCCCAGAACGATCACCTCTGTGCGCACGTCCTCCACGTCCTCCTTGCACTGGTGTGTGGAAGTAGGGAAGGAGGGGGAAAAATGCTCAGGAATGGGGGCCGAGGGGTGTGGTGTGTTGCATGGCAGCAACCCCAGAACGATCACCTCTGTGCGCACGTCCTCCACGTCCTCCTTGCACTGGTGTGTGGAAGTAGGGAAGGAGGGGGAAAAATGCTCAGGAATGGGGGTCGAGGGGTGTGGTGTGTTGCATGGCAGCAACCCCAGAACGATCACCTCTGTGCGCACGTCCTCCACGTCCTCCTTGCACTGGTGTGTGGAAGTAGGGAAGGAGGGGGAAAAATGCTCAGGAATGGGGGCCGAGGGGTGTGGTGTGTTGCATGGCAGCAACCCCAGAACGATCACCTCTGTGCGCACGTCCTCCACGTCCTCCTTGCACTGGTGTGTGGAAGTAGGGAAGGAGGGGGAAAAATGCTCAGGAATGGGGGTCGAGGGGTGTGGTGTGTTGCATGGCAGCAACCCCAGAACGATCACCTCTGTGCGCACGTCCTCCACGTCCTCCTTGCACTGGTGTGTGGAAGTAGGGAAGGAGGGGGAAAAATGCTCAGGAATGGGGGTCGAGGGGTGTGGTGTGTTGCATGGCAGCAACCCCAGAACGATCACCTCTGTGCGCACGTCCTCCACGTCCTCCTTGCACTGGTGTGTGGAAGTAGGGAAGGAGGGGGAAAAATGCTCAGGAATGGGGGTCGAGGGGTGTGGTGTGTTGCATGGCAGCAACCCCAGAACGATCACCTCTGTGCGCACGTCCTCCACGTCCTCCTTGCACTGGTGTGTGGAAGTAGGGAAGGAGGGGGAAAAATGCTCAGGAATGGGGGTCGAGGGGTGTGGTGTGTTGCATGGCAGCAACCCCAGAACGATCACCTCTGTGCGCACGTCCTCCACGTCCTCCTTGCACTGGTGTGTGGAAGTAGGGAAGGAGGGGGAAAAATGCTCAGGAATGGGGGCCGAGGGGTGTGGTGTGTTGCATGGCAGCAACCCCAGAACGATCACCTCTGTGCGCACGTCCTCCACGTCCTCCTTGCACTGGTGTGTGGAAGTAGGGAAGGAGGGGGAAAAATGCTCAGGAATGGGGGTCGAGGGGTGTGGTGTGTTGCATGGCAGCAACCCCAGAACGATCACCTCTGTGCGCACGTCCTCCACGTCCTCCTTGCACTGGTGTGTGGAAGTAGGGAAGGAGGGGGAAAAATGCTCAGGAATGGGGGTCGAGGGGTGTGGTGTGTTGCATGGCAGCAACCCCAGAACGATCACCTCTGTCCGCACGTCCTCCACGTCCTCCTTGCACTGGCAAGGGGAAGAAGAAGAGTGAGGATGGGGAGTGGAGGAGCATGGGGTGAGGGTGTGCTACGCTGCATCACAGCAGCCCCAGAATGATCACCTCTGTCCGCACGTCCCCCACGTCCTTCTTGCACTGGTGTGTGGAAGTAGGGGAGAAGAAGGGGGGTGGGGGAGGGTGTGGTGAGCGTGTGTTGTGTTGCATCATAGCAGCCCCAGAATGATCACCTCTGTCTGCACGTCCCCCACGTCCTCCTTGCACTGGTGTGTGGAAGTAGGGAAGAAGGAATGGGGGAAGGAGTGCGTTGAGAGGGTGTGCTGTGTTGTGTTGAGAGGGAAACTTGGAGGAAGCCCCAGAATGATCACCTCTGTCCGCACGTCCTCCAAGTTTTCCTTGCACTGTTGTGTGGGAGAAAGGAAAAATAAACGTGAGAATGCGGAGGGGAAGGGGGTGGGAGGAGCGTGTTGGGAGGGTGTGGTGTGTTGTGTTGTGTTGCATTGCAGAGGCCCAGGATGATATCCTCTGTTCACACGTCCTCCACGTCTTCCTTGCACTGGCGGGGTGGGGGAAGAAGGGAAGGAGAGGAGAGAAGGAGAGAAAGAGAGGAGAGAAGAGGTGCGTTGTGAGGGAAGGTGTATTGCACTGCAGGAGACTCAGAATGACCACCTCTGTGCGCAAGGCCTCCTTTTCGCCTCTTCCTCTTTCCTCACCTTATCGCCATCTTCACTCCCGTCGCTCGGTGCGTGCACGGCACACCTGTCACTCTCCAATCGAACCCCATTTAGAGGCCATGGTTCAATACGTGGCAGCAAGTGATTAGAGTATGACACCAGAGTAGGTGAAAATGTCGGTGCGTGCACGGCACACCTGTCACTCTCCAACCCCCTCGTTTCCCCCGTTCTCTTTTCTCGCGTTTTCCTCCCCCTCCTCACCTTCATGTGTTCCTTCTTGATCGTCTTTATCGCCATCTTCACCCCTGTCGCTCGGTGCCAATAATCAACACCTGTCACTCTCCCCTCCACCCTACCTGGCCCCTCCTTCCCCTCCTCACCTTCATATGCTCCTTCTTGATCGTTTTTATCGCCATCTTCACTCCCGTCGCTCGGTGCGTGCACGGCCGAATCACGCCGTACCGCCCGCTCCCGATCCGGGCGGCGCTCACAGAATAAAACCTCTTCACGTTATCATACGGCATGCGCAGAATAAAATCCTTGAAGCTCACATTTCCCGAATCCACCTCCGCCGCCCCTGCCACCCCTGTCGCTGCCCCACCTTGCCACCCACTACCCCCCCCCTCTCTCTCCCCCACACCCTCTCCCCCTGCGCCCTCCCCCATCTCCCCCGTAAGCCCTCGGCTGATATACGTGCTAAGAGTCTTGAAGAACTGCTGTGAGTGAGCGTCTAGGGATGCGCATCGGTGGTGCACGGATGGGGGTGCAGGTGCAGGTGGGGATGCACGATGGACAGGGGTAGGGGCAACAGGACTACCAGCAGCAGTAGCAGAGGCTGAGGCGTGGTGAAGGGCGGAGGGGAAGGCAGGTGAAGAGCCGGCAGCACCTGCAGAGTGGGGGGCATGAGCAGCTTGCACTGCCGGAGGAGCCATCTGCATACCACTGCCGCCGCTGCTGCCGCTGCCGCTGCCGCTGCTGCCACCACCGCCGCTGCTGGTGACCCCCACACCTGCGCTCGCATATCGCCTGTGAAACCCACCGCCCACGCCGCCACCCATGCCGCCGCCCATGCCGCCGCCCATGCTCCCGCCCATGCCACCGCCGAAGCTGCCACTGTCATTGCTGGGGGCGTTCAGAGAAGCACCATGAGGGTGAGAGTTGCTCGTGGTGGTGCTGGTGGTGTTGGTGGTCGCTTGGATCGCACTTAACCTGCGTATTAGCGCCTCCTTCAGCTGCTGCAAATCCACCTGCCCGGCCCCTCCTTGTTGCTGCACCTGCTGCCGCCCCTGCTGCTGCTGCTGCTGTGGTTGTTGAAACCCCTGCTGCCCCTGCCCCTGCTGTCCCTGCTGCTGCAGATTCATCCGGTGCTGCTGCAGCTGCTGCTGCAGCCTCTGCAGCAGCTTAATCTGTTCCTCCTGAAGGCTCAACGCCGTCTGTTGCGGCTGTGGCTGCTGCTGCTGCTGCTGCGGCTGCTGATGGTCCTGCATGATTTGATCTCGCTGCAGGTCAAACGAACCTTGTTGTGAGGGAGCACAGGTGCCTCCCTCTGCAGAATCCGATTTCCTCTTGAGCTGTTGCTCCTGCAGATTGAATGCAGCGGCAGGAGCAGCAGGAAGAGCAGGAACAGAGGGAGCAGGAGGAAGGGCAGGAGGACCAGGGGGAGCAGGACGAGGAGCAAGGGGAGCAAGAGGAGGAGCAGCAGAGTGAAGGGGAGTGCATGGGCCAGCCGCGGTAGCACCTGCACTGCCAAACACGACTGCAGGAGCAGCAGGAAGAGCAGAAGGGGGAAGGGGAGGAGGAGGAGCAGAAGGAGTGGGAAGAGAAGGAGGAGCAGGAGGAGCAGGTGGAGCAGGAGGAGGAAGACAAGAACTTCCAATGCCCACAGCACTCCCATGAGCCACAGCGGCCCTTTCAGCCATTGCAGCCCTTTCAGGCAAACACACAGACATCCCAGCAGCCGCGTCACTCGAAAACGGGGACCTCGGGGGTTTGGGAGACCTCGTCACCGGACTGAACTCCCCTGCACCGCACTCCAAACCCGCAGGAACACTCAGAGCCGTAGCAAACTGCCCTGGGGACCTGAAGGGGCTTCTAGGGGGGAGATTGAGGTTGAGGGTTCCGCTGTAGCTGTTGCTGTGGCTTAGTCCGAGGCTGCTGCCGAAGCTGGCGCTGCTGTGGTGGTTACTACCGAAGCTGTGGCTGCGGAGGGTGCGGCGTGCGGTTACCGCGTTACCAGTGCTCTCACCACCAGCAGCACCGGCAGCACCAGCACCACCAGCAGCAGTAGCAGCAGTAGCACCACCGACGGTGCTGCCGCTGCTGCTGCTGGTTCCAAGGCAGCTGGTCCCGATGCTGCCGCTGCTGCCGAACCTCCGGGCTGGGTCCGAGCCTGAGTGGTCTGCGTAGGACCGGTGCCGCCGATGCTGGCCCATAGGCCCGGCGCTGCCTGACGGGATACCGAGCCTCAGATGCTGCTGCTGTGGGAGCTGCGGCCGCCGCCGGTGCTGCAGCAGCTGCTGCTGGGGTTGCTGGAGCTGGGATTGTGATGGGGGCAGCTGGGGTTGCGGCTGCTGCTGCAGCTGCTGCGGGGGCTGGGGGGGCTGGGATTGAAATTGGGGCAGCTGCTGCTGTGGCTGTGGCTGGTGCGGCTGCTGCTGGTGCTGTTGCTGCTGGGGCTGGGGAAAATGGGGCAGCTGGGGCAGCTGCTGCTGCTGCTGTTGGGGCAGCTGTTGGGGCGGAATGGCTAGTTCTCCCCCTACGCCCGCGCTCGCGCCTGCTCCTGCGCCTGTGACGAGCGACTCTCCCCCTTGCAAGCTGGAAGGTTCGTCCATCGCTCCCTGCTCTCCGCGAAAGCACGCGGAAGCCTCCTGGGCGGACGAGGAAGCTTCGCGCGGGCTGGCCGCCCAAGGGTGGGGGGACGCGCGCGTAGGGGAATGCGCGGGGGACATGCGCGGGGAGAGGTGCGGGGAGAAGAGCGGGGAGGGGCAATCGCCGCCGTCCGCGCCGAAAGGCGGCGTGCGCGGGGAGTGCATGAAAACAGGCGGCGGGTGAAAATCCACACTCAGGGCGCGCCGATGCGGCGCGTCATCCCCGTTACCAGCCGATCCGCCTGTAGCAACCGGCCGATTCCCCCTTCCTGCCCCGATACCGTAATAATAGCTTCCCGTACCGTTAATTATCCCCATAGGTGCGGTTTCGACTCCTCCGGGTTTCGTCCTGGGATGAGACGCCATGGAGCCGTGTCGCTGGTGTCTTATTATCATTCTCTTTTTCCGGCTGTTGTTGCTTGTTGTACCAAAACCGCCGCCGCCGCTGCCGCCGCTTCCGCTTCCGCTGCCGCCGCCGACGCCGCCGCCGCCGTCGCTGCCGTCGATTCCGTGCCCGGTGCTGTTGAACCGTCGGATCACCTCCCGTGCGACCGTGTCGCTGCTCTCGTTTCTGTCGTACTCGTCGTCGTCGTCGTCGCCCGAGTCGTATCTGGTCGCAGTCTCGGCACCGCGACGACAGTCCCTCTCGCTAATGTCACACGCGACAGCGGCCGCCGAATCGCGCATCTCCTCATCCCCCCCGCCGACGCTGCCGCAGCGGCTGCTGACGTGGCGATCGAGGCTGCCGCAGCGGCTGCTGACGTGGCGATCGAAGCTGCCGGACGGCGGGAGGCCGGCACGGCGAAAAGACCCGGCGCGTTGAGAACCAAAGGAACCGCCGATACCGCCCCTGGCGATGGCGCCGCCAGCAACGTCATCTCGATTCCCCGCGTCGCCGGCGAGCGGTGGTTCGAAGCGCAACGACGGGGCCGACGCGAGGGAGGAAGGGGTGTCGGGGTAGTAACTAGCAGGGTCGTATAGTCCGTAGTCGCTAAAATCGTCTGTCCACGCTATACTGCCGCTTCTGCCGCTGAACGTGCTGCTGCTGTGTCGGCTACTGACGGCGCTTCCCGCGCCGCTTCTAACGCCAGTTCGCCCGCCGCCACTCCTGCCGCTGCCACCGGTGCCGTCGCTGAGAGTGATGTCTTTGAAGCCGCTGGTTACCCGGTTACTCCAGTCGTCGCTGCCCATGCGAACGGGCAGGTTGGATGCTTCCCCCCACCCGCCTGTCTTCGTTGTAAGCCTATCCGTTTCCGACATTGCGCTTCTTTTTGCTCCTCACAAAAACGTCGCCCTCTCCTTCCCAGTCTCTAAATTCCTCTCAACAAATTTCGACTCCCGAGGCGTACCACCCAATTCTGTATATTCACCCTAACAAGGACGCATGTATCCAGGCGGATTGAACGCAGTTCAAGTATTGCGCGAGTCGTAAGTAGGATGCCTCCTCGCGAGCGCCAAAAGCAAATGCACGCTTCATATACAGACTACCAACGCTATTACGTTGTAGGATTTGCGTAAAAAAGCGTCCCTTAGCAGCATACTTCTACTCTCGTCGTTGGTACGCGATTCGCCGAATCTAGAAAGCTGGTTTCTTTTTGTCCACTTCCAAATCTGGAGTCTGGAATGGGTCTGCTCGAGCGGCCAGCACGGCAGCGTGCAGCATTAACGGGGGAGCTATACCTATTGATTCGCTTTCTAGAGAACCGTGGAAACAGGGTCTTACGACTCGAGAAGCAGGAGGTCGTGACGCTCCAACAGTAAGAGCCAGATTAGGGCATGGATGGTGATCTTGGTGGTGATCGTAATTGAGAAAGAGCTGAAGGAGAAAAGAAACACGGGCAGCGCTCAAGGAATTATTAGAACCCTCCCGCCCGCGAAGTCTACTAAGAAAGTAACGTGTTCTTCCTGAAGACTTAACGGGCGTGCGTGACGGTCCTTGCTTGAAATAACAACGCCAGAACATGCGGCCGTGCTTCTGGTTAGATGGTTATGGGATTCGATAGGAACACGCTGCAGTCTGGCGGATCTGCTGCTGATCTCTCTGCCACTGCTTCTTCTTCCCTGAATGTTTCGATTTGGCTCTCCTCTCAAGCATTGGTTGGCCATGGCGTTTCTCTGCCTGAGCAGCTGCAGCTTTGATTTCCCGCCTGTTCTGTTTGTCTGGCAAGCGACCTGCAGTTACTAAACTGGGCCAGTGCGTGGTGGACTCTTTCTTTGGCTGTACACAAAGGGTACGGTGGTGTGGTGAAACAAAAGGGTGAAAAAGGTTTAGGGTTTAGGGTTTAGGGTTTTAGGGTTTAGACAGTGACTACACTCGTTTGGACTTTTCTGGACGAAACGAATTAAAAGGGTAATTACCTTCTGGGTAACTCACATCGAGCCCGCTGACGTCAAAAGTCACCTACGTGGCTCGATGGTACCCGTCAGATCATGCGCGCCCCTTCGTGGTACCCATCTTCCCTCCGTGGTACCCATCTTCCCTGCGTGGTACCCATCAACTGTGTGCGAATTCCCTGACTGGTACCGCAACATTTCAACCGAGCTGTACACCGTACACCAAGGGTTTCAATGCGTTTTTCAGTATATTGTTTTAACGTTTACAAGCTCAATAGAGTCAGAAGCCCGAAGTGCCACCTAATCGAGTCAATTTATCACACGCATTACCTATAATAGAGTGTAGAAGAAAATCTGGATTCTTAAATAAAAAACATTCATTGCGTAGATTTTTTTAGGCTAAGAAACATCGACAATATAACGTGCTATAAGATAACGTAAAACTGATATATTGCATCAACCGAAAAAAACATCCGTATAGCAAACAATCAACTTACACGTTAAGTATATATTGACTTAAGGTACATTTAATTTTCATTATGGGTATTGTTTTGTTTCCAAAAACCAACGAATGTACGTATTATTTGTTTATGATTTTATGTTTAGATTTGGGGGTGCATGCTCAATTTATTTGCATACAACCTTATAAAGTTTGTTCAAATAACCGACTGAGCGCTGCGAAACATGGTCGCAAGATTCACTCTACCTATCGTTCAGTGGTGTGAGCTTACGAAGGTTCGGAGTTAATGTGAGGATTTTAGAAGAGGAGTTGATTTCTTTCTATGTTGCACTCTGTCCAGTGTAAGGCACGTTCAAACATTTATGTTCAAGGGTATTAATGTTCAATTAGAGTGTGTAAACGTTGTTATAATACGCATTGAAACCCTTGTTGTACTGAAAAACGCATTGAAACCCTTGTTGTACAGTGTACAGCTCAGTTTAAATGTTGCGGTACCAGTCAGGGAATTCGCGCACAGTTGATGGGTACCACGCAGGAAAGATGGGTACCACGGAGGGAAGATGGGTACCACGAAGGGGCGCGCATGATCTGACGGGTACCATCGAGCCACGTAGGTGACTTTTGATGTCAGCGGCTTCGATTTTGGTTACCCAGAAGGTAATTACCCGAATTGAAACGAGATGAAACGAAACCAAACGAAACGCGCTGCCGCCGCTCTGGGCTGTGTCGCACTCTGGTTGGTTGGCTCTGGGTGATGCTCCAGGAGGCGTTTTTATTTTTTGCACTTGCACCCCATGTCTGTCATGCAAGTGGACTGGCCGAAAAAAGAATTGGCCAATGAGAGCAGCCCGTTATGTCTCAAATGAGACGACTCACTGTCATCGACCATGTTGCCTGGCTACGAAAACGAATTGTTTGAATTTGACCGAGTTTTGCTGCTGCCACCGAGGGCTGAAATGGCCGTTACGCATGCGCAACTCTTTAGAAATCCTGAGGTGTGACGTTTTCCGTCCGTTTCGAATCATCGACACGAACATGGGTCTTGCTCGTTCCCGCCAATCACGACAGCAACAGTCGTCGTACGGAGACAAACTCAACAACATGGTTCAGCAGTGCAGTTGTGAGAGGTCCTCACCTCACTCGTTCACCCACCCACGAACTCTCAACAGTAGCTTGCGAGATGTGTAACAGCAATCGTTGGCTATTTCACTGTATATCCGAACATTTCATGTGTAAACTGACATCGTATTTCCAAGGAAAGAAAAATTATTTCAGGAGGACCTACGGTAGCTGGATTTCATGGATCAAACAAAGATGATGTAAGTGCCACTTTTACCATTGCAAGTGCCTCAAGATAAATGATATTTTAGTATCACGGTTATTCACCAGTAGAAAGTAACAATCAATACCTTACATGAACTAGCACAAACACCAAACGCAAAATAAAACACCCCTACTGAAGCCACACCTAACGGAAATCAAAACAGCTCATGAAACTACATCCTTCCTACTAGTTTTTTTAACAAGCACTATGAAGCCCCTTACATCACAACGACATACAAAACTAACCCCCTCCCAGATTACGGTAGACACAAAACACACGAGCCATGCTGCTATGCTATGGCATGCCCCAAGCAGCCCTTCAGGAATCATGAAAAAAACCCATGAATTACCGGTAGCACATACGATACGACCAAAACTTGAGGCCCCTAGCCACACACGCACTTGAAAGAACGCCAGCAGCAAGTCACAGAGCTTCGTATAGCAGCTTTCATGAGAGAAAGGCTTGTGAAAAAACAACCGTGGCTGACTTGCTGTGCCTTGTGGGCAGCGTACACACTTGAAGCATGAACTTTCCATTTCAGTGCTTCAGGATGGGATAGGATGGAATAGCTTCAGTGCTTCACGTTGCTAGCACGCCTGGTTGATTTGCGGCTGCAGCTTGAGGGAAGAGTTGACTTTTGAGTCGACTCAAAAGTCAACTCGTTGCTAGCACGCCTGGTTGATTTGCAGCTGCAGCTTGAGGGAAGAATGCTTCACACAGCAGCTTCAGGTCACTAGCATGCCTCATAGAAAAGCACTTGCGGCTGCAGGCGGCCCCTGGTGCATGAGCTCACCACATCCGCCCAGCCCCCAACCACCTGCAGGGATCATACGAGAGAGAGGGAAGGAGAATCCAGCATGATTGATGCACTTGCGGCTGTAGGCAGCCCCTGGTGCATTAGCTCACCACATCCGCCCAGCCCCCAACCACCTGCAGGGATCATACGAGAGAGAGGGAAGGAGAATCCAGCATGATTGATGCACTTGCGGCTGTAGGCAGCCCCTGGTGCATTAGCTCACCACATCCGCCCAGCCCCCAACCACCTGCAGGGATCATACGAGAGAGAGGGAAGGAGAATCCAGCATGATTGATGCACTTGCGGCTGTAGGCAGCCCCTGGTGCATTAGCTCACCACATCCGCCCAGCCCCCAACCACCTGCAGGGATCATACGAGAGAGAGGGAAGGAGAATCCAGCATGATTGATGCACTTGCGGCTGTAGGCAGCCCCTGGTGCATTAGCTCACCACATCCGCCCAGCCCCCAACCACCTGCAGGGATCATACGAGAGAGAGGGAAGGAGAATCCAGCATGATTGATGCACTTGCGGCTGTAGGCAGCCCCTGGTGCATTAGCTCACCACATCCGCCCAGCCCCCAACCACCTGCAGGGAGGTCGCACAACAGAGAAGAGAACAGTATTGGAGAACTCTCACAAGCAGCTCCAACGTCTCACTCCACGTGATCTCACTCCACCTCATCTCACTCCACCTCATCTCACTCCACCTCATCTCACTCCACCTCATCTCCTCCACCTCATCTCCCTCCTTCCATCCACCTCATCCACCGCATCTCACCTTGACGGTGGTATCGTCGAACATGACCCACTTGCCCAGGTCCGCATGGAAGGAGAAGCAGTGGTAGTGCCGCCCATAGTAGCACACCACACACACCACGCGCACCCTCTGTGGACCCGGCAGGCCCCAGCGCACGCAAGCACCTCAGCTCAACCGAAACATCTACATCATTATCACCGCACTACACCTCATTCCACTGGAGAACTCTCACAAGCAGCTCCAACGTCTCACTCCACGTGATCTCACTCCACCTCATCTCACTCCACCTCATCTCACTCCACCTCATCTCACTCCACCTCATCTCCTCCACCTCATCTCCCTCCTTCCATCCACCTCATCCACCGCATCTCACCTTGACGGTGGTATCGTCGAACATGACCCACTTGCCCAGGTCCGCATGGAAGGAGAAGCAGTGGTAGTGCCGCCCATAGTAGCACACCACACACACCACGCGCACCCTCTGTGGACCCGGCAGGCCCCAGCGCACGCAAGCACCTCAGCTCAACCGAAACATCTACATCATTATCACCGCACTACACCTCATTCCACTGCTCTTCACAACACCTCCCTCTATCTTCTCACCTTGACGGTGGTGTCGTCGAACATGACCCACTTGCCCAGGTCCGCATGGAAGGAGAAGCAGTGGTAGTGCCGCCCGTAGTAGCACACCACACACACCACCCGCACCCTCTGTGGACCCGGCAGCCCCCGATACACCACTCCCACATCCATCTGCACGTCTAGAGCCCCCAACGTTAGCCCTATGTCCTCTGCTTCCTCCCTGTCGCTCTGCCACCCCAGAACTGCGAACACAAAACGTGTGTTGGGAAGGGGAACAAGGGGGAGGAAAGGAGTCAGAGGTAACACACCACACCACACACACCACACCACACACCACCCGCACCCTCTGCGGGCCCGGCAGCCCCCGGTACACCACTCCCACGTCCATCTGCACGTCCAGAGCTCCTAGAGTAAGACCGATATCCTCCGCTTCCTCCCTGTCGCTCTGCCACCCCAGGACTGCGAGTGGGACAAGAAACGGCAGGTGTTGGGAAGGGGAAAGTAGGGGGAGGAAAGGAGTCAGGTTAGTTTCCGGCACACCACACACGCCACGCGCACCCTCTGCGGCCCTGTGAGCCCCCGGTACACCACTCCCACGTCCAACTGCACGTCCAGTGCTGCCAGTGTTAGATCTATGTCCTCTGCCTCATCCCTGTCGCTCTGCCAGCCCAGGACCAAGACAGGGGGGAAGAGAGAGGAAGAACGAGAAGGAAGAGCAGAGTCCTGTCCCTTCCACCGGACAGAGTCAGTTATAGGTGACTGGAAGGGGCAGCCCCCGGTACACCACACCCACGTCCATCTGCACGTCTAGAGCGCCCAACGTTAGCCCGATGTCCTCTGCTTCCTCCCTGTCGCTCTGCCAGCCCAGGACCAAGACAGGGGGGAAGAGAGAGGAAGAACGAGAAGGAAGAGCAGGTTATAGGTGACTGGAAGGGGCAGCCCCCGGTACACCACACCCACGTCCATCTGCACGTCTAGAGCGCCCAACGTTAGCCCGATGTCCTCTGCTTCCTCCCTGTCGCTCTGCCAGCCCAGGACCAAGACAGGGGGGAAGAGAGAGGAAGAACGAGAAGGAAGAGCAGAGTCCTGTCCCTTCCACCGGACAGAGTCAGTTATAGGTGACTGGAAGGGGCAGCCCCCGGTACACCACACCCACGTCCATCTGCACGTCTAGAGCGCCCAACGTTAGCCCGATGTCCTCTGCTTCCTCCCTGTCGCTCTGCCAGCCCAGGACCAAGACAGGGGGGAAGAGAGAGGAAGAACGAGAAGGAAGAGCAGGTTATAGGTGACTGGAAGGGGCAGCCCCCGGTACACCACACCCACGTCCATCTGCACGTCTAGAGCGCCCAACGTTAGCCCGATGTCCTCTGCTTCCTCCCTGTCGCTCTGCCAGCCCAGGACCAAGACAGGGGGGAAGAGAGAGGAAGAACGAGAAGGAAGAGCAGGTTATAGGTGACTGGAAGGGGCAGCCCCCGGTACACCACACCCACGTCCATCTGCACGTCTAGAGCGCCCAACGTTAGCCCGATGTCCTCTGCTTCCTCGCTGTCGCTCTGCCACCCCAGGACTGAGAATGAGGCAAGACATAGCGGGTGTTGGGAAGGGAAGGGGAAGAGAGGGAAGGAAAGAGTCAAGGAAAAACACCACACACACCACAACACACCACCCACACCTCTGCGGCCCCGGCAGGCCTGCCCGGGTACAACACCCTCCTCCCAGTCGCTCTGCCTCCCCAGCACAGCCCTCACATACACCTACCTCCAGAGCCAACCAGTCCTCATACCCCTCGCCCAGTTGCTGAATAACTTTTCGAATCCACCAGCGGTGAAGATGGGTGGAGCGCGGCGCAGAACATGCTGAACGGCGTTGGGGTGCTTGCACCCTCCCACGTCCTGATTGTCACAGAAAATACTATAGCATACACATTCCTTGCCCCTTCTCCCTCCCCTTCTTGCCCCCCTCCAAGTGACCCACCAGCACGGCCTTTTCACGCACCAGTGGTGAAGATGGGTGGGGCGTGGCGCAGAACATGCTGAATGGCGTTGGGATGCCCACACCCCCCCACCTCCACATTGCATGGCAGCAGGTGATGCTGCTCCATGCCCGCCAATAGCTCGTCCATGCGGCACGTGGGGTTGCCCAGCTGTGGGAAGGGGTTGAGAGCAGTGATGGAGGGGTTGGGAGCGGTTAGGGGCGAGTCAAGAGGGCAGGGGAGGAGGGGGGGAGCACCCCCTCACGTCCACATCGCATGGCAGCAGGTGGTGCTGCTCCATGCCCGCTAATAGCTCGTCCATGCGGCACGTGGGGTTGCCCAGCTGTGGGAAGGGGTTGAGAGGGGTGAGGAAAGAGTTGAGAGGGGAGACGGCACGTGGGAGCATCTCTCGCTGCTTTCACTGCATCTCATTCTGCTTCGCTCACCTTGGAGAGCCTGAGGGCAGTGGCGTTGGCATGGTGGAAGGAGGTAATGCATCTGACCAGTCTTGAGCGACATGTATGCACGGTCCTAGCGCCCCACGCATGTGCACACACGCCAAGACACACACTCACCTTGGACAGTCTAAGGGCAGTGGCGTTGGCATGGTGGAAGAAGAAGAAGTAATGCATCTGACCAGTCTTGAGAGCTATGAACAAATATAGCGGCCCACACACATATTCGCACCAAGTGCCTCTTAGACACTCACCTTGGAGAGCCTGAGGGAAGTGGCATTAGCATGGTGGAAGAAAGAGGAGTAGCGCATCTGGTGCGACTGCAACCCCAACAGCACCCAACAGTTACACACTCTCTTAGCGCCCAGACACTCACCTTGGACAGTCTAAGGGCAGTGGCGTTGGCATGGTGGAAGAAGGAGGAGTAGCGCATCTGGCGGGTCTTGGTGCTAGGCACAGTCCTCCTAGCGCCCCACACCTACGCCCACACACTAACCTTGGATAATCTGAGGGCAGTGGCGTTGGCATGGTGGAAGAAGGAGGAGTAGCGCATCTGGCGGGTCTTGGCGCTAGGCACAGTCCTCCTAGCGCCCCACACCTACGCCCACACACTAACCTTGGATAATCTGAGGGCAGTGGCGTTGGCATGGTGGAAGAAGGAGGAGTAGCGCATCTGGCGGGTCTTGGCGCCAGGCACAGTCCTCCTAGCGCCCCACACCTACGCCCACACACTAACCTTGGATAATCTGAGGGCAGTGGCGTTGGCATGGTGGAAGAAGGAGGAGTAGCGCATCTGGCGCGACTGACTGTTATGCACGCCCCTAGTGACACAGACATGCGCCCATCCACACACACACACACTCACCTTGGAGAGCCTGAGAGCAGTGGCGTTGGCGTGGTGGAAGAAGGAGGAGTAGCGCATCTGGCGCGACTGACTGTTATGCACGCCCCTAGTGACACAGACATGCGCCCATCCACACACACACACACTCACCTTGGAGAGCCTGAGAGCAGTGGCGTTGGCGTGGTGGAAGAAGGAGGAGTAGCGCATCTGGCGCGACTGACTGTTATGCACGCCCCTAGTGACACAGACATGCGCCCATCCACACACACACACACTCACCTTGGAGAGCCTGAGAGCAGTGGCGTTGGCGTGGTGGAAGAAGGAGGAGTAGCGCATCTGGCGCGACTGACTGTTATGCACGCCCCTAGTGACACAGACATGCGCCCATCCACACACACACACACTCACCTTGGAGAGCCTGAGAGCAGTGGCGTTGGCGTGGTGGAAGAAGGAGGAGTAGCGCATCTGACGCGACTGCAGCCCGCAGCGAGAGCAGCGCATCATTTCAGTCACATCCAGCCCAAACAACCCGTGCGCTATGCACGCCGCTGCTGCCGCCTCCCCTGCCACCTCTGCTGCTGCAGCTGCTCCTGCACCTGCTTCCCCTCCTGCTCCTCCTGTTCCTACTCCTGTTGCTACACTGTCCCCTATTCTACTTCCTGATCCTAACCCCCCACCAGATTTCCTAGCATTCCCGGCCGCAGCAGCGGCAGAAGCTGCAGCAGTGTTGGCTCCGCCCTTCCCTCTGGCAACAACTGCACCATAGGAGAGGGGAGAAGCAGACACAGCAGCAGCCCCACTCCCCGAGGCTGTCCCCGAGCCTGCTGCCGGGCCTACATCGTGTCTCTGCCCTGGAGCTGCAGTCTGGTTCGGCACAGACGCAACATTCAGGGTTGAGCTGTCTGCCGAAGCTGCAAGGTAGGCTCGGTCCCAAGCTGCTGTTGAGGCCGGGCAGTCCCAGCTTCCTGCCTGCTTCTGATTGGCTGCACTGCTGCCCGGGTCAATAAAAGAATGATCTGTCGAGAAGTTGACAGCTGTGGCTTTGACACTGGAAGCTCCTTCTGATGCCGAACCAGCTGCCCTGCCTGCAGGTTCGGAGGCAGGTTCGGTGAAGGCTCGGTGGAGACAGTCGAAGATGACTGGGAGAACCTCTGAGGCATCATTCATCTGAGACTGAAATGGGAAGGGGAGGGGAGGGGCGAATGGGGCGGTAGAAACATATTTTGAGGTGCCTCAAAGACAGTCGAAGATGACTGGGAGAACCTCTGAGGCATCATTCATCTGAGACTGGAGGAGGGGGAAGGCGGGAGAATGGGGCAGCAAAAAAAAAAAAAAAAAAAAAAAAAAAGGTACAGGAGCAGGCGTTACTCAAGTCAACCAAGTGAAAAGGCATGGCACGCAGTGTCTCTCTTAGCTGTGAGCATAATCGCTAAAAAGGCAACAACAAGGTTTTGAAAATACCTGTTGGAAGAACTCCGAGTCAGCAAACATGGCGCTAAGTGCCACTCTTAGTGCTGTGGGCGCCACTACAGTGCGAACAGAGGGGCCCACCCCTCCCCCTGCTGCTGGCGCCGCTGCCACCACTGCCACCCCTGCTGCTGCTGCCGCCGCCGCTGCCGCTGCCGCAGCTGCTGCTGCAGATGAAGCGGGCTCTGAAGGTGTAACCCCAGCTGTAATCGCGTCGTTACCAGAAGGAACAGCCTCTGTTACACTACTAGCAGCTGTGCTGGTAACCGCGTTGGTAACCGTGTTGGTAACCGCCGCACTGGTGGCTGTACTAGTGTGTGCACTCCTGGCCCCACCGCGCTCTGCCAGTGCAGTAGCATAACTGCTGTGTGTGGAGGGTTGTGGCTGTGCCTGTGGCTGTGCCTGTGGCTGTGCCTGTGGCTGTGTTGGGGATTGTGGCTGTGCCTGTGGTTGTGAATCGATCTGTTGCATCCCACTGCTGCTGCTATGAGCCTGCTGCTGCGACGCCCAGGTATTGCTCTGCTGTGTCCTCTTGCTCCTTTTGCTGGCTGACGCACTCTCAGCCCCCGACAACGAATCGCCTTCTAGAGGGGATGAGCCTGCTGCAGCGCTGCCACTACCGCTGAAACTGCTGGTGGTGGTGTTGCTCAGTACAGGGAAATCGGAGGTGCTGAGAGGAGGGAAAGCGGCAGCGTCGGCAGCAGAAACAGCAGAGCCAGCAGCTTGGGAAACTTGCTCCCTGGACGATCCCACTGCTGCTGTTGCTGCTCCTGCTGATGGGGACGATTTCCAAGCGGGACGCAACGAGACAGGTGCAGCTGCAGCACCGGCAGCAGAAGAAGATGAAGCAGAAGGAGCAGCAACGGAGGCGGCAAAAGGAACAATGGCAGTTGAGAGCGCGGAGCTGCTGTTAGTGGTGGCGATGGTGGTGGCGGTGGCAGCTCCAATGGGAGTATTGGTAGTGGCAGCAGTGGCAGCAGAAGAGTTGCTGCTGCTGGTGGCGGTGCTGGTGGTGTTGAGAGCCAGGAAGATGTCTCTGAGAGCGCAGACCACGCAGGGATCGCCCTGGTGGGTGTGCTGCTGACATGACGGGTGCAGCAACCTCTCCCGGAACCTGCGTAAGTGCCAGAGGGACTGGGGGGGTTTGGGAACCAGAGGGGGAAAAGGGGGTATTTATCAGAAGGGTTGACAGTGCTGGCTGTGATGGTGGCAGTGCTGGTGGTGTTGAGAGCCAGGAAGATGTCTCTGAGAGCGCAGACGACACAGGGATCGCCCTGATGGCTGTGCTGTTGACACGATGGGTGCAGCAGCCTCTCCCTGAACCTTCGCAAGTGCCACAGGGACTGGGGGGTTTGGGATGGGGGAAAAAGATGGGGAGAAACAGAGAGGGTGGAAAGGAGTGTTTATCATTAGGGTTGGAACTTGGCAGTGCTCTCTGATGGCTGTACTGCTGGCATGACGGCTGTGCTGCTGGCATGACGGCTGTGCTGCTGGCATGATGGGTGCAGCAGCCTTTCCCTGAACCTACGCAAGTGCCACAGGGACTGGGGGGTTTGGGAACCAGTGGGACGAAACATGCGGAAGAACATACGGGAAACAAAGGGATATTAATTAGTTGATGGTGCCGGCATTGCTGCCCGTGCTGCTGGTGGAGTTGAGAGCAAGGAGGTGTCCTCTTGAGAATTCTCAAAAGAATTCTCAAAAGTACCATCAACGTTGCTCGTGCTGCTGGTGGAGTTGAGAGCAAGGAGGTGTCCAGATTTGGGACGTAACAAACACACCCAAACAGCAGTCACTCCTCCCGCAAGCAACAGAACAGTCCCTCCGCACCTGAATAATGACATTGAGGAAGCAGTTATACTCCCCAATCTCATTCCGAAGCCCCACCAACCCCTCGAATTACTCATCAGAACAACAACCAACCATTTTTCCCCCAATTAACAACCAGTCCGCACCTGAATGATGACATTAAGGAAGCAGTTATACTCCCCGATCTCATTCCGAAGCCCCACCAGCCCCTCCTCTCCTCCCGCTCCACTCCACACCATCTCCACCGCCCCTCCTCCCCCCCGCAACAACCAATTTGTACGTACCTGAATAATGACATTGAGGAAGCAGTTATACTCCCCGATCTCATTCCGAAGCCCCACCAGCCCCTCCTCTCCTCCCGCTCCACTCCACACCATCTCCACCGCCCCTCCTCCCCCCCGCAACAACCAATTTGTACGTACCTGAATAATGACATTGAGGAAGCAGTTATACTCCCCGATCTCGTTCCGAAGCCCCACCAACCCCTCCTCCCCTCCCGCTCCACTCCACACCATCTCCACCACCCCTCCTCCCCCTCCACCCCCCCTCACATCCACCTCCATGCCCCCCTCCACTCCCCCTCCCTCTCTCGACTCCCCACTCTCCTCTCGTAGCGTCAGCGCCACGCTGGCATCCCAGTCTGCTGACGTGGCAGGCGCTGCTGCCAGGCTGTCGGAGATTCTTTCTGAGCTGGCGGGGTTTAGGGCTGCTTCTGATTGGTGCTTGGGGGGTTGCCGGGCGGCAGAGTGGTAGTAGTGGGATTGAGATGAACGCTCCAGATCCTCTGTTGGGGCCAGTGAGGGAGGAACAATGGGTGGGAGAGACTTTTGAGTCAGTGAGGAACAATGGGTGGGAGAGACTTTTGAGTCAGTGAGGAACAAAAGCCACCTCGTGAGATGAACGCTCCAGATCCTCTGTTGAGGGCAGTGAGGGAGGAAGAAGGGGCAGGGAAAAATGTACGGAGCAGGGACAAAAACTCAGGTGAATACTCAGGATTTTTCAACAGATCCACCAGCGGCAGGACTAGAAGCAACGGCTCTGCCACAATCACCTATGCCCTGCACCCACGTATACCCTTCTGCACCCACCTATACTTTGCTGCACCCACGTATACCCTTCTGCACCCACCTATACTTTGCTGCACCCACCTATACTCTGCTGCACCCACCTATACTCTGCTGCACCCACCTGTACTCTGTGGCACCTACCTATACCCCTCTGCACCCACCTATACTCTGCTGCATGGCTCGTTGCAGGTCTGCTTGAAACTGCTCATCCTCCTCCTCGTGATCCACTGTGGCACTCCTCCCTTCAACCTCCGTTCCCTCCATTCCCTCCATTCCCACCATTACCCACTCACCTATGCTCTGCTGCATGGCTCGTTGAAGGTCTGCTTGAAACTGCTCATCCTCCTCCTCGTGCTCCACTGTGGCACTCCTCCCTTCAACCTCCGTTCCCTCCATTCCCTCCATTCCCACCATTACCCACTCACCTATGCTCTGCTGCATGGCTCGTTGAAGGTCTGCTTGAAACTGCTCATCCTCCTCCTCGTGATCCACAGCAGCACTCCTACCTTCAACCTCCGTTCCCTCCATTCCCACCACTCCCGCCATTACTCCCCCCTTTCCTCCTTCCTCCCCTCCCTCCTCTCCTCCCACCACTCGTCCTTCCTCTCCTCCCTCTCTTCCACCCTCCATTCCTTCCCCCATCAGCCCTTCACTACCCCCTACCTGCTCCATCACTCCCTCATTCCACTCCTTCCTTCCCCCCATCTCCACAGCCCCCTCACTCTCTCCCCGCCCTCCTTCCCACACCATCTCCCCACCTCCTGTTCTTCGCACATCCACCACCGCTGCTTCCCTTCCTCCCGCATCCCCTGCTGACACACCTGCATGGGCATCCTGAGAATTCTCATAATAACCCACTGCCCCTCCTGCTGCTCCCCTCCCTGCTACCGCCCCTACTCCTGCCGCCACTCCTGCCCCTCCTCTTTCCCCTGCTTCCCTAACTCCCACCTCCACCATTCCACGTGCATCCATCCCCATCACAGGGCCTCCCGTCTGTTGAGTCTCTCCCATCTGTTGCGGTGTTTCCATATGTTGTGGTGTTTCCATCAGTTGAGGCGTTTGAGAAGCTCCCATTGATTGGGTCGTGTCCAGTTGATGACCGGGAATGGGAGCCACACGCGTGTGGAAAGGGGGGGCCTGCAGCCCTTGCGGAGGCTGCATGCTTTGCGCGTGGGCCATTTGCAATTGTACCCCGTGCGGCTGCTGGGCCATTTGCAATTGTACCCCGTGCGGCTGCTGGGCCATTTGCGATTGTACCCCATGGGATTGTACCCCGTGCGGCTGCTGGGCCATCTGCGATTGTACCCCATGGGATTGTACCCCGTGCGGCTGCTGGGCCATCTGCGATTGTACCCCGTGCGATGGCTGGGCCATCTGCAAATGCACCCCATGAGGCTGTGCCATTTGGGAGTGCATCGCATGAGCCTGAGGCTGCAAACCCAGCTGCTGCTGCTGCTGCTGCTGCTGCTGCTGCTGCTGCTGAGTGTGATACCCCACAGCCAGCCCTGGAGACCCAGCAGCATGGCCATGCTGGGGAGGCGAGGGAGCAAGCGGGTATGAGTGGGCGGATGGGATGGCATGTGGGTGGGGTTGGGATGTAAACGGATAGGGTTGGGACGAGTAAGGGTGAGAGGGCGGGGGCGTGGGGTTGGGGGGTGGGGATGGGCCGTGGTGTAGGGGATGGGTTGGGTGGGATAGGTGGGCGAGGTGGGTATGGTGCATGGTTGTTTGCGCTTGCGCTTGCGCTTGTTGCTGCGCCTGCCCCTGCTGCCCCTGCCCCTGTCCCTGCCCCTGTGTCTGCCCCTGTGCCTGCATCTGCACCTGCCCCTGTCCCTGCGCCTGCCCCTGTCCCTGCGTCTGCCCCTGTCCCTGTGGTGGTGGTGGCAGTGGTCGGATGTGTGGCGAGGGAAGGGGGCGGAGGAACGGCGAGGGGTACATGAGGGAGGGCATACCCCCGGGAACAAAGGGAGCAGCGTGAGAAGACAGCTTACTCGGCGATGCAAACGCTCCCGACTGCCCCACCTGCTGCTGCTGCTGCTGCTGCTGTGCTGTGCCTGTCCCTCCCACCCCTCCTTGCCCTCTTTCCCCTCCTTGCCCTCCTCGTCCCCCCACTGCTACACCCAAACCACCAGCAGGAGCAGTCCCAGCAGGATACGCCATAAGCACTGCCGGATCCCCCCCTACCCCCGCTGCCCCAGCCGCCCCTGCCGCCGCCGCCGCCGCCGCTGCTGCTGCTGCTGCTGCACGTTCCGACTGCCCTGCTGCTGCACCTGCTGTCTGTGCCACCGCTCCTGAGACTGGTGCTCCTTGGAAGGAGGGATGCAGGCCTGGAGGGGCATAGAGAGGGGCTGTATGGGGAAGCTGGGCATGGGAAGGTGTAGAACCGTCGCCACCAGCAGCACCAGCAGCAGCAGCACCGCCAGCACCAGGAGCACCCGCAAGAGGACCCACGCCAGACCCTCCCTGCGCCCCCATATACCCCACCGGCCCTGAAACCAGGCTCGCCAAACCAGCAGGCCCGGCGCCCGAACCTCCTGCCGAGCCTGGACCTCCTGGAGCAGCAAGAGGAGGCATGGGGGCGGGCGGAAACGGGGCAGCACCCATAGGGGCACCCATGGGAGCCGTACCCATGTGTGCGCCCATGTGCATGGGCATGGGGAGAGGGACGGGCATGGGGTATGCCATAGGCACTGGTACCAGAGGGACCGTTTGTAGGGGCATGAGTGACCCATACCCATCCCCTGCTCCCCCACCAATCCCACCAGCAGCAACGGCAGCACCAGTTCCCGCACTCCCCCCACCCACACCGCTTGTTTTGCCCATGTCCGGTGCAGCACCGCTGAGACCCGCCTGTGGTGCTGCTGGTCCGTGCTGCGGCTTACCAGTGGTGCCAGCTGCAGCGGCACTGGGAGCTGCAGCAGCAGTGGCAGCGGCTGCAGCAGCGGCAGTGCCAGCTGCGGCAGCAGAGGAAGCAGAATTGGAGAGGGAGGAGGAAGGAGGGGGGGTGACAGAGGGAGGAGAGAGGGAGGAGGGAGGGATGCCGGAAATAGCACCTGCAGCGCCTCCGGTGGTGGCAGCATTGGTGAAGGAGCCAAAGGTGATTCCAGACAGGCCAATAGGCCTACCACCACTGCTGCTGCTGCCGCTGCTGCTCTTGCTCATGCTGCTCTTGCTGCCGCTGCTGCTGCTGCTGCTGCTGCTGCCGCCCCTGTCACTGAAGCTGCTGGTGCTATTGCCAGCACTCTCAAGACCGGGTTTGCTGGGTGCTGAAACGGCCTCTTTCTCTTCCTGCCGCTGCGCCTGTCCCTGTGCCTGCGCCCGTTCCTGTGCCTGTGCCTGTGCCTGCCCCTGCCCTTGCTGCTGTGCCTGTGCCTGTATCTGCTGTTGCGTTGCCCCCAAAGGCGCATACTCTTTGACCTGCCGCATCTGCCCCTGCTGCTGTTGTTGCTGCTGCTGCCGTTGCTGTTGCTGCTGCTGCTGATGCCGTTGCTGTTGCTGTTGCTGCTGCTGTTGCTGCTGCTGCTGCTGCTGTTGCTGCTGTTGTTGCTGCTGTTGCTGTTGCTGTTGTTGCTGTTGCTGCTGCTGCTGCTGCAACTGTCGCCTCCTCTCTCTAGCAGCAGACCTCGGTCCTACAGCAACCTCTACGTCCACCTCCTCAACCCTCTCCCCTCCCATTCCCCCTCCCATACCTCCTCCCATACCTCCTCCCATACCTCCTCCCATACCTCCTCCCATGCCTCCTCCCATGCCTCCTCCCATGCTTCCACCCATCCCTCCACCACCCATACCTCCTCCCATACCTGGCCCCATACCTCCACCCATCTGCCCCGGCCAAGCCCCAGCCCGACCCTGTCTCTCCTCCCCCTGTGACCCATCACCCCACCCCCCGGCATACCCCTTCCCGCCCCACCCACTAAACCCTGGAGGGTGAACCACCCCCTGTGGGGCAATTACCCCTTGATGGGCAGGGGGAGTTACCCCTTGAAAAGGCATTACCCTCTGCGGGGGAATCAGCCCTTGAGGGGGAATTACCCCTTGGTGAGCATGCCTGGAGGCTAATTCCTCCTGGGAACCAGGCAGGGGCGCAACAGGGAGAGAAGAGCTGGGAAAGCCAGGCAGTGTGCTGTGTGCAGGGGCGGAAGGCCTGGCATTTGCGCTCATGGGTAGTGCACTGACGGCATTAGGGTTCATCGGATTAGGGTTTACAGAATTAGGGTTACCAGGCCCACCACTTCTAACCACGTCTGGTGCAGCCAGCAACCCATCCTGTACCCCCCGCACTGTGCCCCCACCAACTGCCCCTCCACCAACCGTTCCCAAACCAACCGCACCCACACCAACCGCACCCACACCAACCGCCCCCACTACTCCCACCACCCCAGCAGCAGCACCCACGGCGGTTGCAGGTACCAAGGGCAGGAGCGGTGGCAACTGAGACGGGTGCTGCTGCTGCTGCTGCTGCTGCTGGGGCACCTGTTGATGCTGTTGCTGCACCTGCCCCTGTGACTGCTGCAGTGGCTGCGGCTGCTGGTGCACCTGTCCCTGTGATTGCTGTTGCTGCTGCTGTGTCTGCTGCGTCTGTCCCTGGATGCCAGTGCCCGTGCCAGTGCCAGTGCCATTGCCCATGCCTGTACCTGAGCTCGTGCCCGTACCCAGTGCAGCAGCAGGACCACGCGCATCTCCAGCTTCAGCTGCCCCTGTGCTTCCTTCTGAACCCTCTCCTGCTTGAAAACGTGCGCCTACCTGTGAACCCCCTCCCGCCTGCAAACCACCTCCCCCCTGCAATCCCCCCTCCAGCTGCCCTCCCATTCCGCCTGCCTTGCCCTTGCCGCCCCTCTTCCGCCTCGACCTGTTCTTGCCTCCGCCTAACCCCCCTCCTTCGCCAGACCCAGTAGCACTCCCTCCATCAGACACAGCACCGCCACTGCCCGCAGCAGCACCTGGATTTTCACCTGAAGCAGCTCTCTGCGCGAGAGGCGTTCCCAGCAGCCCAGCATTCGCAGGCGGGGTGGCAGCAGCACCCTGAATTTGACTCTGCCCTGCCCTGAACCTCTGCGACTCGCCTTGCTGATTCGGCACTTTCTGCTGCTGCAGGGATGGAGGCACAGCAACGTCTCTCCCACGGCCCTTGTGCCCCAAACGTTGGCTCGAACTCGCTATAGTCCGCACTATGCCACCTGACCGATCACCTGAGACCAATCCGGACGCTGGAATGCCGTTTGCCAATGCCCCTGCCTCCGCTAATTGAGTTCCAACCCCCACCCCCACCTGCTGCTGCTGCTGCTGACTTTGTTGTTGCCGCCCATGTTGCTTTCCCTCCTGCTGCTGCTGCCCCCCCTGCTTCCGCTTCTGCTTCTGCGTTGACTCACCTGAGTCTCCTCCTACCCTCGAACCACCCTCTTCCTTCTGCCACCCACCACTCTCCACACTCCCATTCCCCATACTCACACCCCCTGCCACCTCCCTCCCGCCCCGCCCCCCACCCAGCCCCTTACCCCGCCCTCCTGTCTGACCCACACCCACCGCGCCCCACCCTTCTTCATCCCTTCCATCAGAATCTCTTAGCCTCGTACCACTGCTACCAGCCAAACCCACTCCTGCAGAAGAAGAAGAGTCAGCTAAAGAACCGCCAACTCGAGCCGCTTCCTGCTGTAACTGCTGGGTCTGCTGTGGCCATTGGGTCGGCTGGGATTCAAGGTTCTGTGACAACTGCTGAAACTGATGAGACGCACCTGCTGGTGTATGTGTGTTTGTGCTTGTATGTGTATGTGAATGTGTATGTAGCTGTGTGTTTGTATGCGTATGTGCATCCGCACTCGAAAGCTCCCTGGGGCCCGGTTCCCCCCATCCTGTCGCCCCTATTGCCCCTGCAGCAGCAGCAGCAGCACCACCAGCCGCACCCACAGCACCGGCACCTGCAGCAAACCCTTCCGGCCCCTGCATCACCGCCGTCTCTTGCAAAACCCCGAACCCAGAACCTCCATTAGCCCTCTCCCAGCTCGACCCCTCACAACTCCCGTCCTCCCAATCCCCTTGCCTCCCTCTCACCATCCCCCCTTCCACCTCCCCCATCCGTACCCTCACCTCTTGCACCCCACCACTCCCATCTCTCCCAACCCCCCTCGACTTAGCCTCCCCACCACCACCCATCAGCCTGAGCCGCTCCAATTCAGCCATTCTCTGCCGTTTCGCCGCCTCCTCTGCTTGCCTCTGGAGAGACAGAGCCCACTCCAGTTTCCTCTCCTCGTCCTCCATCTCCTGTTGCTGCCGCAGAATCTCCTGCTGCTCCCTCCGCCTCTGAGCCTCCTCCTCCCTCTCTGCCGCACTCTGTGGCACCCTCACCCTCTCCCTCTCCCTCTTCTCTCTTTTCTCTCTCTCCCCTCTTTCTCCGTCTCTCTCTCCCCCTGCCTGCCTCAAATGCTTCTCCGTTTTTCCTTCTCTTCCCCCCTCCCCTTCCTCCTCGCCCTCATTCCCTCCTTCCATGTCACTGTCCCTTAGCTGACTACTGCTCCCTATCTCTCTTCCTTCGCCCTCCCCTCCTCCCTCCGCTCCTGCCACCCTACCAGTACTCTCCCCTCCTCCTCCTCCTGTTACTCCTCCCCCTGCGCCTCCTCCCCCACCACCACCCTTCCCACTCTTGGCCCGCTCCTTGCCCTTCTTTTTCTCTCGGTTTTTTTCCACCTGCCCCTGCTTGTCCAGCTCAGCAAGGAACGCCTCTTGGGCAGCGTCGGAGCGTTTCTGCGCGTCCTGCTCTGCTGCTTGCTCCAAGCGATTCTGGAGACAAAACACAAGAGTGAGGCAGCAGCAACGGACAGCACATGAAAGCAGGAAGCTTAGCAAGGCACATGGCATGGGGGGGGCATTGGCACTCGCTTGCCGTCCCAAAGTGCAAACGCTACTGCAGCCTGCAGGTGACGCTACACTGCAAGCCCTTGCTGGAAACAGAGGGAAACTCAGAAGCTGGCAGGTTAAGCACGTTTGGTAAGCCAAGCACTTGGTCCCAGGAGAAAGGTGCATGCTTACCTGCAGGAACGTCCTGACGATGGGCAGCATGGCGGCGCGGTAGTCAAACACAGATGCCTGGTGGAGCTTGTTTGGGCACCGCATTGAGCATGGCTGCCGTGTGTACTGGGAGAAGCACTCACCAGCACCACACACCACACCTGACAGCACCACCATGTATACCTCTCAACACTACCCCACCTGCAGGAACGTCTTGACGATGGGCAGCATGGCGGCGCGGTAGTCAAACACAGACGCCTGGTGTTGGCACTCAACGCTTCGAGCAAGTGCGCAGCAGCACCTGGCAGCAGCACTCACCCGGGAGGGAGCAACATGCACACATATCTCAGAACAGTTCCCCACCTGCAGGAACGTCTTGACGATGGGCAGCATGGCGGCGCGGTAGTCAAACACAGTCGCCTGGTGGAGCTTCGCGTTGGCCTTCTGAACTGCCTCCAGATGGCACAGAATCCTCTCCTCCGCTTGCTCCTTCTGCTCACGAGAGACATGGGGAAGGGTAGGGGAGAGGAACAGGAAGACGCAAGTGGTGTGGGAAGGGGTGGAGCTTGGCGTTGGCCTTCTGCACCGCCTCCAGATGGCACAGAATCCAGGGTCAAATGCTTAAACCCCTCCCACATTCCAGGGTCAAATGCTTAAACCCCTCCCACATTCCAGGGTCAAATGCTAAACCCCTCCCACATTCCAGGGTCAAATGCTAAACCGCTCCCACATTCCAGGGTCAAATGCTAAAACTCTCCCACATTCCTAACTCCTAAGCCAAACCCTACCTCTGCCAGAATGCTGCTCCTGTGGCTCCGAATCGCGCCCTCCATGCGCAGGTCCAGCTGGGCGGCAAACTCCGGCCCGCGCCAGCTGTCGTGCTCGTCCTCATCCGAATCGGTGCCGCCCAGGTGGGAGGGCGTGAGGGAGAGCAGATCGCCGCACGGCATGCGAGGCTGCGGGGGAATGGGGAGAGAAGGGGGAGCGGAAGAGGGAGGGGGCGGGGGAGGGGAAGAATGATTGGGGGGGTTGGTTGGTGCCGGAGGGGGAAGAGAACGTGCCGGCCAGATGGGAGGGCGCGAGGGAGAGCAGATCGCCACACGGCATGCGAGGCTGAGGGGGAATGGGGAGAGAAGGGGAAGCGGAAGGGGGAGGGGGCGGGGGAGGGGAAGAATGATTGGGGGGGTTGTTTGGTGCCGGAGGGGAAGAGAGTATGTGCCGCCCAGGTGGGAGGGCGTGAGGGAGAGCGGGTCGCCACACACACAGCACGAGCGGCTGACAAGAAGCAGGGGTGAGAGAAGAGAGGGGAGGGGGGGTGTGGCGAGAGGAGGAGAAAAGAGGAGAGAAACAAATTATCTCCCATCCCAGATACAACTCACGCAAAGGCAGGCCTCTCACCTCGCTGAACAGCGCCGTCTGGTAATCACTGAGCACGCTGCGGATGACACTTGTCGAGGTGACTTTTGAGTCTACTCAAAGGACAGGCCTCTCACCTCACTGAACAGCGCCGTCTGATAGTCACTGAGCACGCTGCGAATGCCTCTCAGCTCAACTCGATGCCTCTCGCAGTCGCTCAGGCCTCTAACCTCTTACTCACCTCACTGAACAGCGCCGTCTGGTAATCACTCAGCACGCTGCGGATGACACTTGTCTCGATCTTATTCGCCCGCAGCCTCCTCTCCGTCCACACCTTCCGCTTTGCCTGCTTCTTCTCCCCCTCCTCCTTTCCCTCCTCCTTCCCCTTCTCCTTCCCCTCCTCCTTTCCCTTCTCCTTCCCCTTCTCCTTCCCCTCTTCCTCGTCCTCCTTTCCCTCCTCCTTTTCCTCCTCCTTACCCTCCTTCTCCTTCGCCTCCCCTTCCCCTTCCTTCTCTTTCCCTCCCACCTCTTCGCCTGGCACATCCTTCCCTTTTACCCCATCTTCCCCTTTTTCATCCTTACCCTCCCCTTCCTTCGAGCCCTCTCTCGCCTCACTCCCTGCGCCTACCCTCCCCCCCTCACCCCCCTCACTCCCCTCACCACCTTCTTCCACCCCATCCGCCTCTCCTTTCGCCCCCACTTCAGCATCCCTCCTCTCGCCCCCTCTCTTCCTCTCCCCATCACCCAGCAAAGCCGTCCCCTCATCCGAATCCTCCTCCTCTCCTCTCTTCTCCACCTCCTCCTCCTTATCCCCCTCCTCACCCCCCTCCTTACCCCCCTCTCCTCTCTTCTCCGCCCCCCCACTTCCCCTTCCGCCCTTCCCCCGCCCTTCCTCCGCTGCCCTAGCCTCCTCATCCGCAATCCCCCTCAATGCCTCCTCTTCCGCCTCTGCAAGCTCCGCCATCCTCCTTTTAAGCACACTCGCAAACCGTTTCACATACCCCGGGTCCCTCTCCCTCCGCCGCCTCTCCTTCTCAAACAACCTCTCCATCTTCCTCAGCTTTCGCTCCGCGATCCCCAGCTCTATCCTTCTATCGCATTGTGACTTTAACGAGTTGTACTCCGTGTCTAGCCCCTCCATCACCTCCCTCGCCTTCTCCAGGCCCTCTTTATAAGCACACCGCCACGCTGGCGCTGCCATCTCGTAATCCATCCGCCCGAAGATCCACGCAAGCTGCAAATCGTCATGCCTGGGCGCGTCAGCAGCACCACCAGTCACACCATCAGCACCAGCACCAGCAGCAGCAGCAGCAGCAGTAGAAGCACCCCCACTACCACCACCAGCGCCAGCACCGGCACCAGAAGCAGGGGTTCCGGCAGTGGGTTTCCCCCCTCCGTCCCCTCCTGCTGCTGTTTGTGCTCCCACACCCACCGATCCCCCTGCTCCTCCCCCTGCTCCTCCCCCTGCTCCTCCCACTGCCCCATCGCCTCTCCGCACGCGCATGAGGGGCAGAGGCCACTTCATGCTGGGGTCCTCAGGCACTGCAACCGTCAACTCCTCCTCCTCCTCCCCCCCTTCCTCCTTCTCCTCCTTCTCCTCACCTTTCGATGCTGCTTTCACCTCCTCACCCGCCTCTCCCTTCCCGGTCTTCTGCTTTCCCTCTCCCTTCGTCTCCTTCTGTCCCCCTTCTTCCTTCTGCCCCTCTCCCTTCACCTCCTTCCCGGCCTCCTTCCCCTCCTGCTCTCCCACCTGCCTAGCCCCACCACCAACGTCAGCATCCCCACCAGCGCTTCCATCAACCCCTGCTGCTCCCACACCTTCCCTCACTTCGATTCCCGCCCCTTCCTTCCTCACTCCTCCTCCCTCCCTACCCTCCGTCTCCTTCACTCCACCAGCCTTCCCTTTCCTGTCTCCCTCACCAGTTTCTACCCCACCCCCCTTCCCTCCTCCCTCTCCCGCATCCACCCTCCCTCCTTCTCCCTCTCCCGCCTCCTCCTTGCCCTTCTCTCCCCCTCCTGCCTCCACCCTCCCCCCCACAGCATCCCTAAAAGGCAGCTTCGGCTCTTCAGCCACATCCTTCAACACACGCTCATCTAATATGATTCTCGTGAACTCCTCATCTAGCAGGAGCCTGTCCGGCAGCACAGCCTCCTTGTTCTCGTTATAGTACGCCCCCTGTTCCGCTTCTAGCAGGTACGCCTGCAGCTCCTGTATGTCGCGAGCCGGCAGGAAACGCACAAAGACTGGCGACGGGGTGAAGGTGACTGGGGGGCGTGCAAGAGCTGACTTTTGAGTCGACTCAAAAGTGACTGGGGGGCGAGCAAGGGACCCCTTACGAGACGCCTCGTAAGTCCCCTCTTCCTCACAAGTCGTGCCTAAGGAACGTTCCTTACATGCTCCCTCCTCCATTTGCTCCTTAGCGAGCCCGTCCTTATCCGGCCACTTGAGTGAATCTTCATCTGAGACGTCATGTGAACCTTCACCTGAATCTTCACCTGAACCTTCATGTGGCTCCTTTCCCATGGAATCCCCTCCAGATACTGCCTTCCCCAGGCGCTCCTTTTCAACCTCCCCCTGCCTCGCTGCCTCCTCCACTGCAGCCCCTGTGGTAGCAGCAGCAGAAGAAATGGTGAGCGAGGAAGCAGCAGCATCAGCTGCAGCAGCAGCGTCAGCACGAGCGGCAACAGCAGCGTCAGCAACAACGGCAGCAAGAGCGTCAGCAGCAGCGGCAGCAGCAGAAGAAGAAGCTTCCGCAGAAGCAGTGGTGAGCGAGGAAGCAGCAGCATCAGCTGCAGTATAATCAACAGCGGCAGCAACAGCCTTAGCAACAACGTGAGCAACAGCGGCAGAAACAGCGGCAGCAGCAGCAGAAGAAGCTTCCGCAGAAGCAGTGGTGAGTGAGGCAGCAACAGCAGCAGCAGCAGCAGCAGAAGCGTCAGCAACAGCGTCAGCAACAATGGAAGCAGCAGAAGAAGCTTCCGCAGAAGCAGTGGTGCTCGAGGCAGCAACAGCAGCAAGAGCAGCAGCAACAGCGTCAGCAACAGCTTCAGCAACATGGTCAAAAACAGTGGCAGCAGCAGCAGGAACTTCCGCAGAAGCAGTGGTGAGCGAGGAAGCAGCACCAACAGCTGCAGTAGCATCAACAGCGGCAGCAGCAGCAGCACCAGACGCAGCAGCAGCATCAGCAGCAGCATCAGACGCAGCAGCAGCACCAGACGCAACAGCAGCATCAGCAGCCGCAGCATCAGACGCAGAAAGCACAACTCCAGAAGCAGCATCGCCATCACAACCACTGCTCGCACCATCCCCAACAGCCGCAACAGCTGCACCCGCCTCCTCTCCACCCTTCTCTCCTTTCTCCTCTCCACACTTCCCTCCCTTCTCCTCCCCACCCTTCTCACCCTTCTCCTCTCCACCCTTCTCTCCCTTCTCCCCACCCTTCTCTTCCATTTTACCTGCACTACTCCCCCCGCTCTCATCCAAACCCTTCTGCACTCTCTCTGCCATGCCTTGCACCTGCAACGACTTCTGAGGCACGGCAGGCGCCTCAAAAGCTCTCTCCGCCATGGCTTGCACCTGAACCATGGTATACTGCACCATACGCGCCATGTGGTCGCGGGTCAGTATCCCCGCTTTAAGCATGCGCTCCACTATATGCTTAAGCCGCATCAGCTCCCGCTGCCTCTCCCTGTCCTGCACTACTGGCAGCGCTCTCGCATGCCGCCGGCACTGCAGCGACTCCCCACAATGCCTGCAACCCTCTGCTGCTGCTGCTGCCGCTGCTGCTGCCGCCGCCTCTGCCGCAGCCGTCGCCGCTGCTGCCGCTGCTGCTGCTTCCTTTTCAGTGACACAGCCCTTCTCCCCTGCTCCAGCTTCCTCTGTTCCCAGCTTGCTTTCACCTGCCTCCTCTTCTTCCTCCTCCTCATCTTCCTCCTCCTCCTCCTCATCCTCTTCCTCATCCTCTCCTGCACTCCCCTCTTTACCATCCCTGTCACAATTCACTTTAACCTCCTTACCTTCGTCCTCACCCTCCACCTCTCTCTCCTCCTCGCCTGAATCCTTTCCGGATCCCGAGTCCCCCGAAGTACCCCCCTTCTTCCCCTCCTCACTGCCACCTTTGGTCTCGCCTAGAGCAGCGGCCACTCCCTTCTCAATATCCACATCTCCCTCCTCTGCTCCCTCCCCTTCTCCCTTCTCAGTTCCCTCCTCCGTTCCATTCTTGGCCCCCTCCTCCGCTCCCTTCTCTGCTCCCTCCTTTGCTCCCTCCGCTTCTCCCTCCTCTGTCGCCTCTCCATCCAGCTCCATCGCACACGCTTCATCCTTCTCCTCCTTCTCCTCCTCCTCCTTCCCCTCCTTCTTCTCCTCTTCCTCCTTCTCACCATCACCACCCTCCTCACCCCCCTTCCTCTTCCCCTCTCTCTCCTCCACACCCTTCCCACCCCCCTCCCCACCCACCCCACCACCCGCCCCACTCATCCCCTCTACAAGCCTCCTCACCGCCTCAATACCATCCACAGGCGTAACATCCAACCTAGTAAAAATCTCCTCCCAGGAAAGCGCCTCCTCCTCGGGAATCATCCTCTCCTGCTCCGCGCTCAGCTTCCCTATGTGCTCCTCCTGCATGTGCGCCTGAAACGACTCCGCGTCTATAAACCGCTCGTCGCACAGGCAGCACGCCCAGAACTGCCAGTGTTTCCGCTCCTTGGCGAAACTGAGCGCTTCAGACATAAGCTCCTCTGCTGCTGCTGCTGCTGCCGCCGCTGACGCTGCAGATTCCCCCCCCAACCCAACGCTACCACCACCGCTGCTGATAGCAGATGCATGCCCTCCCCCTCTTCCGCCTCCGCCTCCGCCTCCGCCTCCCCCTTCTCCTCCCCCTCCACCTCCCAATCCTGTGCCTCCCCCTCCGCCAGCGCTCCCCACCCCCGCCCCCTTCCCGCCGCGTGCTGACTTGGCAAGGCCATCGCACACGTCAGCAATGGGGATATCCAGAATCTTATCCTTCTCCTCCTGCCCCAGCGTCTTCCAAAACGGTCTAACCTTCTCCACCTTCTCCTCTATAGCCGATTGCGCCCTCGCCCCGCGCCTCCCCGCCAGCACCTCCCTCCGCCGCTTCGCCCCGTCCAGCCCCCCGCGCCTCTTCCCCCCCGCCCCATCCTTCCCCCCTGCGCCGTCCTCCTCCGCGTCCCCCTTCCGCTCCCCGCGGGCGGACGCGGAACCAGGCGCAGCATCCGAGGCGGACGCGGAAGCTCCAGCCCCGCCTCCGTCTGCTGCTGCGCTCTGCCCCTGGCCCTGCCCCTGCCCCTGCAGCTGCAGCTGCTGCTGCTGCTGCTGCTGCAGCAGGCGAGCGGCCGTGACGCGCACCTCGATCTCCTGGCGGCGCTCCTCCAGCGTGCGCACCACGCGCTTCACCTCGTGGATGCGCCGCGGCGGTAGAGACGAGCGCGGCTCGATGGGGTCGTCTGAGATCTTCTTCACCTGCTTTTGGAGGAACGAAGGGGGAGAGGGGGAGGGGGAATGGGAGATGGAAGAAATAAGAGCGGGATAATACAAGTGGGGCTCGATGGGGTCGTCTGAGATCTTCTTCACCTGCTTTTGGAGGAACAAAGGGGGAGAGGGGGAGGGGGAATGGGAGATGGAAGAAATAAGAGCGGGATAATACAAGTGGGGCTCGATTGGATCGTCTGAGATCTTCTTCACCTGCTTTTGGAGGAACAAAGGGGGAGAGGGGGAGGGGGAATGGGAGATGGAAGAAATAAGAGCGGGATAATACAAGTGGGGCTCGATGGGGTCGTCTGAGATCTTCTTCACCTGCTTTTGAGCGAGGACGGGGGGGAAGGGGGAGGGGGAAGGGGGAAGGGGGAAGGGAGGAGACTTGAGGCTTGAAGCGGGGAAGGGGGGAAATATGAGCGCGGCTCAATCGGGAGATCTTCTTCACCTGCTTTTGAGCGAGGACGGGGGGATAGGAGGGTGGAGGGACGAAGAACGTCTGAGGAATGGGGGAAAGAGGAACGGAGAAATACAATCGAGGCTCAATCGGATCGTCTGAGATCTTCTTCACCTGCTTTTGGGAGAAGAGAGGAAGAGGGAGGAAAGTGGGGAAGGGGAAAGGGGGAAGGGCGGAGGCTTGAGAGGCGGGAAAGGGGAAAAGGCACCATGCAACATTACTATGCAACAGCACCTCTCATTACTATGCAATCAGATTCTTATCATTGACGTGCCTAAAAAAAAAAGAGCGACGTTCAATCTGATATCAACGTCAGCAGCTCTTTTTCAAACTGTTGATCGCTCGTTAAAATAACTGGAACTAGAAAGGGGTTAAGGGAGGTGGATGAAGGGAGTGTGGAAATCGGATTTTCTCGCGTCCAGTTTCGATTGGATCAGAGAGGTAAATATCCCCAATCACTTCCTAGAAGCTGCTCCTTATTTACTAAGTATCCTTCAACACAACAACCACTTCGTGGATTCTTAAAATGCTAAACCACAAGTCGGAATTCCTGCCAAAACATCCCACCGCCGGTCAAAAACCTGCAAGAACCTTTCCACTAATCAAGTACCTTCAAACCTAAAACCGCTTGGAGAATACCTGGAGACACTTGAATTGACTATCGAATCTCTGCACGACCTTCCACAATATGTCGCATACTTGCATCAACCCGAATTTCCCACTGTCTATCTAGAGCCGGCAACCAGATTCCTGCGAAAACTTCCACAGCCTCTCTCTCCCATACCTGCAGGAACTTGAACCGCTCGTCCGCACCGTTGCCGAAGCTCCGCCAGATGGTCGAGAACGACGCGATGTTGGCCTTCTGCTTTTAGAGGACCCTCGTAAATACACGATCTGTCCCATACCTGCAGAAACCTGAATTCCCACTGTCCCTCCCACCCACTTTCCAGGGTCACTCCCATACCTGCAGGAACTTGAACCGCTCGTCCGCGCCGTTGCCGAAGCTGCGCCAGATGGTCGAGAACGACGCGATGTTGGCCTTCTGCTGCAACCCGCGCAGCTCGTTCTGCACGTGCGTTACGCGCTCCGCCGGCGTCGCCAGCTCCTGCTGACTCTCCTCCTGCAGGCTCTCCTTCGCCGGATCTACCGGCGATTCGATTCCCAGGCCGCGCTCGCACTCGCGCAGAACCTCGCTATAGTCACGCCCGTCGGCCGCTTCGAAGAGAAGCTGCGCGTAGAAGTGGGCGTACTCGACGGAGTTCGGAGAGAGTTCCGTGGCTTTAAGGGCGGATTCTAACGCGGTGCGTAGATGGCGCTGCTTCGTGGAAGCATCCTCGATCATGTTCGCGAGTTTCAGGTGGATGTGTCCGTTCACGCGGTGGCACAGCGGAACGGACGTGAATTTCCCCGTGGCTTCCTTTATAAGCTTCACCGCTTTCGGAGCGTTGCCACGGCGAAGCGCCTTCACTGCCTTTTCGCATTCCGATTTCACTTCCGCGAATCGCGGATCTGAGGGTTCAAGGTAACCAGGACCCGATCCCTTGGATCCTTCGTCCTGTTGCGATGAAACCCCTCTGTCGCCTGCGCCTCGCCTGCTGCTAGAGCTACCAGAGACCACCATAGCACCACGCGATCCCCCGCCTGATGCAACAGCCTCGCCGGATGTAGAATCGGACCCCTGAGACGAGCCAGATCCGGCCTTGGAAGGCCGTTTCCGACCCATGATTCGTGATTTTGTGGAATGAATTTCAGTAGTTCAGCCTGATCACAGCTTAAAAAGTTAACCGCATGATGCTTGTGAAATCCTTGTACCCGCTACGCTTCCGTACAACGCGTGTATTGTACAGCAATCATATCGTCATCCACCAGTATGCAAGGTAATTATTCGCGATCGGCTAAGGACGTATAGAAGCTTTAGAATGACGCAACAGCTCGACTACGCAGGCCCTAGAGAACCCTAGAAATGGTTTTGCGGAAACCCTAGAGGGCTGGCAATCACCTCGAGATCTCCAACAGACCCCTCAAAATTTCACGAATGATCCACCGATCTGCAGGTTGAAGTTGTGAAGTTGAGCGTGGTGCAAATTTACGTTTCCGGGCAGATCTGTGTTTCCATAAACGAGGGTGAGTACAGCCGAGGTATGCTCAGTAGGTTTTCGCGTAAATGATTTGGAGCAGCGGAGGTCCTTACGTATTTCCCTCTGCAGCAGATTCCAGTCTGTGGACTCCTGTCAGCTCTTTCAACCAACTCTGAAAGTGCGAGGTTTTTGCGGGAAGAATATTTCCTTGCGGGCACTCCTATATGTATGGAACACTGCCCTATGTGATGACTTCGGCTTCACCATGTGTGACCCATGCCGTGGCAGTGCAGAAAATGAAATCGGCAGAACGTTTGATAGAATTCACCGAAGTGTTAGCCTTCGCAACCGTTACTAAACTATCATGAACCCCTAAAAAACTATCTCCCATGCCCCAAACCACCAGCTGCACATCCCATTCAGGTCTTGCTTCCCCTTGCAATGCAAGGAGGGTGCCTGATCACCACATGGTGGCTTGTTCCAGCTGGCAGCAGTGTTGGCAAGTAACAGCTTCTTAATTGATTCTAGTGAGCCATATTCCAGCTCCTCGCCCTGTTTTTTTACCCTAGTAGTGTGCGCCAGGCAGACATTGATGAGTGCTGGACTTCTCTAGCATCCGTCTTGATAGTTTTGCTTTTTCATAACCGTCTTTAATATTGATTCTGCCCCTGATTGTTACTTCCTTTGTTCTTTGAAGTCGCAAAATCCCTCGAACCGCACGCATGGCACCGACGAATGTGTCCTGGAAAATTCTTTCCCTGCTTGCCTTCTTGGTTATCTGCAGACTTTCCAGCGCATCCGCTGACGTGGCGGCGGCGACTGCATTGGTGAAACAGATCAATCATCTCTTTTTTCTCGCGAACCTTTGCCAAATTCTGTAAGTGTGCCACTGCCATACTTTTCACCGTTCTCCACCTGCTAAACTTCTCGTGTTCATCCTGCCTCCTCACCACCTCATGCTCGCTCGTTCTATCCTCGTCATTCTCTCGCAGATCGATCCTACGAGGATCTCCTTTCCAAGCCATCCACCCCTCCTCTGTTCCCGACTTGTTTTCACCTACTTCCTCTTCTTCCTCCTCCTCCTCTTCCTCCACCTCATCCTCTCTTACACCCCCCTCTTTCACATCCCTGCCACTCCCCACTTTAACCTCCTTACCTTCTTCCTCACCCGCCACCTCTCTCTCCTCCTTGCCTGAATCCCTTTGAGATTCTGTATTCCCATAAAATCTACCTTTCCTCCCCCTCACACTCCCAACTTTGGTCTCGCCTAGGACGACAGCGGCCTCTCCCTTTTCAGCATCCACATCTCCTTCCTCTACACCCTCTCCTTCTCCCTTCTCCGCTCCCTCCTCTGCTCCCTCCTCTGCTCCCTCCGCTTCTCCATCCCCATCGAACTCCATCACACAAGCTTCATCTTTCTCCTCCTCCTTCTCCTCTTCCTCCTCCTTCTCCTCTTCCTCCTCCTTCTCCTCTTCCTCCTCCTTCTCCTCTTCCTCCTCCTTCTCCTCTTCCTCCTCCTTCTCCTCTTCCTCCTCCTTCTCGTCTTCCTCCTCCTTCTCGCCATCACCACCGTCCTTACTCCCCTTCCTCTTCGCCTTCTCCTCATTCTCCTCCTCCTTCCTTCCATCACCACCGTCCTCACTGTCCTTCCTCTTCCCCTTCTCCTCTTCCTTCTCGCAATGACCACCCCCCTCACTCCCCTCCCTCTTCCCCTTCGCATCCTCCACGAATGACACCGACGAATGGGTCCTGGGGAATGCTTTCCCTGAGTGCCTTCATTATGATTTGCGGCCTTTCCGGCGCATCCGCTGACGCGACGGAGGCGACTTCGTTGGTGAAACATATTAATCACCCATTCCTCTCTACCTTCTCGCGGATCTTCGCCGAATTCCGTACGTGTGCAAGTGTCATGATACGTTTTGACATTCTCCACCCGCGAAGCTTCTCAAATTAATCCTCCCTCCTCTCTACGTCGTACGTATGTTACTCACTCATTCTTTCCTCTTTCTGATGCTCCCGCAGTTCGATCCGACGAGGACCTCCTTTCGGAACCATCCACGCTCCTCGTGCCGTCCAACATCGGATTCGAACAAATCAAATGGGACGATTTCACAGAGGAGCAGCAGAAGCGCATTTTCCGCCACCATATACTTGCAGGGCGATGGACGCTGGCTGACCTGCTAAACGCGCAGCCTGGGACGAATTTCACAACCAGAGACGGTGGAAGGCAAGTGACCAAAGTACAGAAGGATCAAGAGTGTTATTTCCAGACTTATCCTCCCATGAAGATCCCGTCACCACTCAACATTCCTGCAGCAGCGTCCACAGGCAGGCTGATTGCTCATGGGGTCACGTTCGTCTTCTTGCCTCCTAATTTCTTAGCATGCCCAGCTTCAGAAGCTATTTGTGATAAGTGACAGTGTTTGTATGCACTAAAGAAAACATCTGGGTGTGAGGAGAGATCGTCCTTGCTGCTGCTTATTTGGAGCATATGAAAGATGCAATGCAACACATCCATATTGATGTGAGTCCTCCTTGTTTGGAAATGCTTGATGCACACGCAAGCGTACCGGTAATTGAAGAATGGTTAACAGGCTTCAGCATCTCCCTTCGGTATGATTGCCTGACTTCTGTATCACATGTCTCAGCTCAGCAAATGATTACATATTATATGGTACCGTTATTCTCTATCACAAACCCGTTTGAATTTTACGGTATGCAATGTTTGGGAGGGCTACATTTTGCAGTGAAAATTTTGATTGTGTTGAACAAGTCTTGGGTTTTTTTGTTTTCAATGTGAAAATTCTAGTAATGATGTGACATTTGGTCTAAGAAATGTGGTACTATGACCGTATTATACGAAGTTATATATACATTGTATGTTCCTTTAGCGAATGCTGGCAAGGTATATCGGATAGGATTTTCCTCCACACTTTGTGGGGAATGGTCGGCCCAGACAATTTACTTTGACTGCGAGATTTTTCTTTCGGCGATTCCCCTCCGCTCGCGTAAGAAAATCGCCATCTCTAGGGAGCTGCATCTAGAAAGAGGGTGCATTGCAGTCCGTGGAATTGATAGGTGGACACGAAACATCTAGGCCGCAGGCATTCTCAGCCAAGGCTGCTTTTGGCGTAGCAGGACTCTTCCCGACCACAGACCTTGTGGTTGTGGAGGGAAGGTAATGATTGTCAAATGAAACGAATGGTGCGCTGCTTGTCCAAACCGTTATTGCTGATTCAGCACTTTTAGGCTGGAAAGTGTAGCACGTGAATGCATGACTAGGATTCCCGCCATCCCATTAGCCGTCTATCCGCGATATCTCTTCCCGACATATGAGGGGCTGCTTTCGTTGTACGGGCATCTCCCTGACGTGTTCATAGGTTCCACACGTGTATCACTACTACTGTATTTGTCGAGCCGATCTTGTTTCAATTACGCATGTTCTTTCAGGCGCCACATCAGCATCACCCACCCGCCTTTGCTGTCGACATAATTCTTTGCAAAATCTTCCTACGAGCCAGGCGGGAACCATAACCACGCAGAAGAAATCTGCCCAACTTTCAGTTTCATCTATTAAACTCCACCAATCACAGCGCTTCTGTTCACATCCATTTTCTCTTCCGCAGCCAAGCTCAGATGGCAGGGCACTCCAAACGCCCCCTCACCTCAACCACGCGCAGGTCGCCAATTCCCCCTTCCCACCTGGCATGTTCGTCACTTTCCCCTCCCCAACATCTTGCATGTCGCCCGCTCCCTGTCCGCTCTTCCCCCCCTGCCTCCCCCGAAATCTCTCTCGACCACAGAAAACACAAAATTATCAACTGTACAAGAAATGAATCTGCCCAGCCCACACAACCGCCAGCAAAAAGTGCTGCCACTGCACCTCGTATTCCGCAACCTCCAATCCACTCTCGCTGCTTCTGCTTTCTCCCGCCCCACGTTCACTCCTCCCTCTGCCTTGTGCGGCCCTGCCTGACTGCCTGTCTCAGCTCTCGCTCACACCGCACACCCCTCGCAAGCGGACCTTTTAGTCGAACCAGCCTTTTTCTTTGCCAGCGTGTCGCACTTTTCCCCAACACAGCACCCTCGCCCTATAACACATCCACACCTTTCTTGGTGCATAGCCACTTCAAACCATCCTAAGTCCATCCTAAGCTTCGTGTTGTGACCATCGTCTCCAGACTTCGAGTCTTTGCTAACTAAATATTACTAGAGCATTACGTTGAGTGAGTCAAAGGCCGTTCGGTCCACTGGCGAGCCGCGACTGAGAAGTACTGTTGCACAATATGGCGGCCGTTGCGCACCCACAGATGCCTGCTTTTGAAGCCCACGCCGGAGACCCTGGAATCCGGCTGTTCGGTCGGACAATAGAAGCCACAACCAGCCAGAGCGATTGTCCTCGCGCGTCGTTGTCAGGCGAATCGAGGCGAACCAATGGCGGTCGGGAAGATGACACTGCCGAAACTGCCGGATCTTCCGACGTCAATTCCGCAGCCTCACAGCAGCAATGCCGCGGACTTGTAAGTATATACTCAAAACACCTCAATTACTGAAGAATGAAGGCCTCTCTAAATCTTGTCGGCTTAGTTGCATCTGACCAACCAATTTCTGAAACTGACCCATTTTTCCGTCTTCTCTTCTTATTCTATCCTCGATATCTGCAGGATGCGATACTAGCCGCGGCAATGGAGGGCCAGGCAGCGACTGGCAAACCAAAGCAAGCCCGCATCGCAAGTTGCTCGAGCATGAAAAGCCAAGTCGACGACGAGCCTCGCGCAGGAAACGGTGCGACGGAAGGCGCGGACGAATATTGCGAGGACAACGCGGGATGCAGAAAGCACTCGACGATTGCTCAAGCAGAACAGGATCAACACAGCAATGGCGCCGGCGACAGCGACGGTGCCGGGGATAGCGGCGTGGACGAACCAACGGAGCAGGGACAGCCGGGGCAGGCGCAACTAGCGCATGCGCAAGCGCAATTGGCGCAGCCAACGACGGGGGCTCAGGAGCAGGCGGCTTCCGAACGTGCGGACGGGCAGGAGCAGGAGCAGCAGCCGCAATTGGAGCAGCAGGAGCAGCAGTCGCTGAAGCGGCCGACTAAGAAGCTTCCGTGCCCGCGGTGCGCGAGTATGGATACTAAGTTCTGCTACTACAACAACTACAACGCGTCGCAGCCGCGCCATTTCTGCAAGGGCTGCCAGCGCTACTGGACCGCAGGCGGAACGCTCCGGAACGTCCCCGTCGGCTCCGGCCGCCGGAAGGGCAAGATACCCGCGGGCGCCGCCACCGCCGCCGCCGTTGCCGGCTCCCCAGGGAATCAGCAGCCCGCAACCGGTTTCCTGCCGGCAGGTGGGGCTGTTGCCGGGCCGTTTGGCTTCTGCCCGTCAGCTGGTCGCAGCTGTAGCCCAGACGGCAGCAGCGTCACTGGATTGACCGGATTGACCGGAGGAATGGCGAGTCCAGGGTCAGAGGTACTGAGTCTGAGCTCCCCCGCCGCCGCCGCCGCCGCTGCCGCCGCAATGGCCGCCGCGTCTGCCGCCGCAGCCATGGCAGGGTCTTCTCGATGGGGCATGGATCCCGCTGTCGCTGCGACGGACTCGGGTTCGAATCCGTTCGCTGCCGCCTTACCACACGGCCAGTTTGTGCCGTCTAATCTGCCGACGCATCTCCCGGCGCATCTGCCAGCGCACCTGCCTCCGCACATGGCGGTCGACAGCAGCGCCGCTCTCCGCCAAATGGGCCTTCCCTCCGCCTTTTCCGCCCCCACCGGCGCAACTTTCGCCGCGCCGCCTGCCGCGCTCGGCGCGCAGGCTCTAGGCGGGATGGCGGGACCGGCGGGTTTGGCGGCGCTTTATCCGTGGAGATTCGGTGGAGTTCCCTTCGCGGCGGGCCAGGCTCCCGCCGAGGCTCCGCTGTCTCTCCCCGGACTCCCCAACTTATCCGCGCCCGGCGGTTTGGCGCGCGGAAGCCCAACCGCCTTCTGCCCCTCCACAACAGCTGCACCGAGTAGCGCTCCTGGCGCGAGCGTGAGCGCAGGCCCTTCCGCGCACGCCCCGTTCCCCATCTCTGCGCCCGTACCTTCAGCCTGGTCCCCGTACATGGGCGCATATCCCCCCGGATTCGCCCCTCTTCACCCAATGTCCGCGCAGCACCTGCCTGGTGCTCCCCCATTCGCTCCCCCATTCAGCGTGCCTGCGTTTCCGCCTGGCGCGCTTGCGCCCTGGTCCTCTGCGGGGTTCGCCCATGCGCCTCTCCCCCACCCCGCGCAGCTTCCGCCACACCCGCCCATGGAACTTTCCCGCCCGTCGGAAATGAATTTCCCCGCGTCCGCGCAGGGGTTGAGTGGGAAGAGGGGGAGGGAAGGCGAGGGGAATGCGAGTGGGGGCGATGGCGCAGTGGATTTTTTTAACAAGCGGCAACGACAGTGCTGAGAAAGGGTACCGGTTTTGAGCGCACTCGAGGGAGTCGAGTGTAATATGTAACAATAGTGTTCAGAAGGCTGCCTAATACTTCTAATAGATGGTTTGTTTGATAGCTGTTGTTAGTGTGAGGTTGCTTTCTTGACTCTCATAACTAATAAATATCTGGAAGCTGGATTTGGCTTGGAAAAATCTGACAAGCTTACCTGCTAATTGTGTCCCCAACCCGCCAACCCCTGGCCCTTCTTTAGACAAGGAAACAATTGGTTAAAAACTGCACAATGGGAGGAGACTCCAGAAAACTTGAGCCAGGCACGAAAAAACTCAAATCCCATGTAGCTCACACCTCCTAGAAGCAAATCACATCAAATCACATCAAATCAAATCCTCTGCGAGCTGTCTGGCGGCCCTTTCTATCGCCCTTGCCACTCGGAACACCTCATGCTGCACCCGACCCCACTTCGGTGCTGCAGGCACACACAGACGAGACGAGCCACGTCACATCAAATCAGCTCCCCTGCAAGCTGTCTGGCGGCCCTCTCTATCGCCCTTGCCACTCGGAACACCTCATGCTGCACCCGACCCCACTCCGGTGCTGCAGGCACACATGGACGAGACGAGCCAGATTGCCGAAGGCAGAAAGACAGGGCACAGGAAGGGGTGTTTAAGGGAAAGAATATCAGCGGAAGCGTCCCGACCCAGTACGCATGTATGGCATGCGTGGCATGTGTGGCATGTGTGGCATGTGTGGCATGTGTGGCATGTGTGGCATGTGTGGCATGTGTGGCATGTATGGCATGTATGGCATGTAAGGTATGCAAGATTCATGCATGGCATTCATACCATCTGTTGCTGCACCACCCTTGGTTGCATCCTGTAGTGCGTCGGCCACTGAAGGGAAGGCCACCGACCCATAGTCGTTGCCACGGCTCGGCCCATACACCTGGTAGGGGGGCAAAGGGTCAAGGTGGGGAGAGAGCAGCGGATGGAATTTGAGAACAGTGAGTTCCCACAGCACCCTCTGCTGCAGCCCCCTTCCCCCTGACTGCATCCTGTAGTGCGTCGGCTACTGAAGGGAAGGCCACCGACCCATAGCCGTTGCCACGGCTCGGCCCATACACCTGGTAGGGGGAAATGGGAGGGGAGAGTGCAGGGAGAACTGGAGAGGGAGGAGAGTACGAAGGCAGGGTGCAAAGGCTGAAGGGAAGGCCACCAACCCATAGTCGTTGGCACGGCTCGGCCCATACACCTGGCAGGGAGGAAGGGGGCAAGTGGGCAGAAGGGGGAGAGGAGTGGGAGGAGAATGTAAGGGCAGGTGTGAGGGCTGAAGGGAAGGCCACCGACCCATAGTCATTGCCACGCCTGGGACCATACACCTGGTGGAGGGGGCAAGGGGGGGAGAGGACATGGGAGGGAATTTCAGGGCACTTTGTTTTCGCAGTCTCGTCTGCAACCCTCTGTGTTTAAGGCCACCGACCCATAGTCATTGGCACGGCTGGGAGCAGGGGGCAAAGGAGCAGTCATGAGAGCATTCTGTAGAACAACTACCACTATCGCCATCACCCCCCATCACCCCCCCCCAACCCGTCACCACCCCTCATCACCCCTCACCACCCCTCCACACATACCATGTGCCGGTACCATGTGTAGCCAGGCCCGAGCCCAGCAGCTTCCAGGAAGCCGCGCTCAGCGAGCATGAGTCGGTCATTGATGTCCCTCAGAAGAAGAGGAGAAGGCATGCTGAGGGATGCACTGCGGTGAGGCATGCTGCTGAGGGATGCACTCATCAATCTGCGCCGTGCCAATGCCACTCCTCCTCCCCCTCCTGCAGCTTCTCCTCCCCCTCCTCCGCCTGCTTCTCCTCCCCCTCCTCCTCCAGCTTCTCCTCCTCCTCTCCCTCCTCCTCCTCCTCCAGCTTCTCCTCCTCCTCCCCCTCCTCCTCCTCCTCCCGCTTCTCCTCCTCCTCCCCCTCCTCCTCCTCCTCCCGCTTCTCCTCCCCCTCCTCCGCCTGCTTCTCCTCCTCCTCCCCCCCCCGCTCGCTCTCCTTCTCCTACTGCTCCTCCTGCTGCTACTGCTGCAATGGCCTCTGCTCTCTGATTGGTGATCGCCCTCACTGCTGTCTCCAGCTGGCCAACGGCGTTCCAGATAGCATCCAGAGACACGTGCTGCTGTGCTGCGTGTGACTGTAACGAGGCCTGGAGCTCGTTGGTGTAATCCTGGAGGAATGAGGGAGGAATGAATGCGGGGTGTGATGGGTGCATGCATGAGTGCAGGGCCAGATGGGGTGTGGCATGATACGTGGTGCTGTGCTGCATGTGCCTCACTCACTCACTCACTCACCTTGAGGCTGAGGAGAGCTGCGTCCCCTGACAGGCGCAGACAGGAGCCCCAGAGAATCAAGAGGGTCTCACTCACTCACCTGACTGTCTCACGCACCTTGAGCCGGAGGGCGTATGTGGAGTAGTTGAACGGGAGAGCCGCGTCTCCTGCTAGGCGCAGGGCAAGGGAGCCCCACAGCTGGGCGGTGGTGCAATGGCAGGATGGTGGGAGTAGGGAGAAGGCAACTGGTCTCACCCACCTTGAGCCGGAGGGCGTATGTGGAGTAGTTGAAGGGGAGGGCCGCGTCTCCTGCCAGGCGCAGGGCAAGGCAGCCCCACAGCTGGGCGGAGGCGCGGTGGCGGGAGAAGAGTGGGTCCAAGACTATTGTCATGTAGTGGTAGTTGTCGTACAGGCTGTGATACATGGGGTAGTCTGGAGGAGTGAGGGGGGCAGAGAAGGGCAAGGTGAGATGAGAGGTAGGGTCCAGGATGGTTGTAATGTAGCAGTAGTTGCCAAGGACTCTGTGATACATGAGGTAGTCTGGCTGGCTAGAGGGTTTTTTTGAGAATTCTCAAAAACACCCTCCAGGATGGTTGTAATGTAGCACATGGACCCTACCTCATGTAGCCAAAGACTCTGTGATACATGAGGTAGTCTGGCTGGTTAGAGGGCCGAGATAGAGGGATGGGGTGGCTTTTGAGTCGACTCAAAAGTCAACTTGGTTGTAATGTAGCGGTAGTTGTCAAAGACTCTGTGATACATGAGGTAGGTAGTCTGGCTGGCTAGAGGACCGAGATAGAGGGATGGGGTGGGGTGAGTGACAGGGATGCGTTAGAAGGGAAAAAATAGGGTCTAGTATGGTTGTCGTGTAGCGGTGGTTATTGTAGAGACTGTGATACACACACGGGGTAGTCTGCGGGAGGGTGTGGGAATGTGAGGGGGACAGGGAGAGGGATGGGCCATGACACAAGAAAATGGGGCAATGGCAAGAGACGAGAGGGTCATGTAGTGGTGGTTGTCGTAGAGACTGTGATGCATGGGGTAGTCTGGAGGGATGGTTGGGGCGTGAAGAGGGGTATAGTCAGGATGGTGTGAGAGGGATGGTTGAGGGTGGACGGGGTACATGGGGTGGACGGGGTACATGGGGTGGACGGGGTACATGGGGTGGACCGAGGGCGAGAGAGGGGAGGGAAGGGGTGAGGAGGGCGCACCTCCCCCTCAGTACACCCCCCCCACCTCCCCCTCAGTGCACACCTCCCACCTCCCAAATATCATTCCTCACCGTCCCCGAAGTGCAGGTCAGCGGCGGCAATCCCAAGGTGCTGCAGGAAGGGAGCATAGTCGCTGCCGCCCCCGCCCAGCCTGCCAAGCTGGTGGAAGATACGATATGATATGGAATGATCTGATCTGATATGAAATGATATGAAATGATATGATATGACATATGATATAAGATGACACGATTAATGTAGAATGATATGATATGATATGAAATGATATGATAGCCATACAATACAATACGGTGCGCAGCACAGTAATGAGGAGACGGAAGGAGCGGCATGTAAGCGAGGCTCCTTTACGGCCCACTACCAGCCTACTCTCGCCCCAAACGCACCTACTCACATAAGGCACGGTGCGGTTGGTCATCTCAGCCCACAAGGCACAAAGCGACCAGCCTTGCTGTTCTTTTAACAAGCCAACACACACCAACCAACCCATCACAGCCCACTACCAGGATACTCACAGCCCATCACAACCCATAGACAAGCAACTCACATAGGGTACGGTGCGGTTGGTCCTCTCAGCCCACGAGGCATAGACTGACCGGCCTTGCTTGTCTGGATCCCACACGCCAACACAGCCCAGTAAGATCCTACTCTCCCCACTCACAGGCAACTCACATAGGGCACGGTGCGGTTGGTCCTCTCAGCCCACGAGGCATACACCGACCGGCCTTGCTTGTCTGGATCCTCCACCTGTGCAAGGAAAGGCAAGACACGTCAAGACAGGATAGGACAGTAAAAGACAGGCCAAGAAAAGACAAGAGAAGACAAGACATGACAGGAGAAGCAGAAAGGCAAAGTGGAGCGTGATGGGGCGCCAACGGAAGCAAAGGCGCGGAAAATCAGAAGGTCCAACGAAGCAAACCTCACCACCACAAAAATGGGCATGGCCACTTGTAGATGACGTCAGCTCACCAGCTCAGCAACCTCTCTGATGACGTCATCCAGCTGTGGAGTGGCTGCAGCGTGGAACCCCGCGCCAGACACGGCGGTGTCGACGTTTATGTACGCGACGGCGCGGGAGGAGAGCAACGGGGCGTTGTCCTCCACCCACTCTGTCGAGCCAATCTGACGAGTAGGTTGGGGAATGGCAGGGCGAGTGAGTGAGTAAATCGATGAGAGCAGCGGGGCGTTGTCCTCCACGGTTCCACCCACTCTGTGGAGCCGATCTGACGAGTGGGTGGGGGGGAGAAGGGCAGGGCGAGTGGGTGGAGTGGCAGCAGCGTGGAACCCCGCGCCCGACACGGCGGTGTCGACGTTTATGCATGCGACGGCGCGGGATGAGAGCAGCGGAGCGTTGTCCTCCACCCACTCTGTGGAGCCGATCTGGTGAATGAATTTAGAAGGTATAAAAGTTTCTGAAGAATCTCAAGAATATCTTGTATGGTCTACAAGAGCATCGGAGCATTGTCCTCCACCCATTCTGTTGAGCCAATCTGATGTGACAATGTGAGGATCTGATTACAAGTATGGAGAACTATCCCAATGTGACAGGGCGTTTGGAATGTCATTAGGCGTTTGGAATAAATCGTGTCGTGACATGTGCATGCAACTCAGGAATTTCCAGAGTGGCAAGGCTGTGACACACTTTCATTTCTATTGTGTGAGATGAGAGAGAGAAAAAGGGCATGGCAGCATTGATGCATGGGCATGGCATGGCAGGAAAAGAAACAGGCAGGAAAAAAAAGGGCTTCCAGCCGCTCGCCATCTCTCCGCCCATGCTCACCAGCCCAAACTCCTCCTCCGCGCCCCACAAGGCAAACACGATGGAGCCCGCAGGTATCCAGCCCTCCCTTATCCCCACAGTCAGCCCCATCCGTTGCTCCCTCCTCTACTGTAGCATCCCCGTCCCCATCCCTCCGCCCATCCCTCCACCCCTGCTCACCAGTCCTAACTCCTCCGGGTCCCACGAGGCAAACACGATGGAGCGAGCAGGTATCCAGCCCGCCCTCACCCTCACAGTCAGCCCCATCCGTTCGTCCCCCCTCTACCGTAGTCTCCCCATCCCCATCCCTCCACCCATCTTTCCTCCCACTCTTACCAGTCCCAACTCCTCTGCATCCCACCTCCCCCCCCACCCACCCACCCTCACAGTCAGCCCCATCCGTCCGTCCCCCCTCTACCGTAGTCTCCCCATCCCCATTCCTCCTCGTCCCCGTCCTTCCGCCCGTCCCTCCCCCCATCCCTCCTGCCACACTCACCAGTCCAAACTCCTCTGCATCCCACGAGCCAAACACGATGGAGCGCGCAGGCCGCCACACCTCCCTCACCTGCACAGTCAGCCCCATCCGTCCCTCCCCCCTCTACCATAGTCTCTCTGTCCTCACTCCTCAGCCCATCCCTCCACCCATACTCACCAGTCCAAACTCCTCTGCATCCCACGAGCCAAACACGATGGAGCGCGCAGGCCGCCAGCCAGCAGCCAGCATGGTCCCAAACACGCGTGCCATCTGAGCAAATAAAGAGGGAGTGTGGGAGGAAGGGACGATGGGGGGATGGGAGCGCGCAGGCCGCCACCCAGCAGCTAGCAATGACCCAAACGCACGCGCCATCTGAGAGGAAGGGAGGCGGGGAGGAAGGCGGGGAGGACGGCGGGGAGAACCATGGGTGGATGGGCATTCAGCACTAGGATGAACACTCAGCAGGCAGTATGAATGCATGAACACACGAAAGCGTGAGCATGCAGTAGCATCAAACAACAGGTGGCAGCACCTACCACAAGTATGCATGCATGTTTGCGTGCACGAATGAACAAATGCATGAATGCATAAATCCATGAACTGTGCTTACCTCGGGCATGAATGCATGTTTGCTTGCACGAATGCACAGATGCATACATACTGCAAGCTGGATTGTATGAGCAGGGCGGTAGCACATACCTCGAGCATGCATGCGGTGCCACTGTTGGGGTCGGCAGCACCAAACACCCACGCATCGCGATGGTTGCCCACCAGCACGTATCTGTGTGTGCATGCATGCAGTGAAAGCAGGGGTAGCACAGGGATGAAAACAAAACAAGGGCGTTGGGTTGGGGTGAATGACAAGCAGAGCCATTGGGGTAAGAAACAGACATCACTAATGGTGGGAGTGTGTGAGATGAGTGTTGCCCACATCATTCACTGGTCATCATTACCCTAATGATGTGATAGAAGTTGATTTTTGAGACCTCATCCCATGACCTCAAAACTCAACTTCTATCTCATGATAATTTCACATAATCTTACCATGATCAGATCAGACCACTTTTATCTACCCACGCCAAACCATTCTCGACTCGACCACCCTCTTTCCCATGTTGCCAACCCTCACCCCCCTCCCCCCCCCCCCCCCATCCACCTGTCAGGTTCTGATTGGCCCTTGATCGTCCCAATCACGTTGCGAATGTTGGAAACGGTGTCATTCACCTGTGTTGGGGCAGGAGAGAAGAGGAGGGGAGGAAGGGGGGGTAAGGAGGGGGTGAGGAAGAGGGCGGGATTTGAAACACTTATATGAAACTCGTGACTGGATTGAGTTTGTGCAGGATGGGGGAAAAGGGCTGGGAAAGGAAAGAAAGCAAGGGGGGAGGAGGGAAAGCGGGCAGGGCAGGTTGATTGAGCTCGGAGACAAGATGGAAAGCCAAGGGAGAGATGCTGCTGAAGATAGAGGCGTATTTTGGGTCGACATTTCACCACATCTCACCACATCTCACCACATCTCACCACATCTCACCACATCTGACCTCTATCTTCCCCCATCTACCCGTCTCCTCACCACCATCCACCACATCTCACCTCTATTTCCATCTTCACCACCACAGGCCCGGGTCCAACACGATACTCCAACCCTTCGATATCCCCAATCCACTCCTCTGGTGCAGCAGCACCCCCAAGCAGCTCCAGGATGTAATTCGCCTGCCCGTACGACAGCGGCAGGGCGGGGATCGGCGGCAGGCTGCCAGCCGCCTCGGATAAGGACAAGCGCTCGCCGCCCGGGCGGGACGGCCAGCCTGGCGTCTGCGGGTCGCCAAGAGACTCGTAGATTGAGCCGCGCTGGTTGGGGAAGAAGGGGGCGGGGTACAGTAAAGTTGGGTGGGGGTTGGGTGGGGGTTGGGGTCTCGCCTGGCCATTCTGCCCGGGCGGGACGGCCAGCCTGGAGTCTGCGGGTCGCCAAGAGACTCGTAGATTGAGCCGCGCTGTTTTGGGGAAGAAGGTAAGCGGGACGGGTCGGTTGGTATGGGGGAAGGGGGAATTAGGTGGGGTTTTGGTGTGGGTAGGCGGGACAGCCAGCCTGGCTTCTTTGGATCGCCGAGAGACTCGTAGATTGAGCCGCGCTGGTTGGGGAAGAAAAGGGGTGCGGGAGGAGAGGGGGGGATGGGTGGTGTTGGGAGGGTGGGAAGAGGAGTGTATGGGCGGGCGTGACGGCCAGCCTGGCGTCTGTGGATCACCGAGAGACTCGTAGATTGAACCGCACTGGTTGGGGAAGAGAAGGAAGAAGGGGGGAGGGTGGGTTTGGATGGGGTTGGGAGGGTGGGAAGGGGAGGGTGGTTGGGCGGGACGGCCAGCCTGGCGTCTGTGGGTCGCCAAGAGACTCGTAGATTGAGCCGCGCTGGTTGGGGAGGAAGAAGATGGGGAGGGGTTGGGTGGGGTTGGACGTGGTGGGAAGGAGTGTGGTGATGGGGTCGGGGTGGGAGAAAGGGAGTACACACATATCACCGAGAGACTCGTAGATTGAGACTCACTGATTGGGGAGGACGGAGGTGGGGTGGGGTTGGTTGGTATGGCGGTTGGGGGGGAGGGGTGGGGTTTTGGTGTGCGTGGGGGGAGTAGCTAGATGGGCATGGCATAGATGAGCTGATCTACGACTTGTGAGGCGCCTCAAAAGACGACTTGTGAGGCGCCTCAAAAGTAGCTAGATGGGCATGGCATAGATGAGCTGGATGCCTATGAGCTGATCTACGACTTGAACCCAGCTCATCATAGCTCATCATAGCTCATCATAGCTCATCTATGATTGATGAGTTTTGAGTCGACTCAAAAGTCAGCTAGATGGGCATGGAATGTCAAGTCATAGCTCATCTTTTTTTTATGAGCTGGATTCATAGATGGAGCCTCACTGGTTGGGGAAAAGGGGTGTGGAGCAAGGCTTTGGTGTAGCGTGTGTGAGGGAGTATCGGGGTGGGAATTGGGTTGGGAGAAGGTACGCGTATCACCGAAAGGCACCTGAAAGGCACCTGAAAGGCACCTGAAAGGCACCTGAAAGGCACCTGAAAGGCACCTGAAAGGCACCTGAAAGGCACCTGAAAGACACCTGAAAGACACCTGAAAGACACCTGAAAGACACCTGAAAGACACCTGAAAGACACCTGAAAGACACCTGAAAGACACCTGAAAGACACCTGAAAGACACCTGAAAGACACCTGAAAGACACCTGAAAGACACCTGCAAAACACCTGAAAGACACCTGAAAGACACCTGAAAGCTCACCTGGGCGCCAGAGGGGGGTAGGCCCGGGCCGGGGGGGTAGATGGCGCCTGGAGAGGTGGCGTTGGTGGCATAGTCAGCCGGATCGGAGTAGATGATTGCTGCTGTGGCGCCACACGCTGCTGCATTGCGCACCTGATGGTTGGGGCAAGGGGTGAAGGGGTGATGGGTTGAAGGGGCGCAAGAGAGGTGGGATTGGGTGAGGTGGCATGGGTGGCATGGTTGGCATAGTCTGCTGGGTCGGAGTAGATGATTGCTGCCGTGGCGCCACACGCCACTGCATTGCGCACCTGATGGTGGGGTGGAGGGCAACGGGGTGCAGAGAGGAGGCATGGCAAGTGGTGAGGTGGCGTGGGTGGCATGGTTGGTCTGCTGGGTCTGAAAAAATAACTGCTGCCATGGCCCCACGTGCTACCCATTGCCCACCTTGTCTCCTCTATAAATCTCCCCATATCGCATCAGCACTATCGCTCCCACGCACACCCTTTCTCCTCCTCCGCCTCCTCCTCCCTTTCCCCCTCCCTCCCCTCCTTTTCCTCCTCCCAGCAAATTAATGAGCATCTGGAAATCCTCCTCTCTTCCGTAGTTGGCATATATGACAGGGCCTCTCACACTCCCCCCTTCCTCCTCCCCTCCTCCTCCTCCTCCTCCTCCTCCTCCTCCTCCTCCTCCTCCTCCTCCTCCTCCTCCTCCTCCTCCTCCTCCTCCTCCTCCTCCCCCCCTGCTACCCCTCCCCCTCGTCCCGGGCGTGTAGGCCAGGAACGGCACCGAAGCAAGAGGGTCGTGCGAGTACGGGTCGCCAGGTACGGGAAGCTCCCGAAGCGCCAGCTCGCGCGTGATTGGCTCAACGATCGCGATGCGCTGTTTGATTGGCCGGCTCAGCAGCACGGGGTAGTCCGCGTAGTGGGCTGTGACGCCGAAAGCCTGAGGGATGAACACAGGGGGGGGGGGGGGGAGGAGGGGAAGGAGAGCACAGGGGGGGAGGGGGAGAGCGCACGGGGGAGGGGGAGAGCAGCACACGCGGGAAGAGGGTGGAGAGAGCAGCACGGGGTAGTCCGCGTAATGGGCTGTGAGCCTGCGGGGTGAACCCGCGGGGAGCGGCAGCGCACATGGGGGGAGACCATGGGAGAGCACAATGGGGGAGAGAAGGGGGGGGGGGGCAGCACTGGGTAATCTATGTAATGGGCTGTGAGGTCGAACGGCTGTGGGGTGAACAGGTGGATGCGACACGGTGGCACACGTGACGAAGGTATTTAGGGCGGGAGAGCACAGGGGGAAGGGGAAGGGAGAGCACAGGGGGGGATCAATCTCAACAAACCGAAGGGGCAAAACCGGAAGCTTAAAACGCGTACGCGCGGCTTCAGCTCACCTCCAGCTGTTCTTTCACGTATCTAGCAGTTTCAAAGTTTTCGGGGGTACCCGCAATGTGGGGACGTTTCGTCACCACTTTCAAAAACTCCGCTATGCTGTCATTCGATACAAGAGCCATGAAATCCGCGATAGGAGCTGCGACGACACCAGCTTCAGCAGCGTCGCCGAATTCGGCGCCGGAAAATCCGGAACCGCCGCTTGCGAAATCGCGTCCGTTCATGCATAACGGCGCGGGGCATAATCTCAGCCAAGTCTTCGACCAATGTCCAGGCGCCACGTGCATTGCAGCGTTCAGGAGAACAGCCGCGGCGAGCGTCAATCCGAAGCAAGAGATAACATGCGGCAGTTTGGCGAGCTTGGACGGGACCGACCGCGCGGTGCGGAAGGAGGAGCCGCGGAGCGCGGCGGTGAGGGGGGAGCAGCGGAACGCAGTGAAGCGGGAACGCGACGCGGCGGGGCTGTGTACATCATCCATTGCCCTCAGAAAACACTAACTCGTCCCACTACTACAATAAGCTGAGTTTTGAGACGTCTCGAAAATCGCGAACCCCTGATAAAGAGCAAGATACTCATATATTCCCCCGCAAGTAAGTCGCCGAGAAGGACACATTGTTGTTGCGCGCGCTTGCGAGAGAATTACTGTAGAACCTGGTTCGGTGATTCATCCTTACTCGCGTGGCCTCGAATTACTCGAGTGGCCACCAAATTTGGTGATAATTACTCGAGTGGCCACGCCAGGGGATTCCCGCTGGTTTTTTTTTACCCGGCGCATTACCCTACAAGGGTTTGTATCCCTAAACCTCTGTACTGATTAATGCGCGATCTTCAATATCCGAAATTTATGATCGTGACCCCATATGACCGCGTCTGATTGGACGCGCATTGCAAAAGAAAGCACCGCGCATATAATCGACCAATCATGCGCGGTCATTTAATGTCCCGCGCATTGACGCTCGGGCATTGCAGTTTATGATCGCGGAAATATATGATCGGGCATTAATATATGATGTGCCCGACCATTAATGACCGCGCATGATTGGTCGACCATATGCGCGTCCAATCAAGCGCGGTCATATAGAGTCACGAACATAAATTTCGAATATAAATCATCACGCGAAAACATCCATTATAAATCATCGCTTAAATTGAAAAACGCGCAATTATCAATACAGAGGTTTCCGGGATACGAACCCTTGTAGGGTAATAAGCCGGGAAAAAAAAAGCCAGCGGGAATCCCCTGGTGTGGCCACTCGAGTAATTATCACCAAATTTGGTGGCCACTCGAGTAATTCGAGGCCACGCGAGTAAGGATGAATCACCGATCCAGGTTCTACAGTAATTCTCTCGCGCGCTTGCGGATTTGGGGTGGGGCCACGTGGTAGCTAGCGAGCTTCTCTCTCGCCTATCCAATCCGAGGAGGTCACGGGTTCATGGTGGACCACTAGCGCTGCCATCCCCGTTCGCGAAAACAAAAACAGATCGTCGCTGGGCTGTAACATTTGCCAAACCAAAACCGCGTCGAAATCCCCAAACCAGTAGATTGGCTTGGTTGGCACATCATGAAAGGGGTGCCGTTGGATTGCATCGCGTACTGTAGCACCCCCGATTTCATAGGTTCGCTGTGGCAGTGCCGAGGCGAGCCTAGGCCCTAGTCAACGCGACCCTGCCAACTCTGCATGCTGCAACCCCGCAACTGTACCAGGCCTCAGGATTTCAGGACGTTTTACCCTGATTAGCCTGTTTTTCCGGGTGAATGTTTGTGACCACCCTGTAAATACCGGATTGCTGTACCGCCCTGCAACCATCCGGCCCCGAAAGAGAATCACCCTTCAATTTCAGTTTTAAGATTCCGTAACACACAGCCTTGGCCGAGTTCGATAGGGCGGAACCCTGTCTGCGAATCTTTGTCCCTTCGTGTACTCCCGTCAGTTTCACCAGAAAACTCGAAAATCGACGAAGTACTTGACGGGTGACTCACTCACACAACGACAAGGTTAGGACGGACGTCAAACGTCGTTGTGATTTCTTGTTCATGTATGAAGTGAAGATTCTTTCCTTCCTAGACCCTACACCACAGCAGTGTAGTCGTTTTTTCCACCCTGCCAGTTCAGACAATAAATGTTTGAACACCCTGCCATTTCTAGGGTACGCCGCGGCAGGTACACTGCAGCGGCAGTGTGATTTCGACCCCAAACTCTGATTCCACAGGGTGGCCGAAAACGAATCGAGACCCCTGAACTGTACCCATAGTCAATGATGTGATGTCGCTCGATGCGCTGCTGTGGCCAGCCCCCCCACCCCACCAGTGTGGCGCTGAACTGCCTTGGAATCACCATTCTTCGCTCAAGCGAAGGTCAGCGGTTTAGTAAAGTCTCAACAAAAAGTTTCACGAGTAAAACAACACAGGTGCTCTGTATATATCGCCAAAGCTGGAAATCAATTGCAGCTTTGTTCCTAGCCAGAGCCACCTACTTTTATATTACTAACGGACGAAAATTGGAGGTTTCTCACCAGATTTGTGGGGCTTGACAGTACTAGCAGCACAGGACGTGGATACAAGCTTGTTCTTGACTTGGATTGCACGCTGCAGCACAATCATTCACAGCGTGTCAGAATCAACTATACAGGAATGAGCTAATAGGAAGGGCAAGACAGGATTGTATAGCCTAACCCTAATGTGTTGTACCCTTTAGGGTATGCCCCACTACAGCCTACAGAACAAATGCAATTTGACACACCCCCATAGGCAAAGTGGGGGATAGCAAACACAGAGGATGGTCACAAGACCAGTCAAGCAAGAGAATAATGCAAAGCAAAGCTCAGGGTGGATCACAAGGTCACCACGCATTCTGAGCATAAGTAAGCGGCCACAAGGCCAGTTCACATGCATAGTTTATAATAGCGAAGAGCAGTACACTGATCACAACCTAGCAAGTGTAAGCATGCAGGTATACTCATATATATCAGTGTACAACAAGAGCAAGATCAAGAGACAAGCAAGTGAGGCAGAGTGGGCACAAGCCCAAGTGCAGTGCAGAAACGCTGATGATCACTAGACCCAAGGGCCTTGGTGAAAACATCAGTAGTGTTGGCCCGAGTGGCCACGTAAGCAAGACGAAGCTGACCACCCTGCTGCAGCTCTCGCGTGAGGAAGTAGCGGAGAGCAATTTGCTTCGTTCTGTGCTCCAGTCTCTGGTCCTGACACAAGGCAATCATGGCCTTGTTGTCGACGTACAGAACTGGAGGAGAACGAGGCCGCTCACCCAGGTCGGTCAGCAGGTAGGTCAACTACCGGAGATCCTGTGCAGCCATAGCCCCAGCGTAAATCTCGGCCTCACAGCTGGAACTAAGTACAGAGGAAGAGCGAGTGGAGCTCCACGAGACAGAACCAGTGCCGAGGCTGAAACTGTACCCCTGTGTCGACCGGTGAGTAGTCTGGTCGTCAGCCCAAGAAGCGTCTGAGTGACCGGTGAGAACAACTGAACCCCGTCCTCCAAGCACGAGCCCCATGCCCGATGTGCTGCACAAGTAACGCAATACCCTCTTCGCAGCATCCCAGTGCATCTTTAGATGCCTACCGGGAGCCACGTAGCGAGCCAGGAGGCTGAGAGGGTACGCGAGGTCAGGTCGTGTGCACGTCATCAGGTACATGAGACAACCCACAAGCTCTGGGTACGGACCACTCGGCTCTACGGACTCGTCCGAAGGTGGAGCTGAGAGCGAGTGGCCGGTAGACAGAGGAGTGGGCTGTGGCGAGGACCACGTGAAGTCGAAGCGCTGAAGGACCTGCTGCACCATGTGTGACTGAGTGAGGGTGATGGTGCGCTGTGCTCTGTCCCGGGTGATCTGCAAGCCAAGGTAACTCAGTAGCTCACCCAGGTCAGTGCAAGTGTGTCTCTCCTGCAGCTCCGCCTTCACGAAGGCCAAAGCCTCAGTGTCAGCAGTAGCAAAAACCAAGTCGTCAACGTATACAAGAACGTAGAACGGGGGCAGAGAAGTGTCTGTGCGCAGAAACAGCGAAGGGTCAGCAGTCGAGGGAGCGAAGCCAAGAGCCGCAAGCGTAGTCCTCAGTGTGTCGTGCCACTCGCGGGGCGCCTCGAAGGCCGTAGACTGGTCGTCGAAGACTCCACTGGGTACCCTGAGGAGGCCTTGCACACTTTTACTCTCGACTCAGGCGCGTCTCGTTGCTTCTTCCGCGACAGCACTACAGTCACACCGCTCACAGTCCCTGTCCCTGTCACACTGGCCGACCCCTCTGGGGGCCCGGTAGTCGCGCGTGGCGCCACTGTTCTCCCTTGTGTGGCAGCCCCTTCCGGCCTCCTCACAGGTCTCCACCTCCCCTCATTCGCTAAGAACTTGGTGGCTACCTCTGTCCTCCAGGACCAGTGGGTCACTGTGATCCAGCCTGGAGGCGAGCTAGTGGCGATTTGTACGGACTCGCGCACTGGTGAGCACCTCGCCACGTTCACTTGGAGGCCTGGGTCTGGCCTGTACACACTGACCACTGAGTCTGCACTGGTAGCTGAGTCAGGTGAGGTAGCTGCGTCGGTTGAGGTCGCCTCGTCTTGCTCGTGTCGTCTCCTTACGCACCAGACTCTCCTCTGGCACCACCGTCTTGGTCACCCCTCCCTGCCACGCCTGCGTGGTATGCACCCGCGTCTCCTTGTGCCCGGTCTTCCCAGGTCCCTGCCCCCGCTCCCGAGGTCGCTTGCGCCGCCCTGCCTTCCCTGCGTCGAGGGGCGGCAGTGCGCCGCTCCTCACTCCTCCTCGTTTCCTCCTACCACTGCTCCTCTGCAGACCCTGCACATGGACGTGTGGGGCCCCGCCCGCGTCACTGGATAGGGTGGCGAGCGCTACTTTTTGCTGGTGGTCGACGACTACACGCGCTACACCACGGTCTTCCCCTTGCAGAGCAAGGCGGATGTCCGCGGTGTGTTGATCCAGTGGATCCGCGCTGTTCGTCTCCAGCTTCGTGCTCGGTTCCGTGAGGACCTCCCTGTCCTGCGGCTGCACTCTGATCGAGGTGGTGACTTATGCTCCCACCTCCTTGAGGACTTCTGTGGTGCTGGGCATCGTCCAGTCGTACACGCTTCCGGCCTCTCCACAGCAGAATGGGATTGCTGAGCGCCGCATTGGTCTTATCATGGAGGTCGCTCGCACCTCCATGATCCATGCGGCTGCTCCCCACTTTCTGTGGCCGTTTGCGGTTCGATACGCCGC